CTTAACTTTCTTACTGTCTTACAGTGTTTATTTGTTTTATGATTTCAGTATTTATGCACCATCTTACTTTGACTTTATTAAACGTCAAAAGTCTGTCAAACTCCATACAAAAAACCAATTATAGGTAGTTACAGTTAAAGTTAAGGTGGTGCAACCTGATTTTTCCAAGCAAAAAATAGTGACAAACGCCGAATTAATTCAAACTAAAATGGCATCAATACACTTTTAAAAACTAGTCAATTATAAGTACTTTTCTTGGAATGTTAACAATTTTAAGTAACTTACACAACTTCCCTTGCGAAAGTGCGCATCTCAGCATCGCAATGTGCTAAGTCCCTTGGCGAAGAGATGGGTTACCTACGCCATATCGAATGACAAATGATCGAAAATCAAAATATCGAATACGTTTCATCGAACGATCAAAATATCGAACGATCAAAATATCGAATGCTCAAAATATCGAACGTTCAGAATATCGAACCATCAAAATATCGAACGATCAAAATATCGAACGATCAAAATATCGAAAGTCGATATAAAATATAAACGTTTTTATTAAATTTCATCACGCATCATTTCTGAACTTTTCTTTTTGGGACAGGCTAGGCTTATAATAGGTCCCCACGGACATTATTTCTCAAAATTTATAAACTTGAAGAAATGATGCATGATGAAATTTAAAATAAAACGTCTATATCGACTTTCGATATTTTGATCGTTCGATATTTTGATCGTTCGATATTTTGATGGTTCGATATTCTGAACGTTCGATATTTTGAGCATTCGATATTTTGATCGTTCGATATTTTGATCGTTCGATGAAACGTATTCGATATTTTGATTTTCGATCATTTGTCATTCGATATGGCGTAGGTAACCCCGAAGAGATAACGAACAATAGTAAGTTCTGTAACGTTTTTTCTCACAATTACTAACTGTGCTGTAATCTGTATGTCACTTCCTGTTCTTGGAGTTAAGATTAAGTTGGGCTTGCGACATACGGCTTGACGCCAAAATTACTCACTGTCGACTTAGGTCCCAGGTTCTAAATCTGACCAGATGATAGTTGGTTTAATTTGACACTGTCAAAAGTAACGATTTGACTCTCTTGTTCTGGAGGTTCTAGGTTTGATTCTCAAAGATGGGGCCTATACTACTAAACACTATTTTGCGGGACATTGACCAAAACATCTTTCTGCAAGACATAGATCAACAATCGTATTAAATACTAAAACGTTTGTACGTTAAGCTGTCATTACATCTAGCTAGGTAACTTTATACCGTGAATGATGTCATTGAAAACTGATGAAAACTAAATCTTTAGAAGCAATTTATGGACACAAAAAAGCGTTATCCTTTAATTATTCTTTGTAATAATTAAAGACCGAATTTCATTTTGTTGCTGATTTCTTCAATAGCTGCTCTTCTGTCATAAAATAAGTTTTATTGACTATCAAAACTAGGCCTACTTATTTCATAATATCTATTAAGTATTAATCTGTGATCGTTCTGATAACAAAATCAGTTGCACTCAAGGGCGTGACCTCGCCGGCTTCAAACCCGCGACTTTCGGGAGACCTGGGTTGCTCGACCATCCCAACTAATATTATAAATGCGAAAGTAACTCTGTCTGTCTGTCTGTCTGTCTGTTACGCTTTCCCGCTTAAACCTCGCAACCGATTTTGATGAAATTTGGCATAGAGATAGTTTGAGTCCCGGGAAAGAACATAGGATAGTTTTTATCCCGGTTTTTGAAACAGGGACGCGCGCGATAAAGTTTTTCTGTGACAGACAAAATTCCACGCGGGCGAAGCCGCGGGCGGAAAGCTAGTTACGAAATGATCGCCCTGGTTACGTGAATGCGGAGCACTTTCTCAACCGATATCTTTAAGGAGACTGCACACTAATCCGAACGCGGCGAACGAATCGAACGGAACGAATTTTTAAATTCTTTGTAATATAAATTTTCTTAGATTAATAACGCCTAGATGCATAGTCTTCACATACGAGTAAGCGTTTCATCTGAAGTGAAGCAAAAATCATATTTTCAAAGTCAAAGTCAAAATTTCTTTATTTGTATAGACTATTAAATAGTTCTTACAAATCGTCAAATATTTTGCTCTTACATGTCTCATAATCTTTTTACCCTACCATTTTTTTTATGTCATCTACTGTCATCTTACATACGTTTTCACAAGTGTTTGATTGTGGCAACTGTCAGAAAGCCAAATGGTCTAGTTTGAAGTGCCTCACTTTTCTTGCACTTACTCGATGAATAAAATTATAATCTTCTTGTTCTATGAAATCCTTTGAAACCTCGCGGTCGCGGCTCGCACACGGCACGCGTCCCCGTAGAATCGTCCGAATCGAAAGAAGGGCTTGGACAAGTGTGCGTTCACCTTAAAAAGACATTCACAATACGAGTTATTCTCGACTAAAACACTTTTTTAATTCAGGTATTTTTGTTCCAAAAATATTTTTGAAAGGCATAAGTTCGGGTGTTTCTCTACCAATAACGTTTTAAAAGCATTAATTTCGAGTGCTTAAGCAAATTAAGTTAAAATCTTAATAAGCCTAAAGTAAAAGTGCTGTGGCAGAGAGAGAGTGCGAATTTAAACTGAATGTTATTGTTGTTAAACATAAACGTTTATTAATAATATGAGTTTTTTGAAACTTTCTGTGATGATATGAAAGTTNTTTAAGAAAAATGTTTTTTAGAAAACTTTATATCATTTTAAAAGACCTTTCCATTGATACCCCACACGGGTATGTACATCGAAAAAAAAATTTTCATCCCTCAGTTACATGTATGGGGGGCCCCACCCCCAATTCTTTTTTTTACTATTTAGTGTCATAATTTTGTAGCGGTTCATACAACACATATTCCCATCAAATTTCATCACTGTAGTACTTATAGTTTCCGAGTAAATCGGCTGTGACAGACGGACAGACGGACAGACGGACAGACGGACAGACGGACAGACGGACAGACGGACAGACGGACAGACGGACATGACGAAACTATAAGGGTTCCGTTTTTGCCATTTTGGCTACGGAACCCTAAAAACTAGTCAATTATACTTTTCTTGGACTGTTAACAATTTGAAGTCACTTACACAACTTCCCTTGCGAAAGTGCGCATCTCAGCATCGCTATGTGCTAAGTCCCTTGGCGAAGAGATAACGAACAATAGTAAGTTCTGTAACGTTTTTTCTCACAATTACTAACTGTGCTGTAATCTGTATGTCACTTCCTGTTCTTGGAGTTAAGATTAGGTTGGGCTTGCGACATACGGCTTGACTGTAAAATTACTCACTGCCTTAGGTCCCAGGTTCTAAATCTGACCAGATAGTAGTTAAAAAGTAAAGAAAATTTGACTCTTTTGGTCGTAGGTCGTAGTTCGATTCCTAAACGTAGCATGAAAATTTAAAACATCACGTTGTTTTGCATAAAAAACATAGGATCTTGTTTTTTGTAGACCTAATAAATAATAATATAACCATGTAGTATACCATGAATACGATATTTTTTAAAGAATTGAAGGAGTAAATTATTATAAAAAAGTTTTAAATAATGTAGGATTTTACGTAAAAAGCGCTATCTTTTAATTACTGATTTCCTAGATTCAAGGACTGTTCTGTTGGTATAAAATTGTCTATCAAAACTAGGCCTACTTATTTCATATCTACTAATCTGTGATCGATCTGATAACAATCAGTTCCACTCAAGGGCGTGACCTCGCCGGCTTCAAACCCGTGACTTTCCGGAGACCTGGGTTGCTCGACCATTACGAAATGATCGCCCTGGTTACGTGAATGCGGAGCACTTTCTCAACCGATATCTTTAAGGTGAACATAGACCTGTACGAACGCGGCGAACGAATAGAACGAAACGAATTTTTAAATTCTTTGTAATATAAAATTTCTTATATTAATAACGCCTAGATGCAGTCTTCAGGCTTCGTTTAAAGTAAGGCAAAAATCATACCTATATCATCCAATGTCACCTTACATACGTTTTTACTAGTGTTTGATTTTGGCAACTGTCAGAAAGCTTGGCAAAACTGAGCCAAGTGGTCTAGTTTGAAGTGCCTCACTTTTCTTGCACTTACTCGATAAATAAAATTATTCTCTTCTTGTCTATGAAATCCTTTGAAACCTCGCGGCTCGCACACGTCCCCGTAGAATCGTCCGAATCGAAAGAAGGACTTTTACAAGTGTGCGTTCACCTTAAAAGACATTCGCAATACGGGTTACTCTCGACTAAAAAACTTTTTTTAATTCAGGTATTTTTGTTCCAAAAATATTTTTGAAAGGCATAAGTTCGGGTGTTTCTCTACCAATAACGTTTTAAAAAGCATTAATTTTGAGTGCTTAAGCAAATTAAGTTATCTTAATAAGCTTAAAGTAAAAGTACTGTGGCAGAGAGAGTGCGATTTTAAACTGAATGTTATTGTTGTTAAACTTAAACGTTTATTAATAATATGAGTTTTTTAAAACTTTCTGTGATAAATGAAAGTTGTACCAAAATAATAGTAGTTTAAATATGTTATCTTAATGTAATAGTGTTCCCACGCTATGCAATCTACAGAATAGATTAATCATAAAACTATGCTTAAATACTGATAAAGCCCGGTCCGTGAGCACGTAGAATTTTGTCCAATGACCCCTAGCTACCCATCCTTATCGCTCGCGCGTAATTATATTTCTGTCGCGACTGTGCGACTGGCACCCGCAGTGAGTGTGCGGGCGCGATAGCAACATAATTACCCGCGAGCAATAAGGATGGGTAACTTGGGGTCATTAGACAAAATTCTACGTGCTCACGGACCAGACTATACCATATTATAACTTTTTGTATTTTTAGATCTGCCAAAAGAGCCAAAAATAGAGACATACTTATCAAACCACTGATATTTAAAGCCTCTTGAGATAAAGCGTTCTACTTAATGAACTATTATTAAAAACATAATTTAATGTCGAATATTTTCTTTGTTCCAGATGTCAATAATGATGAACTAATAGAAGCAACGAGGATAAAGCGAGAAGGAGTCCCGGAAAACAGGGGTGTGTACCAAACTAATATGAGCTTTATTACTTTCTGTACAAACCTTACTTTTGCTTGAGTCCTTACAGTATCTTGAGTCTTGTATTAGATTTGTCTGTTTTCTAATCTTCAATATACGCAGTAACATTTCTTCTTGTTTTTCTGCATTTTCGAATTGTAAATTAGTTTTTTTTGGTGATATTTTTGAGACATGACACGTAAGTTTTATAGTCAATCATAAATTATGATTATTATATTAACGGTTTGAAGCTAGATATTGGAATGTCATGTCATAAAAATATCATCAAAATACAGTAAAAAGAAGTTGTACAAAATTAGTGCTAACACGTTTGCAATTTTAATCTATTAGCATCTTATATTCTTCTTTTTATTCCATAATTAATTGTATGTTTTTTCTTTCTCTTTCAAATCTAATCCGGTCATGGTGGACATCTCAACCCAAATGGACTTTGTAAAAACGCACCCGATCTCCATCCCCTCCACGACTTGACCCGACTGGATGACAGACTTGACAGTTCTACTTGTGAACGACCAGAAAAGGAACGACTACGCGAGGGCCGGAAGGTACCACAGCGTCAAACCTCTCATCGGCCTTCTGACATCCACGGCAAGGACTTTCATCCAAGATGGCGTCACCACGGAATTCGCAACGCAAATCCTCGGCACCACCTTAGATAACGGTCGCATCTACGCCCAGCTCCTTACCAAATCCTCTCTTGTACTCTACAACAAACCATCCAATGTAGACGACCCTGTTATTGTTAAGCCAACTCGTATACACTCCGATTTTGACGGACAATGGAACGTCAAGCAAGATCTAGGCTTCATTGACCCTGAAAAGTTCATTCTCAAAAACACAGACTATTTAGCGCCTAGCAGCAAAGCTGATATTGTATATGCCAGCAAACCGGCTCAAGACAATGTCAAATACTGGAGCCCTCCTACTTCACCGGAAAGTCAAGTTGAAAATCAAATATTCGAAGAACCCACTGCCCGTAGAATACAACCTGTGAAAGAAATCCCGCGCTATGTCCACAATGAAGCCCTGAACTTCCTTGACGGTCCAATCTTTGATAATGAAAAGAAATTCGATTTTAATGTACAACCATCTATCTTAGATAATGTTAACACGTTACACAGACAGAGTAAAGCGTACGAGCCCGTTACTGAACCGATTGCGACAGAGCCTAATGTTAAGGAAGAACCTATCGAAGAAGCGAACATTGTTAAAGTGAAACCCGATTACGATTTACCTACTTTTACGATTAAAAACGAATTTTCACCTCTATTTTATTACATTGACAATGTTGAATCTAAGAGTTCTTACCAGCAGCAAAATCAACAGACTAAAACGCCTAAGAAGCTCTTTGGTCAAAAGGGTGAACCTAGGCCGAAGACGACTTTTACCTATTCCGGTTTCGCTGATTTTACGACCGTTGTTGGTGATACTGTAATTATATTTTCTCCCAATACTGAAACTAGTCGCCCACAAGATCCAAATGAGGTTAATGTTTTCCCATCAGCTAAGCCGGTTGATAAATTATCTAGTAAAATTACTTTCCTTGCTGCTGATATCCCAGTTGCGACCTCGACATTTAGTGCTCATGAAATTAATACTGCTACGCAAATCACGACTCCAGGCGTCCAAGAAAGCACTGAAAGTTCTCTTTACGACGACGAAGAAAGTTTAAAGAAAGTTCAATATGAAGTCGATAATGGCCCAGATACAATTAGTATAAAACACGAATCTGGATTAGACTTCAATATGGATGTAATTCAACCATCAGAATCTGTTATTACTACTACTGAAAGTACTCGTATCACAGATGATTTAGGCGTTATTCCTATTCAAGATTTTAGTTCCAAGCCTACAGAACCATTACAGACACTCAAGCCTTCTGCCACTCTTATTGAATTACCCCAAGAGTCCGCCGTTACAGAAAGTGATTTGAGCGAGATGTTAACAAATTCTGAGGAAGAATCGGAAAATACAGCTGCGGAAGTAACTGAAAAACCGGAGGAAGAAGAAGAAGAAGAACAGGAAGAAGATGAAGAACACACGGAATCAGGAGCTGAAGTTTTCACAACTACCGAGAGTGGTCACAGTGATGAGTCCTTTGAGGATATAGAGACAACCACTGAAACAAAACACGAATCTCACGAAGAAGTTGTGTGCACAGCTGGCTTAGAAACACAATCGACCATGACTACAGCCTATAAAACGTTAACTTATCTGACAACTTACTTTATTCCTTTGGAAAGTTCAGTAACTACTACGTCAGTCAAATCTGATGTCGTTGTAGAGAGTGACGTAGGCTATCTTACAAACATTGTCTGTAATACCAACGTAAATATCGAACCTACTGCTGTTGTGTCTATAGAAGTAAAATCATCAGTCCACACCAGCTTGGAAGTTCCTGAAACAGTATCGGAAGAGGCGGTAACAAATGCACCAGAAGTAGTAACTGAAGAAGTACTAAAAACTACTCAAACAGAGCAAGAACCTACTACTCAGGAGCAAGAAGAAAACGATCAAAGTCAAGCAAATGAAAACATTGCTACAAAATCTGATGATGTCGTAGAAGAAAAAGAACCGACGACCACCACAACTACTACTACGACTACAGAAGCTCCAGTAACTAGTCAAAGCCACATTGAAGTTTCTGTTAGCACAGAACATTCAACAACACCTACAGAAAAGCCTGAATCCGAAGAGGAAGAAGAAGAACCTTCGAACAATGAAAATGAAATAGATCTTATTTATAAAACACTATACACTACCTACACATACTTCACTACATTCTTCGGAGATCAAACTTCAAGTATAGCGAGTCACAAATCTGTCATTACAAACATTATTACATCTACTTTAGACTTGTCAAAACTTGACCCATCTCTGCTTGGAGCTTTCGACGAAGATGAGATTGCACCAACTAGCGTTGGAATTGGTCGTCCTACAGAGTCGTTTGCAATCAACAGTATTATTGATTTAGTTAAGAATAAGGACGTCATTGAATCTGTTGAAAGTGACGACATTTACTCCTCTCAAACACCAACTCCGTCATTGGGTGATGACGTTGTAGCCAGTATCAAACCTGACGCTGTTAAAACTTATTACACGACTTATACCTTCTTCACAACGATATACGTAGGTACTGATGCTAATGTGTGTAGCAGAAGTGAAGTTTACACAAACTACGTTGGTCCTGATGAATTGATACCTACTAAGAGTAACCCATTGGCAGCCGAAAGCACTAGAGCTCAGTTTGACTTCAGAAACTGCAAACAAGTTAAGAGAGATCCTCCAGCAAATCCTGAAGAGAACTCGTCTGTTGAAACTAGTGTAAGCATGGAAGAAGATAAGGCTGATTCTATGGAAGTTAGCAAAGAAACTCCACAACCAAGCCCTATTGAAGTTGACATGTTGTTCAGTGTTGAATCAAATCCGCTTGAATCTGAAAACTCTTATGTAACTGATGTCAAATCTTCGTCATCTAGGGGTGAAAGACAATTCTTAGACAGTAACAATATTTTAGAAGATCAAATCAGTTCCGAGAGCAACATCGATGAAATAATGCCCTCACCTACACTTATATTACAAACAAGCTACACTACATTCACATACTTCACAACGATGTACATTGGTAAAGACTCTAGTAAAGTCAAGAGTCATTTAGAGACGATCACAAATGTTGTAACGGGAACAATCATGCCTAATAATAAAAAAGAACCTGAAGAAGAAAGCAACTTGCCAATTACTTACTATACAACATTCACTTACTGGACAACTCTCTACAAAGATAAATCTACTACCATCACTAGTCGCGAAGAAATTGTCTCAAATGTAGTTCTACCTACAGTTCAGGTTGTGCCAACTGTTAGCCCCATTGATACAACTCCTATTGATATTGACAGTGTGCTGCCGCCTAAAGAACTAGAAGTTGAAATCAAACCATCACTTGTTGATGATAACTTAGAGCAAGACGATGGTAAAGCTACATTCTACACAACATACACATACTTTACCACTTTCTACGCAGGCAACACGTCTGAAATTAGGAGTAGCTTGGAAACTGTCACAAATATCGTTGACAATACGAAGGTTGTCGAGGATAACCAGTTAGGTCGTAAGGTACCTTCTGGTTCTGTAGATAAGAATCTCATTCAAGACAATGGTGACAAACCTAAGATAGTCCCAACTGTGGTTAAGGAAGAAATCAAGGCAACTCAGCTTCCTGATATTTCAGGGGCGTCTCCAACAGTACTTTTAGGCACGTATATTGACAATTTATTCGCGGAAGTTAAACCAGCGGATAACGTTCCAACACCAGAACCTGAGAAAAAGATATTATTCAGTCAAGTTGCTGTTATTTCTGGTGATTCAACAGTAGTTACTAGTGACAACAAAACTTTGAATACTGAGGCCACTACTACACCAGCTTCAACAACCACGTCTTCCACTGAAGGTGCTATTATTAGCGCGAGCCCAGATGTCATCGAAAGTTCGGTGGGAGAGCCTGAAGTAACCACTGAAACGAAACCGGAAGTAGAAGAGGAAGATTCACTAAATACTAGGAAGAAGAGTCGGCTTTCTTTCACACCTAAGAAACCCACATTCACTCCTGTAATTATACCATTCGCTTCAAGAAACAGGCCAACATTCAGTCCGAAGAGGGTGCCATTGCAAAGTAGTGCGGCTACAATCACTCGTTTAGACGTCACACCGACTATTACTGCTACGCCCACATTGAAATCGGTTAGACCTAGTGGCTTCGGAGCTAATAGAAAGCAATCAGCTTCTCCTGGATCGTCAAGTCCTGGACGTAGATTCTCTGGTTCTCGTAGTAGCATAAACTTATCGTCAAACATTCCTTCAGCTTCAAGAGCTGGTGGTTTCCCACGAGGAAGTATAAGACCTACATCGCAACGTTCAGGTTTCAGGTCGAGCTCACTTAGGAGCAACAGTTTGGACTACGCAAGCAGGTCAGCTGTTCCTAGAATAAGACCTACTGCTTCATCAAGGCTGAGGAATAACAGGAATTCAGCCACTATTGCTTTTCCATCACCTGATCAGAATGAGGGTGAAACTTTGGCAACTCAGCAAGAGGAAACTGCAACTGAACCTTTAGAGGAGGCATCTGAGGCTCCAATTAGGACCACCAATAACCCACTGCTGAAGTTTAGAAGACCACCTTTGGTCAGGCAGCCTGGTACGGCCATTACTCCTCGATCAACAACCCCATCTGCTAGAAGAAATAATATTGTTCCACGTGGACGTATCACAACGACCACCAAGAGAAGTACCACTCGTTCCACTTCAAATCCTCTTCTCAATCTACGTAGACAAAGACCTACCAACTCTCTTTTCCCAAGAAGAAACTTATTCCAAAGACCTGAACCTGAACCAGAGGAAGAAATCAAGGAAGACGAACAGAAGGTTGAAGAAAGTGAGGAAATATTAGAAGAAGAAGAAGATTTCGAGGAAGATAATGATTATGATTCTTCTGACAGGAAAGAACGGCAAGTCGCAACTCCATCTACCTCTGCCCCGATAAAATCAAATATCGTTTCAATAAGACCGTTTGCTTTCAGGCGAAGATCAAAGCGTCAGGTTGATTATGGCAGCAGAAAGTATACCAATTTCAGAAGGCCTGGTACAGTGGCTAAACCTTCGGCTAACAGACGCACAGAACCCGAGCCAGAAACGGAACCACCGGCACCGGCGACACAGAAACCAAGACCTGGTAACAGATTTAGCGGACGAGTTTCTAGTAACTCTAGGGCTACTACTGCGTCTGTTCCCAAAGCATCATCAAGACAGCCATTTATCATTCGCGGAGAAAGTCGTTCGACAACCACTGCTAGCCCGGCTTACAGAAGAGGCAAGTCTTCGCGACCTTCTGCTAGGGCGACCACTTCTTCCTCTAGACCGAAAGCTCCTAGACTCACTGGTAGTAACAGGAACTCAAACTCTGATAGATCTAGGACCACTTCTTCAAGAACAACTGGTAGGTCACGTACACGTACTACCACTAGTAGAGCAAGCAGCAGACAAAGAAATTCTTTCGAGAGCAACAGCGGAGAGAGATTCAGCCACAACAACCCTCTTAACGACGGAAAAATCACCATCACACACCAGATCCCAACTGAAGTTACGATACCTTTTGTAAACGGAAAAATCACAGAGTACAAAAACGTTTTATCAGCCACTCCTAGTATACAAATTCTACCAAGAAATCAAGTATCTACTACGCTAGGTCCTTTGGGTAATCAGCAGCTTGTGTTAGCTCAGGAATCGACCGAATTAGCTGAGAATGGGGGCACTAGATTGATCAGGTACATTTTGCACGAGACACCAACCACGACTGTTATTTTCACACCGACTACAATAAGGGGTAGGAAGACTTCTTACTCTCATATTCTGCCAAGTACTGTATACAACGTCGAACCTGTAACCCAAACTGTTGCGCCTGAGATCAACGCCAATGTGCCGTTAGCAAACCTGCTACTATCTCAGCTTCTATTAGGAAACCAACAACCTGCGATCAATCCTCTCCTGGCCCTTCAAGGACAGGGTTTGTTACCGCAGCAACAAGTCGCCCAAACCCCTGTTACAGAGTACAAGACCAGAACAACAAGCTACGTTACCACCGTCACGGATGCCAGGGAAACTGTCTTGCCAATTACGTTTAAAGGCAAAGCTATTTTGACTACGATTGTTGATCCGACAACTAGCGTAGTCACAGCAACCGAATTTATCACTGATACAATAGTAACCACTCCAACAGTATTGGGGCAGGCTCAGCCTCAGTTGAATTCTCTTCTATTACCTTTACTTCTTCAGCAACAGCAGCAGCAGCAGGCTCTGACGTTGCAAACTCCAAATCCCCTTCTTGGTTTGGGCGGTTTGGGAGCGCCAGATTTGTCGTTACTCCAAAACAATAATATTAACCTCAATAATGATATTTACAGTAACAGTCCAAAACCAAACATTCATTCTGACATAGCTAGTAATGAGGACTTCTCAGAGGAGATTCAGGACAGTGGCGAGGATCTCCCACCTCCGCCGCCTCCTCTTCGTTCGAGGAACAAGGCTAGAACCCCTAAACCTGCACCACCGGCCCCACCTTCCCCACCGAAGCACACTAGTGTTGTGACTCTTTACGTCTCTGGTAGACATCCTGGAGAATTCAGCACAGTATTATCCACTGTTGTGAGCGAAGAAACTCAGACTGTAAGGAAACGAGAGGCAATTTATTACGAAGATGTCAAGGTATTGCCCTCAATTTTGCCATCTCTTGACGAAGTTTACAGCTCCCTTGGTGTTATCGAAAACTCTATCATTCCTAGTTCTATAAAGTATTTGGACAGTGCCAATGAGAGTGAAGGGACCCAGAGCTTAGAGAGTATAGTGGGGGAGATTAGTAAACACATTAAGTACGACGCTTCACCAACATACGTCGTGGAATTATCCTCAACAAAACTAACGGACACAAGGCAAAGTTCTGTTGATGGCGTCTCGTGAGAGCTCATACAAACGGTTAGGTGTATAAAGTAATGAATTAGTTATTTATTTACATTGTAACATAGTAAATTAACTATGAATAGTGCCTTATAGTTTTAAAGATCCATTAGTTTTAGGAACAAAATACTCCTTTGTACTTGACTAGGTATAACATTCTTTAGGATCACCAAAAATATGTCTAATGTTACCAGATGTGGTGGGTACAAACGGCTAGGTAACACCACAGTATGTATATTTACTGTGGTAACAGTATATGCTCACTGCGTAAGAGTATACATGTAGTGTATTGTATAGTTGTAAATCTGTAATACTCGTCCTTCCTTCGCTTACGACTGTACATTGCAAATACGACTTAAAATGTTAAAATAATAAATTTTATAAAAATTCATGTGTATTTCATTGAAATCCTTATCATATCATAATAATTATAAGAAAAAACAAACAAAAAGTACACAAGCACACATACAAGAAACACACACTATTAAAGTAAAATATCTACACAATGCCTGAAGAATTGAAAAAATCTACGTGCAATTACAATTAAAATTATGTGGCCTAAGAAATAATTTGCTGCTTAATTATCTGTAGGAGCTATCGATCATAAAAATACATAATAAAATTATACTTCTACTAATCGCCTTAACTGCATAATAAATAATAGACTTAGCATAATAGTAATAACAAATAAATACTAATCAATCACCTTAAATGTGAAGATATTTTTAATGTCGATGAAACTGAAAATAAAAAGAAAATTTATTACATTATGGCGAAAAACTCTCTTATTTTAAGTAGTATGATGAATGTTTTTGAAAAAAGTAAAATAAAACATAAAAGTCAAGGCTGGGTTGCACCATCCTACTTTGACTGTAACAGACGTCAAAAATCTGTCAAGTTCCATACAAAAATCACCGGTTATAGTTTAAGTTACGTGGTGCAACTCAGCATAAAAATCATAAGTAAAAGGTGTCAAGGTGTGTAAAAGAAACACTTAGCTGTGTGTTTAGACTTTACGTTATAACAACATCGACTGTAAAGTCATGACTTGCGACTGTGACGAGTGACTTGACTGACTCGGACAAGGCACTCGAAGCTCCGAGCCCCCGGATGGTTCCAATCCACTCCTGCGCATCCAAACACCTCCGAGGTGAGTCTTGTTCTGTTATATGTTATTGTAGGTAGACGGATGTTCTTGAGTTATTGTTGCTTACACTATAAAAATACCTATAAGATTAGCAAAAGTGGATGATCTAAATTGAAAATTCAATAAACTAAAGTGTCTTCTTGCTGCGTTGCGGATTTCCGCGTGCGTATAGCCCGCATAATAGGAAAAAAAACGTGTGAAATAATTAAATGCGGGCAGCCCCCATGCGGACCAGAGGTGGAATTGTGTAAAACAATCGTAATCATTTGACAGTTCTTAACGTACGATAAAGTCAGTTAAACAAAGCGTTTGACAGAATAATCGTACGTTATGAACTGTCAAATGATTACGATTGCTTTACACAATTCCACCTATCCGCACGTGTGCTGAAATCCGCACCACAGGAAAAAGGCACATGAACGATGTTCTTTAGAACTCTATGGCGTTAAAGTGATTGTAAAAAAACACCTTAGAGAGATGCTACATGGATGTTGCGGTGCCGTAGCGGTGCCGTGTACACAGTCCGAACTCTTATTTTGATCATATTTTTTGCGGTTGACTGTACTTTCAGCAACTTGTCCAGTAAAAAAGAAATTCGCATCGAGCAACAAATGTGCTATATTTAGGTAAAAAAAACTGTCAAAAACTAGTTAGTATTTTTAATAATTCGACATTAAATCAAGAACATCTGAATGGGTGATACTGGTTCGTAGCTAAGACGTAATTTCTAGGTAATGTAGTAAGTATTATTAGTACTAATAGCAAATTGTAAATAAGTATAACACTTAAAATAAATTAATAGATACATGATAGGTAACTTAATTTATTTAATGCCGATTCAAGTTTAGATTCTTTGAACTTTTTTGCAAATGTAGTTTTTAAAGGTTTTTTTTAATCAAAAAAGGAGGAGGTCTCCTTTTTTTAAGTCGGTTAATTATCTCACACTGGCTACATATTATTCAAACTAAAATAAATAAAAAAATCTTGATTTTTGTTTGTAGTGTTTTACTGTTTTAAATTAAAAGGTGAATGCCTTTTCAAAATTAGCATACAAACAATTAAGTAATAATAGTAAAGTATTTAATAATGTCTGACCTTGAGTTTAAAAGACTATCTTGTGTCTAGTAGCTGTAATTAGAAATTAGTAACTAACAATTAGCACTCTATTTGCATTGCGTATGTTTGTTGCACAAACTGTGTCTAATAAGGTTACATTGCAGCCATATGACTGGTCATACGCCCGTATTTACAAACATTACTATGAGGTCTCACAGTGCGCGTGGACGCACAGGGTAACACACGGACCTATCACAGAGCTCTATTATTCAACGCTTTGCGATCAATTTGCTGCTCCACTTAAGCTAGCATCAAATTAAGTAAGTTAGTAAATACGGGTGTTACTTTCTTATGTTCGTTAATTCCAAATTTTTCAAAATTATAATCATTCTGAAAATTTATTTCATTTCAATAATTTTAAAGATAAATTATCCATAAAGACTACCACACGGCTGTCCTTTGGCTGCAACCATACAATAAGTCTTGTGAATAAATAATTGCAACTTGCAACTATAATTCACATTATTTCATCTAAGTATTACAATTACCTGTAAATATTATTCTACATAAAAAATATTAATATTTTTTTACCTTTGCCAACTGAAAAATAAATTAATTTTCAACTTAGTTTCAATAAACGCTAAGTTATGATTAAGAATAGCAGTGAGCTCTTACAACAAAGTTATCTTTACGCAAAAAACAAGTAAATTAAAATAATATAACATTAATAGTAATAAAATAATAATGTAAATAAATAATACTCAAACATTGTAAGAGTTCACGTAACTTTAACTTTTACCCCAATCTAAATAAGAACTAAACTCTTTCAGCCTTCAACACAAACGCTATAGTCTATGATAACACCCCATGGAGACCAGGGAGGGACATGCCGGTAGATGAGAAGCCAAGTTCTGAAGAAGATGAGCGGAGACTCAAGAACTTGGCAACGAAGGTCATGTCCAATGGAGTGGAAGTGCTGGTTAAGGATAAAAACCCTGACGGGAAACTGGACCAGGTAACATAAAATTATATTTTACTATAAATTCTTTAAGGAGTTATCAATATTTACGCCCGTATTCACAAACGATGCTTGCTTAAGTGAAGCAGAAAATCGAACGCACAGCGTTGAATAAAGCTCTGTGATTGGTTCGTGTGTCACCCTGTGCGTCCACGCGCACTGTGAGACCTCATAGTAACGTTTGTGAATACGGGCGTGAACATCGTTCTATCTCTCCCTTTATCTTGCTGTACAAAATTAAATAAAGTTTTGTCTATAATAATGAAAATTTTAATATGCATTAATGATCTTTAATGTCTTAAAGACAGATGTGTTTCAGTACTATTTATTTTGTAAATAGTAGATGATCATCAAAAAAATCGATTAACAATCGATTATTTTCAGACTAGATACTTATTATCTTAGCTACTTAAGATGTCTGAAGAACTTTGATGTTGTTAATATTAATAGCCTTTTTGTGCCTAAGTGTTTGGTTGTTAATAACATGTATTGTATTTTAGCAGTATGAAACAATCGACGATCATTTAAAATAGTCGCATCATCATTAAATTAAATTTTATGTCCTCAGCGAAAACTTAAGCTCATGCACCTTCCTTCACCATCGTATCACCACGTCAGTTCATCATCACCACCCAAACAGACATTGCTATCGTCTGCTGTAGCGACAGTTGTCAACCGACAACAAATAAGCGCACTCTTCCCACTGCACCAGCTTATGCAGCATAACTATATCATCAAGACTTGCATGACCACATACACGTATCTGACCACCGTGGTCCAGAACAAAAGAAGTGCTATATCTACATTCGAAACGATAGTGTCTGTTGTAACCACAGAATCTCTGACGAATTTGTACGCATCAGACATTTTAGCTGAGCTTAAGCCAACAAAAGTAAGATTTGGGACCCTAAAAGAACTACCCTGGTGGATAATCCGAAGTGATGACCCTAGCTGGTTGTGAGCCCCAGATAATACCACTAAAAGGCTTGGTGATTACCCTTGCCCAATAATTACCCAAAAAGACCTGCTAATATTAAAATGTCTCCTACTAATTTAAGTCTTATTACCATTTTATTCCAAAATGGCCCTTTTATCCTAATTAATTAATTTACCAAGTAATCTATTGCTTTATCTAAAACCTTGTTTATTACATTTCAGACCAAATACATGGAGGTGAAAACAATCCATTCGTCGGTCCCCAGCAGTATGTTCATAAATAACTTCCCTAAAATCGATAAAAGGATAGATAATGAGGACCTTGACAACTTCGATTTGATACAACCCTCAGAGGTTGGTCATGCTCCTTGCACGACTACCTCATGCTCGTGCAGTCATACCAAAACTGAAGGACTCAAAACTAAATACACTCAGATCGATGCTTCAGCACCCTCAAAATACGGACTCAAGACTTCGAAGTACGGATCAACAAAGTTCGATCTAAGACCCACTCATAAAGAAACTTTGGACAAGAAAACCAAATACGGTCCTTACGAATACGAAAGCAATCAGCAAGCGCCTACTGATAAAATTGTAGAGAAATACACTGAAGTTATTAATGACTATTCCGATGAGAAAGATACGAGCTCCGTTGAAGAAAGCGAGCTATTAACAAATGAGCAGGCACCAACTCCTCCGAAGAATAAAGTGTCTAATAACAAAAACCCAGAGAAAACTAAGCCTGAAAAACCACAAAAACCCAATAAAAACAAATTCGTTGTGGCAGATCTTCTGAAACTTGGGAGCTTAGGAATCAAAAGCCTGTCACAGTTAGCGCCTGTTATCGAAAAAATGACTGGTGGTTTCATAAAGCGACAAGAAACTAACAAAACAACCTCTACCACAACAACCACTGTAAAACCAGCTGTAAAATTAACCGCGTACAATGTTAACAAACGAGTCGACACTGACGTTGAGATGAAACCTAATAACTTTCCCATTTACATTCCTGTTGATGAACTAGAAACGTCTGAGTCGCAGATGATCTTCACAAATGCTACTTTGCATCAGAATCTGGCGTGGGCGGCTGAACACAAGCAACCTAAAGCCCACATAGTCCCACCTAAAATAGTTCACGAAAGTCCACTTGTCAACGGCGGCATACCTATCAGTCCTGGTGAAATAATTACCGCCAACTCAGATGTCATAGTCGGAAAGCCAGCCGTGGGCGGGCCATTAACCTTGGCCGCGAGTGGAATCAAGTTGCAAAACCCGGTGAGCCCACCTATCGACAGTTTTGTTGCTGGCAATGAGGAGTACTTGATCAGAGACAAAGCTCCATACAACGAGCAGTCTTTATTAGCCACTAAAGTCGACGACTCGTTTGATCTAAGGCCACCGCAGTTACCGAAGGTAAAATCCAAACCAAATAGAATGCCGAGACCGACTCAACCTCCACATGTTCATCAAAATCTCTTGTCACCCAATCATGCACCTCACCGGAATCCTTCAACAAATGTACCGCAAAATGACGTTTTGATGAAAACAGAACACATAAAAAATACAAACACAATTTTAGGTAATCATGGTCGGCCAGCTTTCCTAGATTACATTCCTTCTCTAGGAAATCCTACACCTTCTTCAATAAAACATCACGTTGATTTTTCAACTTTGAATGAAGATGAAGAGATTCCAGATAATAACCCAAGTTCGTCTGAAATCATTAACACGAGAGTAAGAACTGATGGCGATTACGGCATTAATAGTAATACTGATTCAAGTAAGCCGTTCTTAGTTGACATTCAGCCTTCACGAGTTGCCAACGTTTTGATACCTCATGGAAGTTCCACGGCCTTAGTATTTGCTGGCTCATCGGAACCACATAAGACTGGAGATTATGTAGATGATCCATTACCTTATCCAGAGCCTGGATACTTCGGCAGCTTCAGTATAGACGCACCACAGATGACAAACGTGCATAATGTGGCTCCAAGTAATAACAAACAGTTTTTGCCAACGCCTGAAATTCAATCACCTATGAATTCCTACAAGCCTTCGTCACCGCAGTACAAAGATCAGCCACCCAGAAATGATTTGAAAATAAAATGGAAAGAAACAAAACGCCCTTATGAATTTAAAATTCCACCGCCTACTAGTAACCAAGAAACACACGTGCAAGTCGGTCCTCAAATAACCGCGTATAATCCAGATATCTATCGTCATAATGACGGAAACTTTGAGAAATACAACCATGTTAGGGGTGGCGATAAACCAAAGAATGGTAAAGATGTTATCGACAAAGAATACGAGAACTACTTAGCTGTGCCACCGCCTCCACCTCCAAAGATGCATTTCAATTCTGAATCTATGTACGAGAAAAATAAACCTCATCTGCAAAGGCCGGTTGTCCACACAAAACCGGTGCAAGATATGAAAGTATTCTTGAACATTCAACACCCTGTGCCTGTAACGCCCAAACATGAACAGTTGCCTCCGAAAGTCACATCTGAGATCTATTTCGCTTCACAGTCTCCTAATAATAAACCCTCTCCGACATACACTATCCATATTCCGCCAGCACAAGGCTCTCACTATTCTGGAAATTCTTATGATTCATCAAAGAATGTGCAAGTAAATAAAAACCCGAATCCTAGTCATAATTCATTCTCAGTATACCCATCACCAAACGTCGCAAATAAGTCAATACTAACCAATGAAATACACGATAAAGATAATACATACACCGTCACTTTAAATACTGCCACAAACGTCGCCAGCAATGTAGGCGATAGTGGCCAAGTAATAGGCTCAAGTGTACCTGTTCCAGTTGGTGTTTCAACAAACGTTGGCCAAATGAATACCGATATCCCTATTGGCACAAACTTCGCCATTAGGGTGGAAGACGGTCCTTCACCTTTTGAAAGTTACGATCTACATGAAAACCCAAGCCCCGCAGTCATTTACAATGAACGTCCTCATTCTCATGTTGAAGTCACAGTTGGGGACAATAGATGGAATAAAAGTACAACTCATGATACTGACTCAAAATATTACTCAACTGTACAGAATATTAATGTGCATAAGCCAGCGCCACCAAGAAATCCTCCTAAGAAGATTGAAAACCAGTCAATACCACCTTCGTTGAACAGTCACGCTAATTTCCCAATGGTAAATGAATACACAACACCAAATAGTGTAAATGAGGATGTTAAACCTGTGACGGAGTACATAGATGATATAAAAATAAGTAGTCAACAAAGGCCAGCCAAATTAATTCCAAATATACCTACTAATTCCCACGGTTGGTATTCTAGTGGTCTAATAAATGAAAATACTTTAAGTAACATTAACAATATCAAAGTCGAAGCAACAACACGAAAAGTTATACCAGTATCACAAGATTACAATAAAGATAGTATTCCCGACTTTGGGCAGAAAATTTCCAGTGTTGGTAAACCTCCTTCAGAATTTTGGCCACAAAATGGTGCACCAGCTCTGGTAAGCTTTAATCTTGGGAAACCATTCTCAAAACCTTTAACTGAAAGACCACAGTATGTCGATATTCCTTCTAGAACAACAAAACCGTTCAGTAATAATAATTATAACCCAACTTACATATCAAACTTTGATTCTGTAAGACAACCGGCTTATGACATACCAGTAAGAGATAACAGTGACGAAACAACTACAACTAAGACTGTTAGAGTTTCAACTGAAAGACCAAAGCCAGTCTATGAAAACTCAGAAGAAATATACGATGGCGAGGAAGAGGCTGAATCACATAGCGAAGCTGACGGTGAAGTTAGTTTGGAATCAATGAAGATACCTGTCGTTAGCTCTTCTAGTGAAATAGAAAATAATGCAAAATCATCTACAGAAATCACACTCCTTCAAGATGAAGTACTTAATTCCCAAAAAGATAACTCAAACAAAAATGTCGGATTCGTACAGTTTAACCCTGGCACGCAAACTGAAAAACCTTTTGGAACATTTAATAAATCGAAACCCTACCAATCAAATACTATTAAACCAATTTACGAAAATCCTCACTATCAAAGTCAAAAACCACGGCCGTTTACAATCAACAGTGCTACAACATTGGATCACCAATTGCAACAGCCTCACTGGCAGATAAATCAACTGATGGAAAACTCTACGAATATGTCGTATGAAGAAAATCTTGAATTGAATTTAGGTGAAGAATTAAGCACTGCAGCGTCTTCAACAAAACGACCACCTTCGACGCAGAGAATTCCACCTTATAGGCATACACCACCTGAATCAAAATACAAACGACCACCAAGACCTATTTTCTCAAGACCGAACAATGTATCAGCTGTAAATGACACAAATTCAAACATAATAACATCTACCGTTCATATCAAAAACAAGAAACCTCTAATAGTGGAAAAGGGTACTGAAAGGCCTCTATCACCGACATACACAAGTACTTCAGACTTTAATAGGTCATCCAGTGAAATTATTGACTTGTCTCCTCCTCCACCAACGATGGATTATAACTTTAAGCCATCGACCAATGATGAGATGATAATGGGTATGAGTCCACCGCCGCCTATGACTCCACCAGCCATAAGACCTCCTACCAGAGCTCCAGTTACTCCCCGTCCTATCCCTGTCAGAACACCTCCACAATACAGACCGACAAAGCCTCCACGAACAATGCCTCCTAGAATACCAATGACACAAAGACCATTAAGAAAACCCATCAACAGAGATGAAGTATCTACGTACCGACCCAGCTATGACATTTTGAAAAATATGCATCGACCATCTATTATTCGTGATCAACCTTCTTCTCAACTACTTCCTCCTCCACGCGAAATACCTTCCAGAGTTGTCAACACTGTAAATGAAATCCCTGTACCTACAGCTAGTCTAGCTTCAGTGCCAAACCTAGTTTTCCCAACGCCGATATCATCTGGTTGGCTAACATCATCTGGAATTGATTTCTCGTCTAGTTTCAACTTTGGTCCTACTCCGATTCAGTTCCCTGAAGTTATCGAACCATCTAGAGCTCCTGAGGTTATAAACGAACCTTCATCATCAGAGAATTCATATTCATATGAAACTGAATCATCATCAGAACACGTCGAAGTTACAAGTTCTGAAAAACCTGTGACCGAAGATAGAGTATTTACAACAACGAAAGAATCAAGCGTAGAATCTATTACACAAAAGGCTACTTCAAGTAACGAGGACAATATTAGCGATTCTGTAGCCAATGAGTCTAGTCAGGAAGATCAAACCACCGATCGAATGAAAGTTGTTCCGATCGTTAATAATTATAGAAATAGGACTCGTAAACCATACCCAGTTCGTAATGAGGACCGTAAGACTTCGACTAGCAAATTCAGACTACCGAAACCAACGTCAATAATAACGCCTACCAGGACATTCAGTCGTCCAGAAATCTTATATCCAACAAGACACACTTCGATACGTAAAATAGTAAGACCGATACCTTCGCGATCATCCCCTGAACCAGTTGTAGATATTGAACCAACACACATTATAGAAAGCTCTAAAACATTCATAGACGAACATATTATAAAACCAACGACAGTGCTGGAAGACTCTGTATTGCCTAGTGTATCATTGCTTGGCAGCAGTAGTCTAGGTGATCGCCCAATTTCAAGTGTAGTTACACCAAGCTTAGACGATGTCCCAGTAAACGTTAAACCAACTCACCACGCTGGTAATGAAGTGAAAATATCTGACGAAGCTGTACCGACTAAGACCGAGTTTAGGACTGCCGTGATTACTTTGACTAAGACGCTATCTGAGTCACCAAAGACGATTTCAAGTATAAATTACGTAAACTTGACTCACACTTTGACAGTAACGCATACTGAAACGAGTCTTGTCAGTCAATCAGAAGGAGCTATAACACAAACATTAGTGCTAACAAATACACACACTTCCACCATAGTCGATATTGTGACAGAAACTCACACGCAGGTTCAGCCAACGACTATTATAGAGACCGTGACTAAACACATTCCCATTGTCCAAGTTACTCCTACATCAGTGAAAGAAGCACCGGCTAAGACTCAAATACCTTTGGATGACATTTCTATGTCCTACGAAGATAATGACAATCTCATCATTAAAGACAAGGATACAACAGAAAACATTATTCAGAAGATTGAGTCTGAAAGTGAAGGGGACAACGACACCTTCTTTGTAGTGATGAATAAGTCACAAAATGGTGGGCAAGCGCCTCCGGTAAATACTGAAATTGAGCTGGGAGATTACGATGGAGTGACCAGAAATGAGCAAGTTAACAGTAACGGCGTCTCGCAAGTTCTATTTGGTGATATCTTTTTGGCTGGAACTCCTTATTTGGAGACCAAAAACGTTGTTGATACTCCAGGTAACTATATCAATGACTTTATTAGAACCTTAATATTACACTTACGTATCTATATTGTTTTTTTTTCGTATTATAGGTGTAGCTTATGGTAAGGAATGTCAACCAGACTGCAAGGCGTCTCGCAATGAGCGTTGCCAGAGAATAGATGGAATTATGAAGTGTGTATGCAGACCAGGTTTTGCTAGAATGTTCCCGGATAGACCATGTAAACGTGAGTACAAATCTAGGATTTGTTTGAGTAATAATTACATTTTTTGTTTATAAAATAATAGTTTTCTAGATTCTGGTTTACAAATTGATGTCTTTAAAACAAGATTCAAATTTGAGCTTATCATTTGTCCAAATATTTTACTGATATCGATTTATTTGTATTGTCTGCATCCTTGATGTATTAACGAATGTACCTTAATTGTATTTGTTTTTTCTATTCTTTGCATTAAGTTAAAGCACACAAATAACACTGTTTGTTTGCTTGTTTAGCTTGTACCAAAATAAGTTTGTAATATTACTATGAGGATAATAGTGCTGGTTGCGTAATAGTATAAGTTTATTTAATGTTCAGCAGTTGTATTTGCAATATTGCGCAATTGTTTGTTATCCCAAATAAAATAAAATAAATAAATAAATAGAGAAATTAAACCCATCATAGGCTCGATTTATATTCAACTTATTTTTATTCCAATTTTCTCAACCCTTATCGATGTTTTTCAGCAACATACACCTACTCAGTGAAACTGGCGCTTGGTTCCCAAGGAAATGAGCGTCTGAAATTCCACGAGAATCTCTCCGACAACTCCAGCAAGCAGTACCATGCTCTGGCTATGGCCACCCATGAGGGCATCAACAGGATGGTCATGCAGTCAGACCTGAGGGATGTGTACCATGGGGTCCATATCACAGGGTTCCATCCAGTGCAGATCAAGGAAGATGATGGGAAGATGTATCAAGGCGTGATAAACGACTTCTATGTACAGGTAGGTATTTAAGTAGAAACAGTACATGTTTTAAAATTTTAGCTCTTTTAAAAGGAAATGGAAGGGGGTCAAAAGTGGCTCCAAATGGTTCGTGTAATATTACACACGGTGCTGCTCCTTAGTTTTGTTACTTGGACTTGGCTTGACACGCTACCACGTGTCTAGATTTAAATTACAGTCTACGATAATAGAAACTGATAATTTTAACAACAATTACTTTAAAGACAAACAACATGAAAGTGGATTTCCAGCTCTCTATGGACCTATCTAGTGATTTCAATCAGCTGATCTAATATTTGATTGTAAATATATAACCCCTGAAGGAATTTATTTTATCATAATAATATTTCAGTTTCTATTGGCGCGAAATATAGGTATGTGTGGTAAAAAAAGCATAGTTGACACGAATTGAATTAATGACTACTCTTCCAAAGACAGTGGATACTTAAATGGACCATTTCTTAGAAATAAAATGACCGAGCATTGTAATAAAATGTAATGGATGAAATTCAATTACATGCTTCAATAGTTTAAAAGCAGTTACGGCTTTTGTGTTAAATTTGATGTCATCATTGCTCTACTTCAATGCCATTGTCGGATACTTTTAGAAAAGGGCCATTATAATATCCATGTCAATTTTAAACATTGAAGTAATATTACTACGTATAGAACAGACATCGCGAACAAAATATGTACAGAGCGGGGTGCGGGGCGGGAATTTGACGGACAGCTGTCAGTCAAATCCATGACTATCAAGTTTCATAATTTATGGCGATAAAATCTGCACCAGAAAATGTCGTACTTCATTGACAGGATTGCACGAATAGTGACGTTTCTGCGGTCGCCTCATCATAGACATTGTGAAACGATTGTGAATATAAACAAANTGATTATTAAAGTACAAAAGACGAACTTAATGTCATATAGAATTCTCTCCCAGTCGATCTTTGGGCCAAGTAGAAAAATTGCTGAGATTCTTGAATAAACCCTTGATTTCCAGCTTTCCGACAACGCTCACGAAAGCCGTCTGAAGGAGGTCATCGAGAAGTACCTGCGGAACAACAACTACAGCCTGGGAGGGACCGACGTCCATGCTGCCTCTGACCTGGTGGACAGACTGGATGTTAGCGGTACGTATTTTAATTATAGAGTTCCGTACCCGAATGTTTATTTATTACCACTTTAACAAAGAAATAATAAACAAACCGATCGAGTTAACTGCGCACCAGGCAGCCGTGACGTCACATCGACGCAATGAGTGGGAGGGAGAGTCACATTCCAGCGAAGTGCGTAGTTTACTCTATCGAGTTGTAAGGCCCAACGCTGCGTGAAGCGGAATCCGCGCTCGGAAAGCCCTTTGAAATCCGCTGCACGCATCTGTAGACCTAAAATGAAAAAGAAAAATTATGTGTATACTAGGTATTTAAAGAAAGTAGCATTTTCTAAATAGATCCGACCGGGATTCACTCCTGTGATCCATTCCAAAGGTGACTGCGTCATCATTCCTAGTAACCATTCTTTCAAAACCCTGTCGGCAGGGTCTACTTGAAGCACTTCAGTAAACCATCTAGATGTCACTAAAAACCAAGAGTTTTTGCAATTCGTAACCATTCTATTGTTATTTTTCACAGACTTCGACGAGTGCACCAGCGGGCAGTTCCACGACTGTTCGGAGCATGCGCAGTGCTTCAACCTGCGCGGGACCTACACCTGCAGCTGTCTCGAAGGTTTTGCTGATCTCAGCGTCAACACTCTGTACCCTGGGCGGATCTGTTCTGGTAGGTATTGGACTTATTTATAGGGTTACTTTTTATTTTTAAGTATGAGGCCAATCAAGAAGTTTCTACACTTGATTATGAATAACTTTTACTACGAGACTTTTTTCTCTAAAAGAGATACGCCCGTATTCACAAACATTACTATGAGGTCTCACAGTGCGCGTGGAAGCACAGGGTGCCACACGAAACAATCACAGAGCTCTATTTAACGCTGTGCGTTCGATTTGCTGGTTCACTTAAGCAAGCATCGTATGTGAATACGGGCGATAAATAAACTACTTGTACAAAGTTCGTATTTACAACAATCAACAAGTCCAATGTCAGATATAAGCCCTAAAATACTAATCTATGGCATGGCTTTTAAAAGATGGTAAATATTTCCTAAAAATGTAAAATGCGGCATCGGCGTATAAAAAATCTCAACCGCTCTAGGTAGATAGAAAATGCAAAATGTTATCTAAGATGTGAAATTAGTAAGCAAAATCTCTCTTTTCCTCTTACTAGAGGGGAAGGAAGAGGATATGAGGAAACGAAAAAACGAAGTAAGTAAAGCGAAACGTCTTTAAGGAGGACTACGTAGGAGGTTAGAGGAAGATAGTGAGGATATGGAAAGTGCTTGACCGTTTTTAAAATATTTCTTATTAATATTCCAGCCGAGCCGGTGGGCTGCGAGCGCTGCAACTACCACGGCGCGTGCTACTCGCGCGACGACCGCCGCGTGCTGTGCGAGTGCTTCCAGTGGTATGCCGGCAGCTCGTGCCAGATCAACCTCAAGGGTAAGTGAAGATTTTGCTAGTAGCTCTTGATAGTTTCAGATAGTTTAGAGTAAATCTATATCTATAAAAGCGAAAGGTCACTGACTGACTCTCTCACTCATCACGAAATCTCAGAAACTACAAGTGCTAGGAGTCTCAAATTTAGCATGGGGGTTCCTTTTAGAACGTAGGTGCTCACTAAGACGGGATTTTGCAAAATTCAACCCCTAAGGAGGTGAAACGGGATCCACGCGTACGAAGTCGCGGGCAGCCGCTAGTGTAGTATAAAAGTACAACAGCCGTGTGGTTCCGGCAAATTGGAATATGCTCAGGTGGGCTTAGCATAGAGTAGAGGTTCACTCTTTCCGTTGATATCGTAAGAATGATCTAGGGAGTTAACATCAAGTTTTCCAACTCGTCTAACCAGCGTAGGGAGGATGGGTCAAATCCTGCTCTTTCTTCTGGTAAATCAGAGAGTCTTGCTCCTGCAATGAAAACTATAAGATCGGCCTATAATGATTTGTGGAGGCCTGATGTGATCGCTTAGCCATCTTTTACGACATCCATGGAAAGAGTGAGTGAGTTCTAATCTGCTGGAATCATACATCCTATAGCATAGGCCCACAATCTTTCATAATTTGTATCAACCATTTCCAGTGCAGATCGCCCTGCTAATCATTTCCACCAATCATTCCAGTGGTGCTGATCTCCCTGGTGGTAGCTGGAGCCCTGCTATCAGTGGTGCTGGCAGCGTGTGCAGTGGTGGCGTGCAGTCGCCCGCGCAGGCAGCCGCGTTCCATCGTCNCAGACAGACAGTCACAGTATTAGTTGGGATATAGTTGGGATAGTTGGGATATGGAATCAGAAGTGGAATGTAAACTGGCAATTTTACTTACAAAATAAAGTCGAATAACATGGATACCTACGATCTAGAATCTTGCAAAGTGTATCTAGTCTAGTGCTGCTCCTGTCTAGTCTAGTATAGTACAGATGAGAAAGCTGGTCTTTGATTGCAAATTAAAATAACTAATATTGAAACAGTTAACTCCTTGATTGAGTCTATCATACTACCTAATGAACTATAAGTTATGAGCTCTGATGGTCTGAAAATCAGCATAGTTGACACAAATTGAATTAATGACTACTCTTCCAAAGACAGTGGATACTTAAATGGACCATTTATTAGAAATGAAATGACCGAGCATTGTAATAAATGTAATGGATGAAATTCAATTACATGCTTCAATAGTTTAAAAGCCGTTACGGCTTTTGTATTAAATTTGATGTCATCATTGCTCTACTTCAATGCCATTGTAGAATGCGTTTAAAAAAGGGCCATTATAATAATATCCGTGTCAATTTTAAACGTCTCTTTGGGTACTCTCTTTATAGTGACGTTAACATATCCAGATATGGCATGGTACTTTTACTTTTTTAGAAAATTATTTTTGAAATGGTACAACGCTATCTGTTAGCAGCGCAGTGTCACTACAGGTTTTGTTTTTGTCATCTTGGTGCTAACATTTTTTGCTTACCTTCAGTAGGTATTTGGTTTTCATGATTATTAAAGTACAAAAGACGAACTTAATGTCATATAGAATTCTCTCCCAGTCGATCTTTGGGCCAAGTAGAAAAATTGCTGAGATTCTTGAATAAACGCTTGTTTTCCAGCTTTCCGACAACGCTCACGAAAGCCGTCTGAAGGAGGTCATCGAGAAGTACCTGCGGAACAACAACTACAGCCTGGGAGGGACCGACGTCCATGCTGCCTCTGACCTGGTGGACAGACTGGATGTCAGCGGTATGTATTGTTGTAGAGTTCCGTACCCGAAATTGCCACTAACAATGAATATGAGGAGAAATGTGAAACGGAGTCCGTGCGCGAAAATCCCACGAAAGTTAATGCGTACTTGGTGGATCTGAAATGAAAAAAAAAAAAACAATAATTCTAATTAAATCAAAGTGTAATTCAAAGAAAGAAACATTTTCTAAATAAACACGACCCGACCGGAATCCAACTTTTAAGATCCCCTTGCATAGCCATAGGCCAATTTCTACGTCATCATCCCTATTTAAACCATTCATCCTAATCCTGTCAAGCTTTTTAGTGAATTTTCGCGAGGTCTCAAAAATATCAAGGGGTTTTTCTAGCGTTTAACTCAGTCAGTACTTTGGGACATCAGCGAAACTTCAAATGTGCTTCAGATTTGTATGCTCTGCTACGTCATAATATTATTATGTCAATGTCACCCATCTGGTGCCGATCCCATACCTCAGACACTGACTGAGACACTGAGTAACAAAGACTATAGTACCTAAATTTTCTTCTGTCTTTCACAGACTTCGACGAGTGCACCAGCGGCCAATTCCACGACTGCTCCGAGCATGCGCAGTGCTTCAACCTGCGCGGGACCTACACCTGCAGCTGTCTCGAAGGTTTTGCTGATCTCAGCGTCAACACTCTGTACCCTGGAAGGATCTGTTCTGGTACGTGTATTATAGTTATTTAAAAACAAATAGGTAAACAAAGCATACATTAGAAGGTTTAAGATCAATCACTGTGTACTTCGCAAAAAAATGCGTTTCGGAACTTTTTTCAGTTTTTGCTCTTAGAGTAGGCGCACACCGTTGATTTTTCGTCGGCCGATAGTTTAGTCGGGCAGTTGATCAGTATGGGCATGTATGGGAGTGCGCACACTACGCCGATTCGATTTGGCCGATTCTTCATACAATTTAAAATCGGGCACAACTATCGGCCAACTAAAAATCAACGGTGTGCGCCTACTCTTAAAGTTATTTAAAACTAGTAGGTATGCGCTTCTGAAGAAACGAAATGTAGGTACTTATTGCTCATAAGGTTTAAAACAAGATAAGCCAAACCACAGCCACGCCATAGCTCTATAAAACCTTTTAGCCCTTGGAAGGTAGTAAATTTTTCCTGAAAAGTCTAAAGATAGTTCGGTATCGGAGTCCAAAACTCTACCGCTCTAGATGGAAGCGGCAGAATGTTTTCTAAGCAAATTAGGTAAGGATGAATGGGACAAAATGAATAAATGACGCAAGGAATGATTATATGAAAAAGCTAAGTAGGAAAGGAATAGTAGAAGTAAAGATGGATTTGATACGGAATATTAACTAAGCTTTGACCATTTTTAAATATTATTCTTCTTTTGCCTCACCTTATCCCGAAACCTATTTTAAACATTGATTGTTAATATTCCAGCCGAGCCGGTGGGCTGCGAGCGCTGCAACTACCACGGCGCGTGCTACTCGCGCGACGACCGCCGCGTGCTGTGCGAGTGCTTCCAGTGGTATGCGGGTAGCTCGTGCCAGATCAACCTCAAGGGTAAGTGAAGATAGTTGCCATACCAGGAAGCAATGGGTTCCAGCCCCTTGCTGCTTGCATTACAAGAGTTAGCGAAATGCATGGTTTGAGCTGGAGCAATGCCGGCTTTTGATAAAGCTGCAGATAGTTTAGAATAAATGCAGTATACCGCCGAGTGGTCACAGCAAAGAAGAATAGAACCACCTCCACTATTGCTGTGAATGTCATAAAAGATGATCAAGGGAGAAATAGACTTATTGGAAAACTTGATGTAAATACGCACATCAAGTTTTCCAATTCGTTAAGCCCGCGTGGGAGTGAAGAGGGAGGAGGAAATCCTGCACTAAACTCTGGTAAATCGAAGAGAATCTTGCTCCTTCAATGAAGACTATAAATGACCGGCCAATAACGATTTGTGGAGGCCTGATGTGAACCCTTAACCATCTTTTACGACATCCATGGAAAGAGTGAGAGCTCGTAGTCCTATTCTAATCTGCTGGAATCATACATCCTATAGCCTATGCCCACAATCTTTCATAATTTGTATCCACCAGTTCCAGTGCTGATCTCGCTGCTAATTATTTCCACCAATCGTTCCAGTGGTGCTGATCTCCCTGGTGGTAGCGGGAGCCTTGCTATCAGTGGTGCTGGCAGCGTGTGCAGTTGTGGCGTGCAGTCGCCCGCGCAGGCAGCCGCGCTCCATCGTCGCTTGTATACAGAGCATGCCGAGTCTGCACCAGGTAAAGTCTAGAATCTTACATAATAATATAGTAAAAAACTCATTCGGGTAGAGTGCCCTCTGTGCCAGTTGCTTTAGCATTCTGTGCTCACCTATTTGTTGTTGTTGTTGCTTGTTATAGCTTAGCACTTTTGAGAGCACTCACATTTGTGAAGAAGGCCCTAGCTAGAGATAGTCTGAAAAGACAGTTAAAGAGATATATTCTCAGTATTTACTTATTTGGATCTAAATAACGGTTAACAAAATTTATATTGGTTAATTTCAGGGAGCAATGCCATCCAAACAAAGAGCAGACAGAAGAGCCCTGATCAGCGAGAGGCCGGAGTCTGGTGACGCGTCTAGTGTTCAGAACGCGTCTCTACCTTACATGCCTACGAAGGTAAATAAATAATGTATAATGGTTTTCAATATTTTTTCGTTAAAAGAGCGAAGGGACTGTAGACAAATCCTCTACTTTCCTCTAAATAAGAGAAGGTAATTCTCCTAGTGACTCAATTACCTGTGATGATGATGATCATCTGTTAAATTCTTCTGTCGGCCGCCTCACCAGGTGGCTTGCGTCCTTTAATACTGTGTCAGTAGATGAGTAGAAGCTGGCAGTTTGAGTGTGCATATGGGAGTGTATCTTACTGATCTGTTACGTCATAGTTTTAAGACTAGAAGGCACCTTTGAAAATATAGAAAGAAAGACAGAAAAAAGAAAGAAAGATTTATTTAAAATAAGAAAAATATTCAATCCCTAATTCCTGTTTATTTTATTTAAAATAAAAAAATATTCAATCCCTAATCCCTGTTTATTTATAAGGTGCTAACATTTATTTTATTATAACGTGTTCCAGCAGCGAGCGTCAGGCAAGAAGTGCGTGATGTCGGAGCCGCCCGCGCACGAGGCGCCCCCGCCCCCCGCGCCCGCCGTCATGATCCCGCGCGCGCGGCTGCACCCCCACCACCAAGACAGGTTCACCCACAGTTGCTTATGCTACCCGCACTTTAGATCCGTGCGTGCGTGAATAGAATGCTAAGTTATTTTAGCTTAGGTCGTATAGGCCAACGCAGTTTTCGTTGAAAATTGACAACACTATCAAAGACAATGTCAGCTATGCGAGCTAAGCTACACAAGCTTGGCCTGCAACCCGCAACAAGACGTATCAGGTATGACGTCACGTCAGTAGTCGTATGTTTGCAAGATCGCACACACAACAATTTGATGGTTACACACTTAAGAACTTGCATGGTGTGGCTTGCACCGCTGGCGTGCTTTTGTGCTTTCCCACGCTATTTTTTTGGTAGCTGAGTGCAAAAGTTAAAAAGTTTTAGTAGTTTTGATTTGTTACAGCTTTGGTAAAAGAATTTATTGTATTGAAAAAAGGGGTATAATATTTGTTGATGATTTTTAGTTTTAAAACTTGAATGTATTAATCCAATAAGTTTCTCTTGTCACTCTAACATTTTCTATTGTAGCCGAGAGAATATTTCAAAGAAGCTTAGCCTAGAACTGAGTAGCGAGGCGAAGCTGATCAGCTACTTGGAGTCAGGAGCTGTCAACAATGATGAAGAGGTAATGTACTCAATATAGAGACAATTGGTANACCGCCTGACCTGGTGGCTTGCGTCCTTCAATACTGTGTCAGTAGAAGCTGGCAGTTTGAGTGTGCATATGGGAGTGTATCTTACTGATCTGTTACGTCATAGTTTTAAGACTAGAAGGCACTTTGAAAATATAGAAAGAAAGACAGAAAAAAGAAAGAAAGATTTATTTAAAATAAGAAATATTCAATCCCTAATCCCTGTTTATTTATAAGGTGCTAACATTTGTTTTATTATAACATGTTTCAGCAGCGAGCGTCAGGCAAGAAGTGCGTGATGTCGGAGCCGCCCGCGCACGAGGCGCCCCCGCCCCCCGCGCCCGCCGTCATGATCCCGCGCGCGCGGCTGCACCCCCACCACCAAGACAGGTTCACCCACAGTTGCTTATGCTACCCGCACTTTAGCTCCATACTGAATCATATCAAACAATGTTAGATTCGGTTTCTGAATTGAGGTTTTTAGATTGAGCGACTGAGCGTGCTCATCATCATCATCAAGTTATTTAGTATCCAATGCAGGAGCACGGCCCTCTTTAATTTACCACAGGTCTGAAGGAGAAAACGTCTACTCAGAAACCGAATTTAATGGGCTCTTTCGAAAGGTATTTTGAGCAGGACGTCATCAGACGTGGGTTTGCAAGATTGCACACGGAAAACAATTTGGTTAACCACCAAGCAAAAAGGAATTCAAAAACAGCATGCTTCATGCCGCTTGCATGGCGTGACTTGCTTCGCTGCCTCTAAAATGTAGAAAATTCCCCACGCTAGTTTTTTGCTGATGATGTTTGTTTGGTAGCTGAATGGCCTAGGCTTCTTGTAGAATTAGATGAAAATTGCCAAATTAGAGTAGAAAACTTTAAAAAGTTTTAGTACTACCTAAAATGGATAAAATATATTTTGATGATGATTTCTCTGTGGTAAACCTTTGATGTATCAAGCTCTTGTTACACTAACATTTTTTATTGTAGCCGAGAGAATATTTCAAAGAAGCTTAGCCTAGAACTGAGTAGCGAGGCGAAGCTGATCAGCTACTTGGAGTCAGGAGCTGTCAACAATGATGAAGAGGTAATGTACTCAATATAGAGATAATTGGTACTTCTGCTTGTAAAATATTTAATATTTATAAGGGTGGGTTGCACCATCTTACTTTAATTTTGACAAACGTCAAAAATCTGTCAAACTTCATACAAAAAGCACCGGTTATCGTTAAATTTACTGTCAAATTTAAGTGGTGCAACTCAGCCTAAGACTATAAAGAGACTGCTGTTACTTTGTTATAACTGTCAATATTTTCAGATGAGAAGGAAGCATAGTATGGAATCTTCTTACAGCGCGAATAAGGACAGGCATAATAAACAAGGTATGTATTATTATGACACGAGACCCAATACGTTAAAGCACGTCTCAATCGCATTATGAAATATAATTCAAGAACCTAGAAAAAAATCTAACTTTAAGTACTGCCCTAGGACTGAAAGTGCTTCCAAATGAAAATTATTTTCCGAATGAAATCGTAAAACGTAAGGGGACTTTTGATAAATAACTTTTTTTAAAACTTATCTGTGTAGAGTTGCCATTAGCTTTTTTTATTTTCAAACTTTAATCATCAGGATCAACTGTAGCAGCTTTGTCTGTTCTTACCACATCATCATCATCATCATCTCAGCCATAGGACGTCCACTGCTGAACATAGGCCTCCCCCAATGCTTTCCATGTTACCCTGTTAGTAGCGGCCTGCGTCCAGCGCTTTCCTGCTACCTTTGTGTGTTCTTACCACACTTTTATCTAATCCAGGAGCGCTAGTATCAGCTGGATTCAAAGTGTCGACGACCATCAGGCCTGATGAAGCCAACATCAAAGAAGACAGGGACGACCTATCATCAGTACACAAGGCGGACCTCGAAGCGGACTTAGCAAGATTCGATTCCCTGCGGAAATCTTACAGTCAAGAAGACATTTCGGAATGGACGGATGCTGAGAGAAGAATTGGTGAACTGTAAGTGACTATATTTTGTCCTTTTTAATAATTATCTTAAAATACTCTAGGGGCTTGTTCCCAACGCAGCGCAGACATATTCTTTGCAGGATCCCTTTAAGTATTTTAATACAGTGTGAGTCACGTTAAAGTGCACATATGAAAATAGGTGAAACTAGACCTTTACAATAAGTAATCGGAAGAAAAAAAAATCTATAAAAAATAAAAACTCCAAAAATTTTTGACCTCTTTTTTGTCGATAAAAATAGGTCTAGTTTCATCTATTTTCATATGTACACTTTATCGTGACTCACACTGTATAGTTCACACAAACATCACGTTTGCAGTGTTCCGCAAAAAACCTATCCGTTCGAATTTGTAATTCGAATTTCAGACACACACAAAATTAAATGTGTGTTCACACGACAGTCCAGGTTTGCGCAATCTTGCATTACTGGATCCCGTAAATTGGATTACCGTGAGAACGAGCCATTGTAGATGTAACATATTTTACCATTTTCATGGTTGATGACTAGTTTTGTTAAACAAGACTTTTTTTGTCCAGGACTCTATCAGAGGCTCGTTCGATTGGAGGAACGTTACCTGCTAGCACAGGGAGAGCTGCATCGTCTACTCGTCTTACACATCAGGTAATTTTATTATTTCAATAAAATAAATTGCTCTAATTGACCCACTAAGCATCTACGACAATGTCCTAGCACCTATTTACAATTTGGACTAGGCAAATTTTATTTTTAGCTATTTTGGGAGATAAGTCTCTATTGAACAGCAAGTGTGTGTATGTTTTGGCGCGGTGTGGCGATTTCATAATATTTGAAAGCCGTTGTCTTACGCTACACTATGCCACAGCACGTCTATGCTCATTGCTAAACCAAAACTTTACACCTTAATCTTTAGATATCCACTATTAAGCCTTGTTTTCCTTTAAGCGTAGAATAATTAATAGTAACGGACCCAAAACACCTCCTTGCGAGAGTCCTGTTTGTAAATAATTAACTATTGCATGCAGGAGGCCAACACCATGGCTGAGCGAGACCTTGGATCCACTTTCCTCCTGCCGCACGTGCACCTCTATAAACCGGACCTTGTGGGTATCACAATTCACAGCACTGTAGTTAACACCAGACACAGAGTCAAAAGCTTATCACAAGTCTAAACTTTAAAACTTCTACTAATCTAAACCATGAGTTCTTACTTGTTAAAGTATCAAGGGGTGATTTTAAGAAGTAGTCATACTAAATTGTGATGAACTCTTGATTCCTTTATATGGTGCTTTATTATAATTAAATACAAATTATAGCACTCTTTTTCTCTAATACTACTATCACCTTTTCTCTTAGCGTACATCAATTTCTATTAGATTCCCATTATTATATTCAACCCAGCTATAAACTATTACTTTTGTAGTCTTTACTATGCAATCGTTGAATTTTTCTGTACTGAGACACTATGATGATGTAGTACTAATGATTTTTCCCTTTATTTTTCAGACGAGTGATGTTTCAGAGTTCGATTCATTGTGAGGGCTTTTCAAGAGTCAATCATAGTATTTTCAAGCACTGATTTATTTTCTATGACTTTACTTATTTTTACCCTATGAGGCGTTACTTTACCACCAAAGTGAAGACTTATTTATTAACTATTTATTCTTATTTATTATCTTACTTTAAATCCATTGTTGATTTTGATTGTTAACTTCTAACAGAATGAATGGAAATAAATATCGAAATGCCATAGTAAATGTAAGGAATTAGATGTAAGATATTAAAGGGTTAAGTGAAAATAATTTGAATGGGAAATCATAAAATCAAATGTTAGATAGTTTTATGATGTTGATTTCTCATTTGAAGCATTTTCATTAATAAATTGTAGTGTTTTGAAATTTTGTGCAACTTTTAGTGCCAATATTCATGACTATTTACAAATGTATAAGAATTTATGATATTGTTCTAAAATGTAAATGTATGGCATCGAAATGATAATTTTAAGTTTTAAATGTTCTTTTGCAAACTTATGTTAATAATTTGTTTATGAAATGTTTGTAATTTCAGTATTGATATTTTGTTACGTTTTTATTATTTCAAAATACTCTGCCTGTGAAATTTTGTATTATTTTTACTTTTGTAACAATGAAATATATTTTGTTAATAAAATATGTTAATTTTAAACACATTGTTTTATTCAAAATCCAATTTTCTTGTAATCGTAACGTATTTAACTAAGGGATGAGAAATAAAACCACACAATTAAATATGAGACATAGCATTTTTATTAATATTCAATAATATTTTAGTTTAATCGATAGAATATTCAGCAATATTACAAATACAACGTGGAACAATAGAACAGGGCAACTTAACCGCATTTGAAACTTAATATGACACAGTAGCAACATTAGATCCTAGCATTGTTATTATCTTAACACCAAATCCTTAAGCACACAGACTTAAACGAAATTAGACTATATGTATACATATACAAGCAGATAGCCTCATTTCCAGAGGCAATGTTACGCCCATCGATATGAAACCTTTGTAGCTTGAGGTCGTGATTATCTAAGCCTTTCTATTTGAATTTATCCTTAAATTCCTATCCACTGTCAGTCTCAATCCAAAAGCATGAAGACACACTAACACCATGTTCTAGAAACAGGTTAGAAGATGATACCACCCTAAATGGTCTGACTGTGTCCCCATGATACGTCGTAGCGAAAATTTATTTTACCTCGACGTTACCTTACCCATGGCGCTTAAAGTAAATGTTTATCCTTTACAAAGAATACAAAACTTTTGGAAGTGAGCAAGCATTTTACCCAATTAAAATGGTATATACTCTACGGCCACACGATAAATTAAGTACATTGCCTATTATAGACGCTACATCTAAGAAAAGAGATCCAACGACATAAATTGTTTAAATGTGAATTTTTGAAACTGAAGCAATATTAATATCATCTAAAATAACTTCACCAATGACTTTAATGGCCGTAGATGCTTACCCTACATTTTGTATTTCTACCTATCTACTTATGTAAGAAATTGTGCAAGAATCAAAACTGAGATCGTCAAAATCATATCAACTGCCTGTAAAGTTAGTATCTAAAAGGACAGATTTTTAGTCGTTTAATACATCCATCTGTCTACCAGAACTCCAATATCAAAATCGATAGTATCGGGAATGTACCTACTTACCACTTATGCTTATAAAATATTCAATAGTCCTACAGTGTTAAGTTTTACTGAGTAAGCGGTAATACCCAAACTAAAAGCTAAGCGCTACCTAAAAGGATAGGTCGAAGTTACATGGACCAATGTCGTACAAAAACCGACTGTTCAGTACAAAAATGAGTACCAAAATACTATCCGATACAGAACTTGATTTTTACAACCATAATTTGTACAAATATTGGTCCGCAAGAATATTGGACCAAATGTTTGATATCCGGGTTGTAAAAACAAGTTCACGATCCTCAATTCATTAGGAAGATTATTCTTAAGTGAAATTGATAGATCATAGTAACACATCAATGAGTATAGGACTTTCAATGCGAGTACAAAGAGTACTACATGGTAAGAAACTTTACGATAGTCTTATAATACTTGATATTTCACCTACGTTGTTTAACTTGACTACACGACTATTGTACTTCAGGTAACAAGATCTCATTATTAATAATCAGTTAGTAACAGCAGTGCATCGAATGCCTTAAGCTATATCAGCTTTAGCTGCAATAGTACAAAAGACTAGAATTAAAATTAAAAACACGAAAAGTAAAATTTAAAATGCAGATTTACTTCTTGGTTGTCTCGTCAATGCTAGAGGGTGGTGATTTTGCAATCATCGTGAGAGATCTGAAAACAATATTACAACAAATAAAATTTAAGTTACTTCTGAAAGTTTTAAACATCTAACGAATCCTTTGTTCCCAAGTAATAAGCAAATTAATGGAATTTATGTGGGTGCGTCATTATCTATCTGTCAAAATTAAATATCTGTTAATTTAAATAGTTTAAGTATTGTTGATAATGGTTACATATTAACTAAGCATGAAATAGACGAAACAAAGCTTCCATTAGATAGTAAAAGTAGAAATACATAAATATTTAATATTTTAGATTGTCGACTAAACTCAAATAACACTCAACATGCTATTTGTATGGATTCAAAAAACTCAACTCTCACACTTTTTTGTAACAAAGCAAAAATCAATGTTTATAAATACATAGAAATAAATACTGATGATAATGATGATGATAGAGCAAACCATATTAAAAAGCATTACGATACAAAATCGTGTACCTATTTGTTGAGATTTTCTTGGGAGTGACTTAAACAATAGCAGCTGCAATGATAACAAGTATTGTTTAGTAGGTACAATATGACAATATAGCAAAAACTGATTTGAAAATGATAAAAAAGAAATTAACAAGCCTGTAGCGTTGTAGATAGCAAAATATAATTTAGCATAATAATAATGGTTTTGTTTTAGATTTCAATGGCAGTTAAGTAGATAGGAAGATAAATGATCAGAAAGAAATATTCAAAAGAGATGAAGCTTTAAAAGGTGGACTATATTTTGTGACAATGAAACAATCTGATGGTCAAATACACTACCTTCTTTGAGCAGGAACTGGTGGAGAAGGCTGCGTAGCAGGAGGCAGGGATGCTGGGCAGCTTCCAGACAGAACTGGTTGCGGTTCATCATCCTCATCACGTCTGTCTCCTAAAACAAAAGAAAATGAAAGTAAAGCATAAAGATATTAATTTGATCATTATCTAAAATGAAATAAAGTGACATTTAAAAGTAGTTTAGTGATTTTTTTTGTCTTTTCTTATAAACTGCTAGTTCCCAGCGCTGGCTTCGCACAGATAGTAGAACTGACGTTTTTAGTAGCTTAGAATATCCTTCAGTTCATGCAGCAGATGAATTTAGCAGTGAGCAACAACAAGTGGCAGTTACGACAAGTACTAATTACTAGACTATCAGTAAATCTTATTTAAATGAAAAATATACAATCCATACCTCTAACAATAGGCGTGTCTCCAATGTAGAAGGTAGGTGCCGGGGTCTCCACGGCGGCTTCCTTCACGGAGTTGTCTCCGCTAACAGCGCTGAGCGTGTCAGTGCTGTCAAACATGATGGTGCGCTCCTTAGCCCGCGGTGCTCGCCCGTCCAGTTCCTTGAAAAGATGAAGAAAATTTTAAATTACTTTGAACAAAATACCACTTTATTCTTCCAGCCTTTTGTTGTATAAAAATACACTGACTCTACGAGTCAATTACCTTATTTTTTAAGAACTGTAAATGATACTCTAGAATTTTTTTGACAAAAGAGTGCAAGACGTCATCAGTTCACGAATTTAGTTGACTAATGTTGATTTTAAAACTCCCTAGCAAAAATTTTACAGCAGTTGTACAGGAAACTGACTCTATTTTATTTATTTTTATCTCAAAACATGATCTTTGTAAGATAATTTCGGTTTCGTTTTGTCGCAAAAACCAGTTTTGGTCAGACACAATATTAATATGATTAGTTACATTTGAATTGAGTGGCTTCTTGTTTTATATGATTTTGTCTAGTGTTCTAATACTCACCAGTCGTTCAGTATCCGAATCAGGTTCTTGAACTTCATAATCATGGGAGTAGTGTTCGCTCGTGGACTGGTGTTCCAGACTCTCCATCTGGACAGCCGTCACCGGATCCAGGGTGTCCAGGGAAGAGACCATCGTGTTGGATCCTGGAGGGCGTACCGCTGTTATCTTTCTGATTAGTATCAAGCTTGGTGGGGTAGCAAAGGTTATTAGTATTATTAGTTGGTGCCTGCTCATTTTTGGAGGCCCGTTTCAGTTATTGTCATACTTACCAGCCCTGAAGATTGCTTTGAGAATGTTAATAAAATATAATGTTTATATTCCAGAAAATAAAGTGCTAGTGTTGTAATTATTGAAACTACTAATAACCTATAGCTTCTTCATGTCCTTACTTTTGGGTGCCCTTCTTTACTGTCGATGTCAAGACTTTTCTTACATAGTGTATGTTGTATTCCTTGAGGTGACAACCCAGATGTGTGCCACCATAAGCATCCCACATAGCTATTACGTATGTCCCAAGTGGAAACGTGGTCGCAACAGCGGACAGTGTCTAAGTAGCTCAGATGGAAGAGCAGTCACTAGGCACGCGAAAGGCAGTGGGTTCTTTAAAATGTGTCACGCGCAAGTGCTTTAAAATGAAAATTTTAAGGGCTCCGTGGAATATTACCATAATAAACGTGCAACAAGACACTGGAATAATAATACGAGTAAATGCAAGCAACCTTCAGGAGAGAAGAGGTAAGAATATAATTAAAGAGGTAAAAATAAATGAGCAGACAAGTAAAGCCGGGATGAGAGCAAGCATTGTGTGTTTACATTTATGCTGCCATGCATAATATTAATGTTAGTATACAACGATAGAGATATTAAGCAGCATAGTATATTATGTATTTTGCAGTAAACCATATGCGCGTGTTTGCTATATGATTTGTAAAGGTATAAGTATGTTGATATCTAAAAAGCTTTTGATAATATACCTGATAGATGTTAATTTATTGTTAAGTGTTAATATAATATCATCAACATTACCTGGATATACAACATTAATTACAGAAGAATAACTTGCAACTGCTTTCATTCGAGCTTTGATTGAAAATACACAAAAGTAGTAAAAAATGGTCATAAAAAGATTCAAACACTAAGCATGCCTGAAGTAAAGTATTCAAAAGAAATATAAACTTGTTGAAATGTTTTATCATGAACCATACAAGTGTCAGTCGTGTGTTGTAGTTTTTCTGATTTGTAGTTCTTCTTCTTTTTTCGTGTGACTTTATGAAACTGGACCAAAGATTATAGGTACCCATTTAGGTGATAGGTATTCTTTTCCGATATTTATTATTTTTATACCTGGGAATCGAACCTAGGTCGGGAAAGTTCATGAGAGGCCTCTGTCTATCGAAGCTTTGCCATGTGGTTGTTTCTATTGCAATAAATAGTGTTATACTAATGACACTGTTCTTGCAACATGCTTCAGACATAAATATGTAAAGAAATGAAGTAGATAAGAAAGTTACATAGAAGCCAAGCCTCTACTTACCTCCTGAGGTGAGACTGCCAGTCATGGGGGTGTCGACCTCGTAGTTGTAGGTAGCTCGGGTGGCGTTGGAGCTGGTTGCTTCTAAGCTGTCGGTGCTTCCAAGCATCAGGTCCGCACGTGCACCTCTGAGACAATAAATTAAGGTAGGTATTAGGTAAGAGCGTAAAGTTTAACATGTTAAAAATTCGTTAGCTCTATATAGAGTTCCAAGAGCGAGTCAGCTAAAATGTAGAGTAGTAAAGTCATGTAAAGTTATAGGATAAATAAAAAAAATGATCATACATATCATAGCCGATGAAATAATTATATTGTCTTATTTTACGCATCATGACTTTTCTGCTCTGTACTGCATTGTCTTCATTCTAATTTATTAAAAACAAAAGAAGTAAGGTTGAAAAAATAAACATTACCTGCTAAAACTCCCAGATGAGCTCAATTCCTCGTCCTGTCCACTCCAGGAGCCACTAGCTGGATCTGTAAATTGTTTACCGGAAAAGGAGATTACGCTGTGAGCTATCGACCTCCCCGAAGAGGGCGAGAGCTCACGGACCATGCTCCCCTCCCTAGAGAATTCCAAATCCTCTGGCTTGTCTGACGTCATCATTATCGTTTGCTTCGTCACCGTCACCACCTCACCCTCGGAGGAATGCCTTTCTAGCACAGTCATCAAGCTATCCATCTCGGAAGACTGCGATATAATCGAAGATGACATTTCTGAACCAAAAGACAAAGGAGCACTCTCGTCAAACTGCTTAGGCCGTGCTGGTATATCCATAGCACCTTCTCCATCAGTGCTTGTTACTGTTTCAGACACCTTTTTACCATCAACGAATTTCTGCTGTATTACTGTAGTAGTTCTAACTACTTCGATAACTCCACCGTCAGTAAACGTCCTTGTAACTGCCTGCGATGATTTAGACTTCTCTTCCTGATCCAATATTTTCATCATCTCCTCGCAATCTCCTGGAATCGACTCGGCTGAACCGTCACTTGGAGCGGCAGCACAAACAAATGAGGATGATTTTGTGCACTCTTCAGTTACTTCTGTCTGTTTAGGTTCTTTTTCTGTTTCTGGTTCAGGTTCAGCAACAAAGAAAGCACCTCTTTCGTCAAACTTCTTAACAGTCACTACTTTAGGTGTAATCTGTTCTTGTAGTTTCTGTTCCAAGGCCATCTGTTGATCGATTAATTTACGAATAGCTGCGGACTCTGTAAGTAGCTTTTGAGATGGACTTCCATAGCTGCCTACTTTCTGGGAAGGACTACCTCCTTTTTGCGATGGGCTCCCACTTTTTTGACCAGGACTACCTCCCTTTTGTGGTGGGCTGCTTTCAGAACTACCGGAGTAGGATCGTTTCTCTCGTTCTAAGAAGCTGCCACTAACTTCTTTGGGATCAGCCAGTAAAAGAGCTTCTTTTTGTTTCGCTAAAATTTCGGCCTTCAATGCTTCAAGACATGCTGATTCTAGACCTTCAAATTCTTTTAAGCTTGAAATCGAAATATCATCACCTTGACTCTTACTAAGAATGTATCGCCTAGGAAGAGATCCATTCAAAGACTCCTGTGAAGAAGATGAGTGCTGCTGGTACTGCTCCATCAAAGCCTTTTCAAGATTTTCAAATTCTTGCAACGAGCTGATAGAGATATCATCATTATCTCCGCGTACTCTAAATCTTATCCGAGACGCCATTTCCGATTCAGAAAGACTTCCGTACGAGTTTCTGAAGCTGCCATAGCTTCCAATAGACTCCTTCTGGGAACTTAAGCTACCTATTCTACTAGCATCAAAATCAGTCATTTCTTCTTCTTTAATATCCTCCAGCGGTATTCTTTCATAATCGTATCTTGGATCGCCTTCAAACTGCATTTGTATCCATCGCTTTCCTGCCTCAATCTCAGCTAATTCCTGAGCTTGCAAACGTTTTTGTTCAATTTCATAGGCTAATAATTCTTCATCAGATAAAGATCCGGATCCGGCACTGCTTGTACTTTCCTGCTTCTTAGATGCCTTCGACAGGTATTCTTCAACTTCAGTGTCGTGTTTCTTTTCATATTTCTGAGCTTTTATTTGGACACTCTTTCCCTCTGTATCAGTTTCTTGTGCTTCTTTTGCGACCTCTTCAATGACGACAAAGTCGTCCATCTCACTTGGTTTATCAACCATTTCAAATTCGTCACTCGTTGGAGACTCCTGTTCTTTTTCATATGTATGTAGAGCCTTCTCTTCAGTTGTCACCACCAGCTCTGATCGGCTGCTTTCAGTTACCAAGTCAGATCTCAATTCTGGTGTTTCAGATATATCATACATGTCATCTAGGACATATTCACGCCCGTTATCAGTAGAAAGAGAGCTTTGACTAGGTGCAGATAGTGGAGTATGTGGCGTTGATAAGTGCTCGTGAGTTTTCAGACTTGATGTAGAGCTCTGTTTGCTTTCAAGTTGTGAATCAGGAGTTTTGACTATGGCTTTTTCTGCCTTTGTTTTGGGAACAGCAGAGTCGCTCTTGGATTTTAAGATTTCTTCATACTGTTTTGAACCAATAGGTATAATGTCATCTTCAATATCAGTGAACTCTCTCTGACTGGGAGGGATTTCTGTCACAGGGAATGGTATGACACTCACTTCTTTGACTACTTTTTTCACACATTCTTCTTTGATTTCTATTGGTTCTGTATAAGTTGTATCCACTTTACTAGGTACAATTTCAGCATCATGTACAGTAGTTTTTACTATAGCTACTTCTTCTTTGTCCGACTTCCTCAGTTCTGGAGTAATGCTTCCATGTTTTACTATTTCTTCATATTCTTCAGAACCAACTGGAATAATTTCACTTTCAACGTCCACAAACTCTCTTGTCGGTTTTTCTAGTTTAGTCACCGAAAAAGGTATGGCGTGTACTTCATGAGTCGTGGGCTTAATGACTTCTTCAATAACAACCTTTTTCTCGATTTCAGACTGAGAAGAAGGCATGTCTAACTTTGAAATTGATGACGATAGTATTTCATCAGTTCTAAGTTGACTTGAAATTGTAGTGTCAGAGCCATCTCGTTCTTTAGATGAATCTTCGTCTACTTCAATGCTCTCAGAGGTACTTTCTAATGGGAAATGTTCAGGTATCATATCTTTGGGTAAGAAACGCATTTCATGTGATCTCTTCATTTTTCCAACTGGTTCTTCTAAATCAGCTTTTACATCTTCCTCGTCCCCAGACGCTTCTTCATCACTAACGTCTTTGACTTTTGCTGATTGTTCTTTTTCTCCCTCATGCAAGAATTGCTCTACATACGTGCTACTTTCCATTAATTCTTCTTTCAGTTCATTTGCTGAAGGTACGAGTGTTTCAGATGCGTCGGAAATATCAATGCTGGCCACATGGCTGGAGCCATCTGAATCTAGACTTTTCATGCTGTCTCTTGAAGCTAGCGAGCTTGCGGCAGTATAATAATCCTTTGACGTCCTTAAAGATTGAGAAGAGACATCGTGGCTAGTTAAAGCAGTGTCAAATTCAGTTGCACTTTGAGCTGTCATCATAACTTCTAAGTCGGAAGAAAGTGGCCTACTCTCCGAATGTTCAAAACTGTGATAGTGACTTTCACCAGAACTGGACCAGCCCTCCACTTCTGAAGCAGATCGCCTCTCAACTACACCGAGCTTTGATTTAATATGCTTCTGAACCCTCAATTTTACTTCTGGACTTCCTTTTGAGGAACCCTCTCGATCAGAAAGTATTATGTCACTTTCGGTTTCTAAAATTGAATGTGGGCCGCTGTCTGACCTGATAGAAATATCAGCTCCGTCTAATGGTGGGCTAGATTCTTTAATATAAACTGTGCCTTTCTCTTCATCAGAAGTCGTCGTTTCTTCTTGCGAGCTCACTTTATGTGAACTACTAATCGAAGTTTGGCTGTCTAACTGGAAGTCGTCTTTTTTAACGCTCGAAGTTTTATCAGAATGATCTTCTGTAGCGTGATGTGGTTCTTCAGTGATAACTTCAGGCCTTTCGGGACTTATTAAAAGTTTGAACTGAAATTCAGATGGCGACTGCTTGTATTTACTACTTCCGTCGCTTTTTTCACTTATAATTTCTACTTGTGCTGCTTCAAGAGACTGTTTGACTTCGTCAATGGTTTTTTCTAAAACCGACAAGTCAGCCAGTGGCTGAGCAGACATTAACGAATCCAGGTCCACCCGTTCTGACTCAAGTTTCGTAGCATGAAACTCGGCAGAAGAGAGATCAGTGTCATAACCGCTACTGCAAATATCCTCGAGGCTCTTTTCTTTGAATAGCTTTATTTCTTCTCTCTTGTGATCAGTACCAGTTAAGAAAGCCGAATCAGCTTCGGTTGAAAATTCAGACGGGTGTAATGTCTCTGCGCTGACTGTCGAATCCATTGATTTTTGGAGAATCTCGGCTTCGTGAGATTCCAGTGATTTAATCATACACTCAGTGTCCAAGCTTTCACCTGACTTAATCATTAGATCTTTCGATGTGGTGCTTATATCATCCGAAATCTCAAAAGTGCTTGGTGACATATCACTCTTTACCATTTTAGAAGTAAAGTCAGATTTCGGTTCGACTACAGTTTGTAGTTCTAAGCCTGTATCACTCCCAGAACTCTTTGTTTCAGTACTTGATGATTGAACCATAGCAGTTTTGAGATTGAGGGATTTTGGTATTTCATCTGCCATCTCAAATGAATCTGCTTTTTGAAGCGATACTTCCCAGACTTGTTCTTGAATTTGTTGCTGAGGTAATTTCACCGGAGACCTTGTCGGTTTCTCTTTCTTAGGCGTATCACCAGTTTTGTCATCGTGAGGCAAATCAGGTGCTACTTCTGATTCTGAATGAGTATCTTGGCTTCCCGTTCTGCTAAACGTACTCTTGACGGGAGACGTTGAGACTTTTATTTCTTTTATAAAATCTACTTCGTAAACTTCGTCGTCTTTTTTGAAAGATTTGGATTTACTTTTAGGGCTCGTTTCGGAAGAACCGCGTCGCTCAGCGGTTTCACTCTTGAAACTCGGGGCATGAGATGCATCAGAACTAAGATCATCGTGTTCTTTGCTTTCTATAACAGACTCTTCTCTATGATGTTCAACTTTTGAACTTATAACTTTTCCTTTAGCAGACACTTCTACGCCTGATATAATCTCATCTTTTTCTACGATCTTAAGAGCTGACTCAACATACGCAATTCTTGCCTTTGAATCATCGTCTTCTTTAATGTCTTCAAGTTCCCCAGGTTCAGTAAAATATTCTTTGCCCCATTGCTCGTGGGACATGTCTCTTTCTGAAATTTTAACTTCATGTTTTTTCTTAATAGTGTCATCTTTGAGCGCTGTCATTCGTTCTTCAGATTTAGTTTGTCTTCCTGTATAGAGCCCTTGCTCAGAAAATTCCCTTTCAACTTTAACGATGTCCGTGTCATCGGTGGTTTTATACACGGTTTTAGTTTCTACATCAGATCTTTTAGCTGTAGCCTCATGAGCTCTTTCAAGTTTCTTCTGTGACGTTTCTGTTTGATCACCTTCTTTGCGCACCGTTGTTTTTTCTTTCACTTCGTGTTCTTGTCCACGAAGTTCATGTGTAGTTTCAGTTTTTATAACAAGTGAGTCATCATCGGATGACGACACTTGTTTGGTTTCAGAAAAGTATTCCTGTCCTGAAATTTTTCTTGTCTCTGTTTCTTTGTGAGACAAAATAGTGCTATAATCATCCATATCAGTGGATCCAAACTTGGCTACCATGTCAGACATGTGTGCCCGCGGATCTATAGACTGGAACTTCATTTCAGCGCCTTCATATGTTTTGTGAACAGATGAAGATGATGTAGATGTTTCTACTCTTGATTCAGAATAAAATGTGTCCGATGACGTTGATTTCTGCATCTCTTCCATTTTGACGGCAAGCTGTTCTTTCTTGATTTGGTCAATCACATCTATACTTTTCTCGATTGTGCGGTCTACGAGCTCTATAGCTCCACTAGTAAGGGTTGGTTGGTCTACGTTTATGAATGATAGATTGTCAGCAAGATGTTTTGATGGAGATTTTGGTCTGGCGGCTTCAGTCAGTGCCTTAGACGCTTCTGTCAGCACGTCTGAAAAGAAAAGAAAACATTGTATTTCAATTGTAGCGTTGCTTAGTATAAAATGTGAACAGTGAAGGTGAAAATAAAAATCAATGTACATAATAATAGAAAATTGTTAACAAGGAGTCTAATAGATTTTTTAACATGGGATAAGGTAAACCTGTTTAAAGATTTGCCCAAAAGATTGTGAAAGCGCATCTAGCGTGAAACATATACCTAACAATGTGATGGATAGATACAGAGTTTAGCGATGGAAGCTGTGAGACAATGATGTGAAAAACAAACCAAGGAAGACTCAGAATCAAAGCGAAACGTTACTCAAAAGTGATTAATAATAATAGATGAAAATTTGCGAATCAAAGACGTGAAATACAAATTGTCTGTTTGAAAAAGCGACAATAATAAAAAAGTATGATCGATATCGCTTGTGGGTCCACTTACCTATAGCAACGTAAGGGCTCCGCAAGAAAGAAAGTAAAATTTACTGTGCTAACTATTATTTGGCAATACGAAGGTGACGGTTGCAAAGAAACAACAATGTTTATTTTATCCAGATGAATATTATAGTTAATTTAGATTCCAAATTCTATTAGTTATTAAAATTATTTGGGAAGTTCAAAACGCAATGAATGTGCTCGCTTACAAGATTTTTAGACAAAAGCAACATGATTGAGTGAAGATTTATTTTTTAAGTACCAATTTTTTATTTCGTTTGCGGTTCTGGGAACAATAATATATTAATTTAATACTTATTATTAATGTGAAACTAAACCACAGAATACATGCGATAATTGGCGTAAACTAAAAGAGTGTGGCAAAAAAGGCTCTATAAATGGTTTCTCTCTACGAAAATCAGGAGTAAAGTTTCGCTATGACTCTACTTTGCTTTGCCACTACTTGTACTGAAAAGCTTGCTTTTTTGATGCAAGATTCAGGTAATGTTAAAACAAAACTTCGGTTAGTGGAAGGTTTATATTGAGGGGATAAAGTTGTATTCTAATTTATTGAATGATTTTTAGTGATAAAATGTATACTGACCACTCTGGTGGGCCTCAGTTTCACTAATGAGACTGTCTCCAGCTGATGATGCCCTGGGAGACTGACGGCTTGCATCCAGGAACGATGAGTCGGAACCTAAGTGGAATGATCAATTAGCGTCTACTTCTAGCTTTACTATGACCAGTTTGTGAATGTGGGATTAGTGTATTGTGTTGTGCTTCAAATGTCATGTAACTAACACTTGTGTAAGTGATTGTAAACTAGATACTTTCATGATGTGTTTGATGTTTCCAATGATTTTTACTGAAACATACCTCTAAGTTGTAGCCCGGTTTGCCTATCGCCAGAACCATCCTCCACTTTGGATCTGTCCTTCAAATCTACTGGTGATGGAGGCGGTGTTTTGGAAAATTTCGATGCTAGATCTGCAGGTGCAAATAAATCTACATTACAACTGCGCGCTATATTTAAAAAATATATATTGTGCTGATGTAAATGTTAACCTTAGGTATCAGGATTATTTTAAATGAACTTACCATGTGTCACGTGACTTGAATCGATTCTGATAAGTGCTCCTTGTGATATGTCTTCTAATAGATTGGAACATCTTCTGTTCAATTCAGTCATGTCTGGCACTTGGTCATCCATTTCTTTCTTTTCAACGTCCTCTTTAGATTCTTCTTTATCATCTTTCACTAAGTCATCAGTAATGACACTATCTGATTTACTGTCAGAGGCTTTGTCTAATAATGATGATTCTCCAAAACTGTCTTCTGACTTTTTCATCTCGGATTTTAATTCTTCGATTCTTTCGTCGATTTCACCGATAAAATCTTTTTCTTGATCGATTTCTGACGGTCTCGTTTTATCTAGAGACCGATCATCTTGTTCGCTCAATAGTTTACTCTCAGTCATAACTGAAGTTTCTTGGGAAGAACTGGTTGATATCCTTACTACGCGAGACACGGATTTTTCGTCTTCATGGAATTCTCTGCTAATAGTGATGCCTTCTGAGGCATCTGATGCCAAAGTTTTTGATACATCTAATGACGAATGATCTTCCGAGAAAGTCTTTTCATCAAGTGATTTGGAGGTCTCTTTTACGCTTTCGACCGATGCTTTAGAAAAGTCTTTACTCAAATCAACCGTGGAGTCTTTCGATAGTTCATTTGTGGCAAAATCTCTTGAAGTGTCTTTGCTGTCGATGGAAGACTTTGAATAATCTTTGGTCAAATCAATCGATTTCTTTGACAAATCTGGTGTGCCTCGATCTTCAATGGGCTCCTCTATTTTGGAATCATCTTTAGTTTCAAATGAAGTTTTAGAGGGATCTTTGACTAATTCAGCACCGCTGATCTTCGAAAATTCAGCTGATGTTCCATCTTCCAAAACTGATTTTTGGCTTTCGTCTGATGACTTAGTTAACGTTGAAACAACAGTGGTAACTGATGATTCAGTCGTTGATTTAGATACTAAGTCTGAATGTAGTATTCTGTCAACAAAGTGCGTCTTTTTGATCATTTTGTCAGAAGACCTGTCTTCTTCTGTGTCCTGTTGCCTTAGATGGCTTGGACCAGGTCTGTCAACCGGTTTGAAATCATCTAAGAATTTACCCTCCGCCGGTTCATCAGAAAATTTGACATCATCGCCAAAATATTCAGACTGGAATAGTTAACATTAATTTATAAGTAATTAGGACTCTCATAAACAGATTAAACAAGAACATTATACATTAAATGTTTTAGTTATTTTACATTAAAATTACTCTTACCTCTTTTTCTGGGAAATCATCGGCATCATCAAGTGAATCAGTCCTTATCTTCTTTGTATCAAAGCTAGATGTCGCAATTTTACCATCAAGGTCTGAAGTAGGTTCAATTATTTCAAGTACTTTTGCTTTATCCATATCTGAAACGCATTTTTTGTATAATTCCTACTCTAAATCAAACATTAATTTAAATAATGTCTTAAAATCAATGTATTAAAACTTACCAGATTCAGAATCGGTGTATATTTGCTCTTCAACTTCCTCAGGCGAGCTTTGAACTGAAAATGTCCTTGGATGCTTCTTCTTAGGCATTATTACAATTTCTCCACTGTCTCGTGAAAGGGATTTTATCAAACCTGGCCTTTCCTTTACAAACTTCTTAGTCTCTTCAAAGACTATTTCTTTTTTAGCTTCGATCTCTTTTTCTTTAGCTTCTTTCGAAGATTCCAACATTTCTTCTACAGTGGTGACCGCTTCTTCAATAATAGAGTCTACAGAGACTCGTTCAGCAATATCTCGCTGTTCAGATGGCTCTTCAGGTTCAATCTGTTCATCTGAAGAAACATCAAAGTCCTCAGATGCTTGCTTAATGATTATTTCAATGTTGTCCGCCATTTGCTTCATAGCTGAATCAGATTTCTTCATTTCTGTACTTGTCTCGGTTACTTTATGTGATTCAATAGGTAAACTTATTGGTTTTGGTATTGGTTGTTCATCTTCTGTCTCCACTTCAGATTCAGCTATTCTTTCTAATGATATAGCAGGGCTTATACATGAATGTCTACGCTCTTCTTTATGGGGCACTTTAGCGTCGTATGATCTTTTTTCAGATTCAACAATATCTTTGGTGGCTATTTTAATATCTTTGTCTAATATTGGACTTCTTGCAGCTGCGGCAATAGTACCTTTTTGTAGGATATCATCAATTACAGGTTTAACTTGTTCTTTTGTAATTTCAGGAACTTCTTTTAAATCGAGACTCTTAGGCACAAACCGTTTTACTTCTTCGAAATCTTCATCCAAGTCAAATTTACCTAGCGTGTCAGTTCTAATTTTGCTAACATCAAATTTGGAAGAAGTTTCTTTTACAATGGTTTCAGTAGTTGTAGTTTCAGTTCCAGTTGATCCAGTAATATCCTTTGTGACTGTGGTAACTTTAGTTACAACAGTTGGTTCATGTTGTTTCACAACTGTAACTATCGATTCTGATTCCTGTGCTGTATCCGTTGTGATTGGACCTTCCATTGTTTTCAAGACTTCTTCAATTGGACCAGTAATGTCTTTAGTAATTGTGGTTACTTTGGTTACAATAGTAGGTTCATGAGTTTCAATGTAAGTTTCATTTGATGCCTGGCTCTTCATTGTGACTTTTTTAAATATCTCCTCATTTGGATCCGAAACATCTTTGGTAATAGTAGTAACTATAGGCTCACTAGTTTCTGTTATAATAAAACTACTACTTTCAGCTTCTTGTGTTGAATCAGTTATCGCTGGCTCTTTCATTGTGACAGTCTTGAAAACTTCTTCAATCGGTCCAGTAAAGTCTTTGCTTATTGTCGTAACTTTAGTGACAATAGTTGGTTCATGGTGTTCAGTCACAGTGTACGAAGTTTCAGTTACTTGTCGCGTATCAATTGATTTATGTCCTCCTAATTTGACCGTTTTAAATATTTCTTCAGTCGGCTCAGACACCTCCTTGGTGATTGCCGTAAATTTAGTCACAACGGTTGGTTCGTGATGTTCCGTTACAGTGTATGTAATTTCCATGTCCTTTCGTGTATCGATAGAAGTAGGCCCTTCTGATGTGACCGACTTTAATACTTCTTGAATTGGCTCTGCAACCTCTTTGGTAATTGATGTTGTTGTTGTGATAACAGTTGGTTCATGCGTCTCAGTAACAGTATACGCACTATCAACAATTTCTTTTTTATCAGATTTTACTTGTTCTACAACTTTTGATATCTCCTCAGTAGGTCCCGAAATACTAGTAACTTTAGTTACGACAGTTGGTCCATGAGTTTCTGTCACTTTCTCTTCCTTGGTGAGAGGAGTGCTTTCAATTGACGAGGATGAGACGATATGAATCGTTTCACGTTTCAACTGTTCTTCCCTTTCTCTGTTCAAAAATTCGTTGGTAATATCTCTATCTTGCACAGCCCTGAAACAAAATGCAATTTTACTTTACCGATAAGTAGGTACATAGAAAAGTTTGTATTAATTAATTGATTGTCATTTTCAAGCCTATGCGAAGCTGTAGATTTGATTGATGTAATGACTTAAATGAAGTAGATTACACAGTACACTTGAATAGTCATTACATTCATGTGTATAGTTTAAATTAGACACTTACCCGACTTCAGCAATATGAGGAAGTTTATGTACATAATCTGTGACATGGTCCTCTGGGAAACCTTCAACGTCATCTAACGAATCTCCATGAGTTAATCTTGCTAATTTGGATTCACTTGCTTTAGCTACAAAAAACAATACATTGAAATATAACAGGAATGTTTAGGATTTTAAACAAATCTTATTTATGTGTAATATTTACCTAAAGCAGCTTTCTTCTCACTCTCAAGTTTAGTCTCAACCTTATCTTTAGACATATCCACATGGGTACCTTGGGTGCCAATATCATCTTCCGATTCTTCAAAAGTGTAATCCCTGGACTCAGTGAGGCTGTGAGCGTCAGATAANAATTATATACCGTGTCTTTACAATGCCTGCATAGCTAATGAAAATTCAGCCTTCTAGTTTTATCCACAACGAAGTTACAGGCAGTCGAAAATGGCCTGAATTGTTTCGAGAAAAGGATGGTACGGCCGTGCCGCTTTTTACTGCCGTGCCCCCAGATTATTATTTAATTAAGCCGTGCATACTCATGCACTCACATAAAATATAAATTGAATCAACTTGATTGTTAGATGCTTTGAACCCTAAGCGATGTACCAGATTGAGCATAATAATGGTAACTCGTCATTATTAATTTTTCATGTGTATTAGATATAAATAAAATGACTAAAAAAACAGACAACTCAATAGCAAAGTATATTCATTACATGTTCATGAATTAGTTATTTCTTCGTAAAGTAGACAACTTACCCGACTTCAGCAATATGAGGAAGTTTATGTACATAATCTGTGACGTGATCCTCTGGGAAACCTTCAACGTCATCTAACGAATCTCCATGAGTTAATCTTGCTAATTTGGATTCACTTGCTTTTGCTACAAAAAACAACACATTCAATTATAACAGGTATGTTCAGGATCTTAAACAAATCTTATTTAGGTGTAATATTTACCTAAAGCAGCTTTCTTCTCACTTTCAAGTTTAGTATCAACCTTATCTTTAGACATATCCACATGGGTACCTTGGGTACCAATATCATCTTCGGATTCTTCAAAAGTGTAATCCCTGGACTCAGTGAGGCTGTGAGCATCAGATAATCTCTTTTCTTCTAAGCGAAGCTCACTAACTGAACCTGATCCAGCTGACGTCACTGATTGACGTTTGATGGCATCAACTAAAAAAATAAGAAATGCAAAGTAATCAAAAGGACAAAAAGGAGAGGCTTTGATAGAATTTACGAAAAATACGCAGCAAAATGTTGTTTATCGTTATGAAAACTACACACAAGTTGTGTATTTTCACAGAAATAAAAACATCAGATCGATTTCAGATATGATACCGCATTGTATGCGTTTCATGAAATTCCACTAAATCATTATAATAAAAAAGTTCACAGTACCTTTCTCAACGGTATCTTCCCTGAATGTCTTTACATCAGTTTTCACAATTTCTTTGGTAATTTCCTTGACACTAGTAACTGTCACCTTTTCATCTAGTGGAATCACTTCACCGTCTTTCAACGCGTCTTCCTCAGAGGACGTCTTCTTTTCCGTAACAGCATCTTCTGAACTAATCTTGTCTGAAATGCCTTCGGATGATTTACGTTCAGAAATTTCAATTTCTCGACTACTTTCAGAAGAAATCTTATCAGAAGGTTCATCTTTGTCAGATTTATCAACTTCTTCGGCCTCAGTGACAAACATTTGGAACTCTTGTTTTGGTTTAGCCGGTTCAAGGTCTAATTGTAAATCACTAATTTTTGAGATCGATACAGATTCTGTCCTTGAATGACGTTTTGGTCCCATCTTTTTGAATACAACTTCGGGCTCTTTATCAGATTCAGAATCTTGTTTCTCAGAGTCAGTTGTCTTAGTGTCGATTCTCATTGAGGTAAACCCGACGCTTTCTTCGAACTTCTCGTCACCAAATCCACTTCCTGAGTCGACTGTTTCTTCATATTCAGCGCGTTCATCAAAATCAGACGAAGAAACTTTAGCTTTTACATCTGATTGGTCTGATTTCAGGGACTCAGCTTCGGAATGGCGTCTTGAGTCTGTGTGCTCTGAGTCTTCTAAAGAGTCCGAGTAAATGCGTTTAGAGAAGAAGCATTCCTGAACTGAATCGTCTTCGGGAACTGTCTCAATGAATTGACGAGCCTTTGCACTTATTACTGGAGACTCTTTAGGTGAGACCTATCAAAATATGAAGTAAATAATATGAAAACACTAGTAATCATACATCATTATACGTATTGGCATCTACATTTTAGATCTATACTTTGATTTATTTAAATACAAAATACAATACACACGCTAGAAGTAGACTTATTAAAAGTAAACATATCAGCTCTATTATCAAATATTCAATAGAAAGTTTTATCACAAATAACACAAGGTTTAACGATGGCCTGAATTTGGGATCGACCATACCCACCTTTTCTGCGTCTTTCGCGTCAATAGTAGGTGCATGAATTTGTGCACTGTATTCACTTTCGTATCTGAGGAACTCTAGAGTTTGATCTCTAGCATGTGTAGTTTTATCTGAGACGACAGTTATAGTTTTTACTTCAGTCTTGGATACGACGTGACTGACATCTTTGTNATCCTTGTCTACAGGCCGGTGAGCTGGACTGGAACCGATCTGATCCTCTAAGTCTGAGAACTGAGACGCTTCGTCCAGTGAGTCACTACGGTGCTTTGAATCCTTGGAATATACCTACAAGTTAGTCATTATTATTGAACTCTTGCATAACATTAAAATACCTAATAAAATTTATCTAAAAAGTTATTCACATTTTGAGAAAGAGAATTCAAATTATCGTTTAGCAACCAAATTAAGTAGCAGAGAAATAAAAAGTTACTTGATTGAAATAAACATGAATTGAGCTAGCTTTTGCCGATTGTATAAGTTACTACTTGAAAAGTTTTTTAGTATTTACCTTAGATTCAGTTTGTGAAATAAAACTGAAATCTTTTTCAGTGCTTTGCTGTAAATCGGCAAGTGAGTCGGTCTTTTCTATGCCTGATGGCACAGGCGACTCTTGAGAAATCTTACGACCAATAAGATCTTGCACGTCAGAGCTTATGGAATCAGTCTTAGTATGTTTGCTTAGGTCAGATTTTGTGCTAGCTATTGACAGTTGAGGCTCAATCTACAAACAAATATAACAGAAATAAATGGAAGTTGTAAATGTTTAGTAACCAAAATAGGTGATAGGAATAAAACTAATAATTTATTTTCAGTAAAGCCGATTGATTTGAAAAATAGTAGGTAAAGAAAAATTACACACAGTATTTAATTTTATAATAGCCCGAACTTACCTTATCTTTTAATTTGTCATTAACAGAAACTTCTTTTTCTTCCACAGCTTCTGTAATTTCTTCTTCGCTAACTTTAGATCTTAGCTCTTCTGTCATTTGCTTCTCTAACTTGATGGCAACATGATGATCATCTTTCTTATCATCATCGTCCGACTTTTTATCGTCTTGCTCGGGAATAATTTTGGGGTCCTTGGATTTCAATTCAAATCCGTCTTTCAAGCCTTTGAAGGCGAACGATTCTTTGTCTAACTTTGATTTAATTTTTTGTTCTAATTTATCTACCTTTACAGTTGTTTGTGACTCAGTTTCAGTTTCTGAGTCGGTTGATTTCTTTAAAAATTCGCTATCTTCTTCTGATGACACTTGAACTAGAGTTGAATCCGTTCTTATTGTCTTCGAATACGGTTTACCTTTATCTTCGTATTTAATTTTAGAATCAAAGTGCTGAATGGTTTCCTTTACAGACTTCACAGTTTCAACTTGTCTCTCAGTTTCAACTGAAACTTTATGAACCATGTGCTCCTGAGTTTCCATACTCGAGATTTGCTTAGATTGTTCCCTTACAAACTCTTGTGTATATTCATTGCCTTGTTCTTGTGCTAATGTGTGTTTTTTCAATGCTTCTTTTGTTAGCTTGACTGTAGTTTTAGGTAAGTCAATTGACGGTTCTTTAGGTATTTTAGATTCGAATGAACTGATCTTATCTCGCAACGTAGCTTCTGCGATATCTTTGTCATCTTCAGTGACAAGTTCTGGGGACTTTTCACCATCGTCTAGTTTTTCTTCAACTTTAGAACTAACGATTTCTTTTTGTGATATAACATCCTTAGTAAATGTGTCAACTTTTTCTATTACTTGTTTCACTTCTGTTGTTTCCGTAACTGATTTCCTTGGAGTGATAGTAACGTTGGAGAAATCACCGGAGGGGAATCGCATAGATTCGTTTCTCATGTGCCTCTGTAGATGTTTAGGGGTTGGTTTAGCAGGAGACGATGGGTCAAACTTTCTAAATTGTTCAACTGGCCGTTCCACAGGTTTTGGTTCTTCTTTCTTTACTTCAACTATCTCTTCTCTGTGAATTTCTATTTCTTCGGTCTCTTCAAGAGTTTCTGGAGACGTTTTTGAACGCGTTCGCTCTAATTTGGGATCTTTTTCCTTAACCTGTATGTGCAATGAAATATTAGTAAAATATGTAGAAATAAAAATATTGAACATTATTGTTACATGTAAACACAGATTTAAGATTTTTGAGACTATTTTTGAAGAAGCTTACCTGCACTTGTTGTTCAATATCATGGAACTTTTTAATGTCAGGTTTGATCTGAGTCTTGATTTCAATGATTTCTTCTCTAATTTCTTTCTTTTGCTTTGACGCCGGTATTTTACTTGAGCTTAACTTCCTTGTTATTTGTTCTTTCCTTTCTGCTACACTTCGCTTCACATCTGTCAAAAATCAATATTTTTTAGTTACTTCCACAAAATAGTCTGAACATTTACTGTCTTGGGAACATGCAAAATAAATACGTCAAGTAATTATAATACATTTGACTGACCTTCGTCCTCCTCACTCTCTTCACTAGGCGTGGGAGTTCTGTCCACTAAAGACTCACTCTTATCCACTATCGACTTCTCTTCTGGAGAATATTTAGCTTCGTCTTCATGGTCTTGCTCAGATTCTCTGTGTAGACGCTCGGCAATTTGGTTTTCGTCGTATATTTTGTCTTTGAGTTTATTATCCTCTTCAGCTATGAAATAAATATTAATATTAGAATCAAAATGTGTTATTAACATTTGCAGGTATAGCTATAGCGCATAATTTAATATCTTCTTTCGATCAGAATGATAGCTCTGTTAGTTCTGTCACTTAACACCCGTCTCGTACCGCTATATTACCACAAGAACCTACCCAGTTAGGCATTTTACCTGTGAATAGTCTACATAATATTAGCGACAAAATAAATAATTTTATTTCGGCAATACCTTTGTAAGCCTCGATTTCCTCAGAAGCTTGTCTCTCTTGGTAGATGTTCCTCTGGATGCGCCTCTCGTTTGTGACTTCCGATTGAGGTGCGATGATGTCATCTCTGCCAATGCGGCATAGTGCAAGTTCCAATGAAGTGTCTGCAAAAAGTGTGAATACCAATTATTACAGGACTAGTTCCACCTCTCTTTCCCGCCCCTGTTACTCCTATTTAGCCAGGGAAGCGAGCATTTACAGTTTGACCGTCAATGAAATCCAGATAGTGAAGTTGAACATTACTGTTAATGTTATTTGTTTGGTGTGCAATAAAGTGTATTTATTATTATTATTATTATTACTCAGTCCCCACGACTATAACCACGGAGTGAAAATCGCAATGTGTGCCTCTCACTCCGTGGACCGATGATCTAGTGGATGTATCTGAAGGCATCTGGATGCCATCGGCACAGGACCGGTCGTTGAAGAAATCTTTAGAGAAGGCCTAGTCTAGTCGTAAAGTCTAGCAGTGAAATCCCAAGTCTTAAACTATGTAGCTTCAAGTTTGCATTGTAGTCTAGTACGAGAACCACCAGGTGCCCCCTTCAAAGCATTAAAATCTATACATATTATGTATTCCCACCTTGGGCTTTGGTACCNTCAACTTCCTTGTTATTTGTTCCTTCCTTTCTGCTACACTACGCTTCACATCTGTCAAAAAGTAATATTTTTTAGTTACTTCGACAAAATAATAGCCTTAACTTACGGTCTTGGGGAGATGCAAATTAATATGTCAAGTAGTTAATAATACATTTGACTGACCTTCGTCCTCCTCACTTTCTTCACTAGGCGTGGGAGTTCTGTCCACTAAAGACTCACTCTTATCCACTATCGACTTTTCTTCTGGAGAATACTTGGCTTCGTCTTCATGGTCTTGCTCAGATTCTCTGTGCAGACGCTCGGCAATTTGGTTTTCGTCGTATATTTTGTCTTTGAGTTTATTATCCTCTTCAGCTATGAAACAAATATTATTATCAGAATGAGAACGTTTGATATTGTCAATTTTTGCAGCTATCGTGCTTAACTTAGTATGTTCTTGCAGTAATGAAGCGGAGCGGGAGGATTTTTTACGTTAAAACATCAGTGAGACTTCAGATGTGCCTCTGAAATAAATTCCGTGATAGTTCTGTTACTTCTCTCATAATATCACCCGTATCGCACCGCTATATTACCACAAGAACCTTCCCAGTTAGGCGCTTTACCTGTGAATAGTCTACATACCTAATACAAGCAACAATTAAAAAAAATATTTCGGTAATACCTTTGTAAGCCTCGATTTCCTCAGAAGCTTGTCTCTCTTGGTAGATGTTCCTCTGGATGCGCCTCTCGTTTGTGACTTCCGATTGAGGTGCAATGATGTCATCTCTGCCAATGCGGCATAGGGCCAGTTCCAATGAAGTGTCTGCAAAAAGTGTGAATACCAATTATTACAGGACTAGTTCCACCTCTCTTTCTCGCCCCTGCTACTCCTATTTAGCCAGGGAAGCGAGCATTTACAGTTTGACCGTCAATGTAACCCATACAGTGAAATTGAACATTACTCAGTCCCCACGACTGTATCTATGACCATGGAGTGAAAAACGCAATGTGTGCCTCTCACTCGGTGGACCGATGATCTAGTGGCTGTATCTGAAAGCATCTTGATGCCACCAGCACAGGATCGGTCGTTGAAGAAAACTTTAGAGAAGGCCTAGTCTAGTCGTAAAGTCTAGCAGTGAAATCCACTTGGTAGCCCCAAGCCTTAAACTATGTAGCCTCAAGACTGTATTGTAGTCTAGTACGAGAACCACCAAGTCCTCCTCCAAATCTATACATATTATGTAGTTATTGTATTCCTACCTTGGGCCTTGGTACCAGACTGCGTCTTCCAAAGCTTCAGCATGAGCTGCGCCTGCTCAGCAGCCGTGATCCTCTTGGCTTGGATCTGGTTGACGGTGGCCACGCTGACTCCCAGCTCGTACGCCAGCGCCACCCAGTCTTTGCCGAGGAGGTTGCAAATGTCTTCCAACCTAAGTATGTACATACATGTTTATTTCACGAGCAATTCGATTTATTAAAGAAAACTTGACCCTTTAAAAATAAATCATTCAGTTCAATAAGATTTCTCAAGAGTACCAATAAAGTCACCAATTCATTTTAAAGGGATACTGCATTTGGAAAACTACTGACTGTTAATTCAGTAAAAAATACGATTGCCTGCGGTCAAAAGTCTTTTGATTGATTTTGCTGGTTAAGTACTTTTTTATTTTGACTATTTTGGTACTCAAATATACTTTTGACTGGTTAAGAGTTTTGACTGTGACATATTCGTTGATAAAAAGAAAAAAAGGCACTTTTTATTGTCGTTCCGTGCTTCTTAGGTCTTTTTTATAGGACTTTGGGAATCTCCAAATTAGTAGCTCAAAGACAAGAAAGTTCTATTGTTTAGTAGACCGAATTATGATGAATGAAAGTTCTACCAGTTAATTACCTCGGGTCGCTGAGTCGTTGCCTCCATATCAGCTCTTGCTCCTCAGTGCGCAGCGGCACCGTGTCAGTCGGCTGAGGGCTCGTCCTCTCCACTGATGTATCGTCAGGAACCATTATGTTCAGGACGGCGATCTATTGGGAAGATTGATTTTTGGGAGGATAAGTGACTCTGTCAATTAATCAATTACAGGACATTTCATAGTGTTTCTGCTTTTTTTTCTCATTACTATGCTAGCTCTTGATCGAACTTATTATGGGACTATAACTGTAGCTTTTCCCTTTGCTTTTTGTCTGGGAATTTTCATAGACTTTGACTAATATGACTTCTTTTAACGATGTATATGTTACGGTTAATGTGATAAATTGAAAATTATGAATAATCGCCGGTTATTATGAATAATTACCGACAGGCTTGGTAAAAGAGATAAATTAATCACATTTATCAGTGATTATTTCATAATGTAACCTTAATACTAACAAACACCATAAAAGAGAACACCGGCTCGTGTACAGCGCTCATGTACAGCCTCACATTTTGAACGTTTTGATATCATATATTAATATAATTTGGCAAAATGCGTTTGGAATGTTTTTTGCATAACATTACTTTGCCATAATTTTTTTTTTTTTTTTTTTAATATATAAAATGCCTATAACATTGTTTTGATTTATAGTGAAAAATAGGTTAGGGTGCGGCGGCCTAATCCTAAGCCGCCTATTTAGTTTATACACACTAAAATGATCTCATATTAATCACATTTACCAAATCATGCGGTAATTATTCATAATAACCGGCGATTATTCATAATTTTCACATTTATCACTTTGACCGTAACATATAGACTCTTAAACAACTGTAGACTTTAAAGACTTCGTTAAATAAACTACTCTTATTCTACTATGTCATTATTCAGTGACTGCAGTATATCAAGGCTCTCAAACTCTGTGACTGTTAAACATAATGGGTACGCTTCCATCTACAGCTGATTGATAAAATACAAATTGCATTTTAATAAAACTTAGTAATGTGTAGAAACTTACCGGTGCCGGCGACGGTTCACCCTTAGGAACCTTCGGATCCCTCATAAACTGACAACGGCAGATCGGCTCCAGATCCTGGGTCTTGATCATCACAGGGAACGCAACGCGGTTCTCCCGGAACGCGCGGAACGGAATCGACAGCTGTTCTCCGGACTTGGCCACTGGGACTAGGTTTCCACCAAACTCTAGGTAGATGGGCTTGCCTTCGTGGACCTTGAAATAGACAACATAGTGTGTTATTGCGTCATATTGGTAGATAGGATACAACCTCAGATCATAGAAGGGAATAGATGTGAAACGGGGGCGTGGCGCGTGTCTCCGCGATATGCCCAGAAACGAACATCGCCCGCGACGCCAGGTTAGTCGCGATTCAGTCGTACTGAGGAAATGTTCTCCGATATTGTTGGATAATGCGTCGTAACGTGCAATAACATAAGTGAAACGAAGAACTACAGGAACAATGAAGTCATTTACCACATGTAAGTATTGCAAATCCATTGGTATTTTGCTTATAAATAAAAAAAACTAAACATTTTTACGAACGAATTCAGTGCCGTGACATTTACTGCGATATCGAAATTAGTGGTGATAAAAATTCAAACACGTTGTACATTGACGATTTAGTTAGCAACCACTTTATGTCATGCGTAACTACTGCGCAATGTATTTTATTTCTTCCGATATCCACTGACGCGTGAAAATACACAGTACGGCCGCATGTGCCGGTCGTAACATAGTGCAGGGCTCGTGTTCTAATACGGTTTCCTATTATCGATAAATAGAAGTAAATTATTATTTTCTAGATTCTGAGTTTTTCGTCCATACAAAATGGAACTGACTCCTTTATGCAAAAATCGTTAAAGAACATAATAATAACGTATAATAATAAAAAGGTTTTCATACAAGCATTTTTTAAACCAATTTCGAGCCTTGCCCCCAGGATTTAAAGTATCGATATCTTATCGACTCCATTTTATCTTTCTTCTCTCTAATTGCTTTTTTCAAAGTGTGCGTCACGTCACGCGGCCATTGATTGGCCATAAGGCACGCCTTCTGGCCAATCACAGCACTTTTAAGCCGGTTGCACATGTTGTCGTAGACTCTCAGTCGCTTTGTTTTTACACAGTTGAATGTGTGTGTGGGAGCTGTGGTGGGGGAAATGTGGGGACACTGGTTCTCGTTGTAGTTACGCGCGACTTCATATCTATTCTCTTTCTATGATCTGAGGATACAACAAACCAGTTTAATGATATGCCATTGAAACCAAAATAACACTCCCATTCTTCCCATGGATGTCTTAAAAGACCTGGCCAGAGTAGCGAATGTAAAACCTCCATTCACCTCCAATAAATAGACATGCTCCTGCATTAGAGACTAATAATTGACCTGATGATGATGATACAAAAATAGAAAGGAGAAAGAGTGAACCAAGAATACAGACATACAATTTCATTTGTAAATTTTATAAAATTAAGTATACCTCAACATCCCTGCTCTTGGCGACTTGTATGAACCGTTCGATCCTTTCCAAAGCCTTGTCCTCCTTGTCGTCGGTGACACAGAACATGCGGAGCTGGGCCTGGCAGTCGTCGGTGCGCTTGGCGTACACCACGAACCGGGCCATGAATGGCACGTGGATCGCTTCCCTAAAATTATATTACAAATTAAAAAAGAGTGTATTTTGAGAATGCCGCTGTACAAGGAAGGCTAGGCAGCACGTATAAAAAATATTTCCTTACTAAGCTAAACTTTTGTCTGTAACTAAGTAGGTACTAGATAAAATAGTAATTTAGAGTGCTTAGAGACTGATAAACTATAAAGTTTATCAGTCGTTGCCGATGTTGTCGTTAAGTATAAACTTACTTACTTCCATGGAGAAGTCTAGGTAAATAGTAACATTACCAGCGTTTGTCGTACCTGTACAATTCTGTAGCCATTTTTGTGGCGTCTTCAATATGGCGGCAGTCGATGAGCCAATACCGAGCCGAGACAGTCGTGGTGAACGACACACAGTCATTCACGAAGGTCAGAGGAGTGTTCTCCGTCACATCCTCCCAATGCGCGCGGTTCGTCCCTCCTGCCATCAGAAAACTCAATTTACCCACCAATATCAACTCCACAACAACACTTGCTATACAATGCTGCTACTCTCAAGTCTCTCTCAATGCTAGACGAACAATGGAAGCTAAAGACAGTAGCTGTACCAACTGCCTCAATTATATGATGCTACCTATAATATTTTAGCATGCCAAAGCAGGCCTTTACTTCTAAATCATCTTCACCATACTATTATAAATTTCTACGCAATTAAAACTAATATCGACTACGTAAACGTTTATACATTACGAGTATTGTGAAAGTTTCAGAAGTGTAACAGTTTTACATTAAACACANGAAAACACGTGTAAATTAACTTATTTAGTGCGATGGCCAAGTCAATATATTTATGTAAAACGTTAAAGATTTCCTGGCCTGGACTTGGTATTACATGGATCTCACAACTTTTTACCGTAGAACAACTGAGTTGCGAGACTTGGTTTTTTTGACAAGTATTGTTTTTGATGGGATACTTTTGACTGGTTAAGAGTTTTGACTGTGACATATTCGTTGATAAAAAGAAAAAAAAGGCACTTTTTATTGTCGTTCCGTGCTTCTTAGGTCTTTTTATAGGACTTTGGGAATCTCCAAATTAGTAGCTCAAAGACAAGAAAGTTCTATTGTTTAGTAGACCGAATTATGATGAATGAAAGTTCTACCAGTTAATTACCTCGGGTCGCTGAGTCGTTGCCTCCATATCAGCTCCTGTTCCTCAGTGCGCAACGGCACCGTGTCGGTCGGCTGAGGGCTCGTTCGCTCCACTGATGTGTCGTCAGGAACCATTATGTTCAGGACGGCGATCTATTGGGAAAATTGATAAGAATAAGTGGCTTTATCAATGAAATGTAAAGTATTAATAGTACTTTGAATAGACAGAAAAGACAGTTCCCTGTATTCCTGTTTTTCATATTAATGACATTGCTCTTGATCAAACTATTTTGAGAAACTAGTCTTCTGAATTTAAGGTTTTTTTTCATCAAAGAATTTTTGTATACCATGTCCAGACACGGTGACTGTTATACATATTGGGTAGGTACGCTTCCAGTTCCAGTTAAGTAAAAAAAAAAGACAAGTGCGTGGCACGCGCATTGTAGGGTTCCTTAGTTGTCCGTCGTAACCACAATACTGCCTGTTCACCCTAAAATAAGTAAAAATGCATAACGCATTTATTAAGGCTAAGTTGCATCTCCGTTACTTTGACTGGGGTTTATGTAGGGAGCTTGACAGACTTTTGACATTTGTTACTAAAAGTAAGATGGTGCAATCCAGGGCTCGTATTATATAGGGACTCACCGGAGCCGGCGACGGTTCACCCTTAGGAACCTTCGGATCCCTCATGAACTGGCAGCGGCAGATCGGCTCCAGATCCTGGGTCTTGATCATCACAGGGAACGCAACGCGGTTCTCCCGGAACGCTCGGAACGGAATCGACAGCTGTTCTCCAGACTTGGCCACTGGGACCAGGTTGCCACCAAACTCTAGGTAGATGGGCTTGCCTTCGTGGACCTGGAAATAGATAATATTATATTATTAGATTTATTGGAGCATGTTGGTACAGTGGGCCACAGTTCCAGCTACCCATTTTCGTTTTTGTCTCGCTCTCATCAAATGGCCATTCTTTGCTATGTCTGTATGTATTTAAATGGGTAGCTGAAAGTGTAGCCCATAAAGTACTCTAAGCAGATTTACAACAAATACACAGATATTATGTAATTGAAAACTAAAAGAGCATTTCCACTCTTCCCATGGATAACGTAAAAATATGTAAACATCAGGGCTCCCCAACCTATTTGGCCAGTGCGGCGAGTGTAGGCAAAACCTTAATTTGCCTTCAGTATAGATTATGCTCTTGCATTAGGCCTTCGGAACCTGTATATCCACCAGGGTGGAGCGTTAAGGCCAAAACCTCCATTTACCTCCAGAAATCATGCTCCTGCATTAGAAACTAAATGACCTGATGATGATGATACAAAAAGAGAAAGGAGAAAGAGTAGGAAATCTTAAGAATATTATAAGATTAAAGACGTTAAGTAATCTACTCTTACAATTTCACTGGGAAGTTTTATAAAATTAAGCAGGTGTACCTCAACATCCCTGCTCTTGGCGACTTGTATGAACCGTTCGATCCTCTCCAAGGCCTTGTCCTCCTTGTCGTCGGTGACACAGAACATGCGAAGCTGGGCCTGGCAGTCGTCGGTCCGCTTGGCGTACACCACGAACCGAGCCATGAATGGCACGTGGATCGCTTCCCTAAAATTATTTTACAAATTAAAGAAGAGTGTATTTTGAGAATGCCGCTGTACAAGGAAGGCTAGGCAGCACGCATAAGAAATATTTCCTTACTAAGCTAAACTTTTGTCTGTAACTAGGTAGGTACTATAAAATAGTAATTTAGAGTGCTTAGAGACTAACAAATTTTATACTTACTTACTGGCATGGAGTAGTCTAGATAAAAATAGTAACATCACTAGCGTTTGTCGTACCTGTACAATTCTGTAGCCATTTTAGTGGCGTCTTCAATATGTCGGCAGTCGATGAGCCAATACCGAGCCGAGACAGTCGTGGTAAACGACACGCAGTCATTCACGAAGGTCAGAGGAGTGTTCTCCGTCACGTCCTCCCAGTGAGCGCGGTTCGTCCCTCCTGCCATCAGAAAACTCAATTTACCCACTAATACCAACTCCACAACAATACTTGCTATACAATGCTGCTACTCTCAAGTCTCTCTCAATGCTAGACGAACAATGGAAGCTAAAAAGACAGTAGCTGTACCAACTGCCGTAATATATTATGATGCTACCTATAATATTTTAGCATGCCAAAGCAGGCCTTTACTTCTAAATCATCTTCACCATACTATTATAAATTTCTACGCAATTAAAACTAATATCGACTACGTTAACGTTTATACATTACTAGTATTGTGAAAGTTTCAGAAGTGTAACAGTTTTACAGTAAACACAAAGTTTTCTTTAAAACAATGTAGAAGATAGATTGGAAATCTGAAAGATAGGTCAGTAAGAAACGAAACAAAATCAACAGAAAATGTTTCCAAAACGGCCTATATAGCAAACACACAACAAGCAAAGACAACACATCACACAAAAACAAATAACGTACCATTTTTGTATTGTTTACAAATGAAAAAGTGACTGATAATGTGGCACACTGTGTTCTGTCACCTGTTTCTTACAAATATAGTGCTTTAGTCTCAAAACGAAAACAATGAATCTACGTCATCAAACTAATTAAAGAATTTGCAGTCTGGTTTTTCGAAAAACAGATCTCTCGAAGGACATTCACTGAACATAGCCCAAAATCCAATTGAACGAAAATAAATATAAAAACCAAAACGTGTTTAGTGAAATAATGATAAGAACAGAAATGAGACAAACGGAGAGAAGATGAAATGGAACAAAACTGATAGGCCGTTTTGGAAAAGAATTCTGATAAGTACAAGCAACTAAAGAAAATTTTGGGAACACTGACGCTTATAGTGAAATGAATATGGCGTATATGGCACCGCATCGATTATATTAGTTAACATTACGCTTATACTAAACAAACAGATATATTGTGTCATCAACCTCTTACAATGTGCCAATACAGTTGCAGTTAGTTATGTCTAGGTTTTATGTTTATTTGTACACTTGTTCTAAACCGACAACGTCCAGTGAGTAAGTCGCAGTGCACTTCTTGACGTCCCAAGACACATGTATGGTATGATACAGAGTGAACGTGAATTAACAAAGCGTAAAAATCTCAGCCCGTGCAAAGAGGAAGAATGTATGAGAAGCAAAAATGGAAAAGCATTCAAAAGTGATAGAGGGAAGAAAATCAATGTGTCTGATAGTTATACTCTTCGAATCGATCTTAGAGTATAAATATCACATAGAAATAATGACTCGGTGAAAAATCATTAACGCAAAATTTGTATAGGAAAAAGAAATTTTCAACTGAAAACAATGAAACTCAAACCGACATTTTGATTCTGTTTTATAATATTTCTAATTTTTTACCTTCGAGAGATCGTTTGCGAAATACCCCTGTTGGCGCGCCGATAGGTGGCAGCACATTATATAGCGCCACACACGGTGAGCGTGCAACACACACAAACACGAGAACAAAGACAATGTAGACACGCACAATACGCACACACAGGGACGCGTCCCTTTAGCTGCTTGGTGTATTTGCTATAAGCGCTTAGTTGCTTGATTAGGTTGATAAGAGTTTTGTTTATGAGCTCATATTTACTTCATAACTTTTACCCACATGTAATGTTTTTGATCATTGAGAATGATTCTAAGCTAAACTTGTCAAAAATAACATGCTCATCCCTTTGTCTATAAAATTGGGAGTTGTAAATCTACAACTGTAATATTTTTGTTAGCTACACTATTTAATAAAATTTATCAAGGAGAAAAAAGTCTATAATAAGATACAGATTGATTGAACTCTATCGTTTTGACTATAATACACAATCAATTCGTAAAATGATCAAAATCTAGGTAAAACTCTACCGATCTCATAATGTTAGACAGTAAACGCTATTCGAACCTAAACAAGTTGATTGAATGGTTGAATTTGTCTATTTAAATTCTACATAGCTAACGTGTTGTAATGGAATATTGGTTTCACTTCACTAAACTCATTTTACCTAATAAATGAAAGCCGATTATCTCAAGCCTAATTACTTATATCATAGGCAGACTTACCTCACGAGTTTGCAAGCAAATTATTATGTCGTCAAGGTAGCAAGTACAAGCCATACTCCATTGCAACACTTCACACAGATCACTCAGTTATTTCTGACTGAAGGACCGTTTATCAAGCCAAATGGCACTTAATTCCATAAGTGAAACGTTTCAAAGTTTCTTTTATACAGTATGTTAATTTAATTGATAAAACTTGAGCTATTTGATAAAAGTCCTCGGCCATGTCTATAACTCAATAGATCTGCAATAGTATAAAAGCAAACTATTGTAATCATACCTGATATGGAGCAGAGAAGTCTAAGGGTTGGGCTGAAGATGTGCTGTACTGGTTTGTCATGCCCTGAGTATGTGGTCTTGGAGCCGGCATACTCAGAGTGATAGCTTTATGGAACTTCCTTCTCCGTGGTTCAACTGTCACTACGGGTGACACTGCTACGCCTCGTCCCAATAATTTTGCGGTCAACTCCGAATCTATTATCTGAGCCTGAAATAACATATCTCCTATTATGTTGAAAGTTTAATTTTCTAAATCTTCATTATTTCTAAAGACCAAACGCGGATTTTGCCAAAAAGCGGTCACGTGAATTGCAAAATTAAATTGTAATAATAATTTTGGTAAATAATATTAAGATATCACTTACCATTATTTTCAGATGCAACATAAATTGAATTGTTATCAGATGTTTCTTTTCTGTTTTTTTAGAAAAAAAAACGTATAAATCTTTCTACTAACACAATTTTCTTTTGTAAAAAAACATAAGTAATGATTTTCTTTTGAAATAAAAGGTAGGTGGCGTAGAGCGTTTGGTGCAAAAATAAGCAAATATGAACATATGAAATCACAGGGAAAGCATTTAAAAAATAAATCATATTATTTTCTCTGTACGTGTGTAGCAGAATCTTCTATTTCTCACACATGCGCTTCAAAACAAGATGCAACACACTTTGATACTAAAAATTAATAAGCTTTAAACATCCAAAAATAATACAGCAAACATAAACAAAATACAATCATGCAAGTCTCACGTTTGGTCTTTAGGAAATAATGCACATAATCGCATAACATTCAAATAACAATTGAACATAAAAGCATAGAGACATTACCCAATAAATTTAGCCATTACCTTAAAAATACTTATTTATTTCTACTTAGCTAGTAAAATCATACGTCACTCCAGTTACAAGTTCAGTTAAATCACACAAAATTATAAAGTACAAAGTTCATACATTATAAGGAATACAATAGTATCTTATCATGCTAATAAAATCTGAACCTAAAGACCAACTAGAGAAGATTTACTTTAGATGTAGCGTTCAAACGCAGTGTGAGAAACCCGACTGATTGACAGTGATTTCATATTTCAACTTTGCTTATTACAAAAAACAAACGATGATATTAAAAACATTTTATTGAAATTCCCACTACATGAGTTTTGCTTAAACATTTTTAAGTTAATTCTAAATTTATTGGGTATGACATTATTCCTAAGGAGTAACGTACATCCTAAATGCTGGTATATTATTATTTCTTAAACAAATTAATCACTTTGTTTGTAGATAGTAAGTGAGCTTGTATGAATAGTAAAATTACGATATGTGAGAAAATTTTAAGCAATGGAATAAAATCGACACGTTCCTCGTAAATGATTAGGTATACAACTAAGCCTTTCTTTCCAACGAGATACAATTATTTCAATTATTAAGTGAAATAATTTATTTTAAACTTCCGAAAATATAAAAGCTAAACTATATTGCTGCAGGTATCTCCGTTGAAAAGAACAAAATAAAATCAATATAAACTTAAAAAATATTCCTAACAATGTAAAAAAAGATTGGTAAAAATTTGGCATTTCCATTTTGTACTTTAGTTAATCTAAAAACTACTGATAAAATTGAACACAACCGTTTTGGCGATTAAAACCATAAAACTATAAGAAGACTAGATCAATCAATCATTCCAACACCACTTGTTGATAAAAATGATAAGAAAGTACTTGTAGATAAAATTATAAAGGTATACAAAGCTATAAGAATAACGTTATTAAGTGTAATTGGTAATAATCGTTATATGAATATTAGGGTGGTCCTTATTTTTCGACTTTTGAATTATCCCCGGGGCACTTTCTTATTCGATTATATACCTCTAAATATGAAATTAGCTTTTTTTGTTTTTTTTTTTAGTTAAGATTTAGAGGTCGCTACCAGCTGTCAAAATATTTACAAAAGCTTTGAAAATCTTAAATCATGGTTTCATAAATGTTTTATTTAAGTGTTTATATCACATTTTACGTGCAAATGAACATCGCTTAGATAGAATAGACAATCGCTTCTTGTCCCCTTCTCCCCTCAACCCCTCTTCTATACCGACCATAGTACCGACGCGTCGAGATACTAACAAGTAAACTCTTATATCTTAAAAATAATTGATTCAAATATGTACATTGTACATAATATCTTAGTTTATAGCAACAACAATAATTTTGTAATATTTTTATTTGGCTTTGGCTTTAAAAATGAATGAATCTATCAAATACAGATTTAGTTTTTACTTAAAATTCAAACCTTGGTAGCGACCCCTAAATGTCTTTTAAAAATTAAAAAAAAAATAATGAAAGACTTTCATATGGTATATATTCAAATTACGTGGTGCCCCGCAAAATATAAGAAAAAAATTTTTTTTCGTAGGAATAAGGACCACCCTAATGAATATCGTAATATAGTACAAGCAAATAGCCGACTACGTCGAATTTTAAATTAAAGATTGGATATGAAATTATACAAAAGAGTATCAAGAATACAATAATATTATAACTTTTTAAGATAGTGTTGATTACTAATATTTATTATGTGATTATAGTATAAAAAAAACATATTCGTATTTCAATAGTATAACTTTACCAAAAGACGTTTTAGTTGATGTTTATGGCACATTACATTCAATAAATAATACTCAAAAATGGTAACTACGAGTGACTAGAAAAATACTTAATCTATAAAGAACCTATTTCGATGATCTTTAAAATTGTGAAGGCAATATAATGTGGAATTGAAAGACTTACAAAATCCACAGTTTCTTTACCACTAAAAGGTATAAATATAGATTCAGAAGGGAATAAACTACACTTGAAGGCGACTGTGATGTAGCTCTAATTGTTGACTATGAAGCATCGGATGAAAGAGTAACTATCCTTCCACAACAGATTACACATTCATTAATACCAAACATAGCGCAGTATAGAATTTTAAAGCTGTTTTTAAACTCTTGGTTTCTGTTTTGACGCTACCAAATGAGGGAAAAGCGTTTTTTCTTAGAAACGTTATTGACCGTGATCTTTTTGAGGTTTTTGTCCTTGACGCCCTTGCGAGGCTTGAAGAGGTTTACCTGGAGGCCGACTTTGATCTTCTTGGTGAGGGCGCCCTGAGGGAACACCGCTTGCACTTGGGGAACCACGGAACTGGATACCATGCCACCTTGAATAGAGTAATGACAATTTAGAAATTTTGTATTATTTTGAATATTGTTGCAAAAATATTAGAAGAGTTCCTAAATGAAGATCAAACTTTAAATAAATAGAGGTAGGTCGGTTTTAAAACAAAATTGAGAATTTGGGAGTCAAGTGACTGGATCACCAGACGAAAATTCAGATGCAAAATGGACCCTAACCAGTAAATACATTTTAAGAGTACAAGGGTACATAACTGCATCAATGTTTAAATTTTGATGAAATCTCAAGGGTCACTTCATCCTCAGGTACAGTCGACAGCATATCATACTACCTCATACTACACATTTTTTTTTTGCAAAATAGCGCCTATTTCAACTGCAAAAGTCTACAGCATTTTGCTTGATGTGTTGTCATAAGTTCTGTACTTGTGGTTCTTGGAAGTTTTCTTTTTGTATATTATCTTAAGGTATTATTATTAAGAAGGATATTCAAGGTTACCTTCAGGCCCGATAGCGTGCACCTCCTGCCGGATCCGGGATATGACCGCGAAGTACTGCGGGAAGTCGTGCGTCAGGATGCGCGTCACACGCGGCGCGTCCCAGCCTTTCTCCTCTTCGTTGGTTTCTGTTGGAAGAATGCCAAGTTTTATAAAATGACACATCAAAGTAGGAATCAAGATTGGTCTTAACATTCATCTTATCGTCGTCATCACTTCAGCTAAAGGACGTAGGCCTCCTCCAATGATTTCCAGATTGACCGGTTAATAGCGGCCTGCATCTAGTGCCGTCCTGGTTACAACCTTTATGAGGTCATCTGTCAACTTTATGTCACCAAGGCACAGATGGTTAATTTATAGACAAGCGCGCAGCCTGGATGCACTCGAGAGGTGGACAGAAAGGTCATTTTCTAATGACCATTGATAAGCGTGTGCTCCTGCACAAACTTGAATCAATTCTGAGAGTCATTTCATTATAGTTAGTCTTTCATTTGCAATTCGCTAGTCTTCAATAAGTGCCTATATTGTGAATATTCCTTTCTTGACTCGTTACATCAATTGAAAAGTGTATGTTTGATACTCTTAACAAGTGGTTTTAAGGTACTTTACAACATATCTATGTCCTTACCTTCAATTTCCAAAGTCTCATGCAGTATGTCTTGAACGACGTCATCAGTGGCGTCAGCGTTGTGTTCGCGCCAGCTCGTGCCGTTGTCTGAGCGGAGGATCACTATCTCCCTCTCTTTCCCTCGGAGGGATGCGTAGTGGGGGACCTCGAGGATGACAGGCCTGTTGGAAAATATCATCAATTAAGTTTCAATTTACCAAAGGAATGAATTTACCTACAATGGCCACAAAAATGACTCTTACCCCAAAAACTTAGCAGAAACTGGTCCCATCTCCAGAACCCTCGCTGCCAGGGCCTCTCCCTCCATCAGGGGAGGCATGTGGTTGATCCTGGACGGCTTGAGGTATCTACAAAATAGCAAAATTATTATATTACTTACTTAAGTGTTCAGTAAAAACAGATACGGAAAATAGGTACTACTGGTATTGCTTATTCAATATTTTTTCCTGTCTATGAACAGAATCTAATTTTTTACCGACTTCAAAAAGGATAAAGGAGGAGGTTTTCACTTCGGTTGGTATATTTTTTTAGAATTTTATAAGATCGTAAGTCCACTCTTTACAGGTAGTTAAAATTCATAATCAAGAGATCATAAATTGTGTTACATAAACAACTTACAAAAAAAGCATAGAAGAAGACTGATAGAGTGATAGATAAAGTAAAACTGATAACATTTCTTTCGTTTCCATACCTGCAAGTAATCCTAGTAGGCTGCTGAGCAGAAAGAGGGGGCACGATAACTCTGACCCCTCCCCCGCGGCAACCCCGCAGCGCCCCTCCTCGGGCGTCCACCAGAAACGATACCAGGAAGCTACACAGAAACAAACATTCATATTNTTTTTTAATACAGTGGACAAATAAGATAATAGACAATTTAGCAGCTAAAAGACACGCCGACAATAATGTTTCTAGATGATTTGGTAGCTTAGTAACTAAAATTGAAGATACATTACAAAACGCCATTTCAAGACCTACGACATGCAGAAGACGTTAAATCGTTCGATAGATAAAGTAATATACCTTGTGAAGTTAATTAAAAAAACTATTTTGTCATACTCGTAGTTTCGAAGGAGACAGAACTAAAAATTGAAATTGAAATATTTTAAAAGTAAACCTTAAATTACGGTAATTAATATGAAATTAACTTACTTCTTCCATTGCAGCTTTTTTCTGTTGGTCCATGTTCAGATAGCGTGAATGATAAGGATTTTCATTAGACATTTTTATTAATCTGAAATAAATGATGAAAGAGAAGGATTTCATTACAAAATATCTACTTCAATCAGCTTTGTGAATTGGAAATAAGAAAAAAAACCTGAATCACCCTCGTGAAGTTCAGTTGGTCAGTACCTCTAGTAGGAAAAACTTTCGAGTTCGTTTCGTTGCGTATTCAAAGTGTCATCGAAAAATTTTGTATGAAAAATTAAACAGCGCCCCCTAGGGCGGCTATAATATAGGGGGCGCTGTTTAATTTTTCATACAAAATTTTTCGATGACACTTTGAATACGCAACGAAACGAACTCGAAAGTTTTTCCTACTAGAGGTACAGATCGACATAAGGTAAGTATAGACTAGGGCATTTGCTTGTAAGAACAACGAGCCGCTCTATGAATCAAACTTCGTACATTTTACCTGTGCTGTGTTGTACCATTCGTATGAACGTTATACCTACATACGAGAAATTCTGATAGTCAACTAACTCAATATCGTTAAAAATTATAGCCTTCTAATGCACATTATGCCTAGGCGCAGGTCACCGAATTTCCGGCCGATAGTTGGGCCCGATTCTAATTTGTATGAAATCGAAATCGGTGTAATGTACGCACTTCCATACATGCCCATACTGGAATATACTGCCATCATGAAATGGAAACTTCCAAACAAACTTTCATCCATCCATTCAGCTATCTTCAGAAACTTTCGAATATTTTTATTTAGGTACTAGCGGCCGCCCGCGACTTCGTACGCGTGGATCCCGTTTTGCCCCCTTCATCTATCTTACGCGGTTTAGATTTTTCATACAAATGTTTTTTCCCGCTAACTCCCGTTCCCGTGGGAATTTTGCAATATCCTGTTGCAACTAAGCTTTAAGTTTACTAAGGTCCCTACATACCAAATTTCAAGCGTCTAACTTAAGCGGTTTAGATTTTTCATACAAAAGGTTTTTCCCGCTAATTCCCGTTCCCGTGGGAATTTAGGGAATTCCTTGTTGTAACTAAGCTTTAGGTTTACTAAGGTACCCACATACCAAATTTCAAGCGTCTAACTTAAGCGGTTTAGATTTTTCATACAAAAGGATTTTCCCGCTAATTCCTGTTCCCGTGGGAATTCCTAAGTATACTATAACCTGCCCAGGAGTATGAAGAATAATTGTACCAAGTTTCGTTAAAATCCGTCGAGTAGTTTTTGTTTCTATAAGGAACATACAGACGGACAGACAGACAGAAAGACAGACAGAAAGACAGACAGACAGACAGACAAAAATTTTACTGATTGCATTTTTGGCATCAGTATCGATCACTAATCACCCCCTGATAGTTATTTTGAAAATATATTTCATGTACAGAATTGACCTCTCTACAGATTTATTTTATAAGTACATATAGATAGATAATAGGTATTATTAAATAGGACTGACTTGGGCTGCGTAGGATCCACGTTGTAGCAGTAGCCTTCCGGCGCCTGCGCAGTGCTGTACCGGCTGATGCTCTTCACCACCACCTCCTGCTGCGGCTGGTACGGCATCCCGTTCACGGACCCTGGGAGAAATGACTCTATCAGTTGGTAATAGAGCTTAGTTTCATTTGGAAAGAGATTCTTTTTGAGAACCCTGGAGAAAAAAGTAACTCGATACGTAAAGTTACCAATTTTTTTGAGAAATTAGAAAATGAAATGAAACAGACGATAGTTATGGCTATATTTCACCGGGACACCATGGCGGCGCAACCAGTGGCCGCTACCAACAAAATGTACCTATGCAGCTTTGCGCAACCAAACGGACACCAGGTGAGTAACCCTCTATAGAGCTGTATACATTTTGTTGGTAGCCGGCGACTGGTTGCGCCGCCATGGTGTCCCGGTGAAATATAGCCCTTACCGCTCTATTGGTCTTGACATCATCAGAATTGAGACACCTGTATTCACAAACATTACTAAGAGGTCTCACAGTGCGCGTGAACGCACAGGGTATCACACGAACCAATCATAGAGGTCTATTCAACGCTGTGCGTTCCATTTGCTACTTCACTTAAGCAAGCATCGTTCGTGAATACGGGCGAGAATTTCTATAATTCCTAAGACACAAATATCGAAAGCTCGTGACGCGCCTTTTCACGATAAACAACATTCATCGTCTCATCTAAGTAGTTAGTAATTTCTAAATTTTGAACGCTTGTTCTTTTTAATTTCAGTCCAAGACCAATACTTACAGATCTTGGCCTTAACAAAATTTATTTAATTTCTTTAATATTACCTTGAGACATTTCCATGATATTCTTATGGCTCATGGCTGATTCTGTTCTCTCGTCTTTAGTGACGTCGATGGGCAGAGAGTCGTCTCCCAAAGACTTCATGTCGTCCGCAGTCAGGTAGCGGTACGGCTGGTCGTTGAGGATGGTGTCTTCTCCTAGGAGGAAATAATTTTTTTTTTTGAGGATAAATTCACCAGAAAATAAACCTTACGTATTTTGTTTGTAACTGCTAGATCATGCACAATAGAAGGGTGTTATAAATTTACCGTCTCCTAGGCTGAGTTGGACCACCTAACTTTGACGATAATGGTGTTTTGTTGTATGGAGTTTGACAGAGTTTTGACGTTGTTAAAGTTAAAGTGAGATGGTGTAACCCAGCCCTAGTGTCTGTCTGTGACGTTCCTCCTAAACCAATGGCCCGATTTTGATGTGGTATTCTTTTGTTGAGAGCAGACTTGATCAAGAGAGTTTTAAGTCTATAATTTATAAAGATCTGTTCAACGGTTTGAAAGTCATCAGCTCTTTTCGAATTGATCGGAGAACGACAGCAATTAGGTACATAGATCGGAAGTTTTATATTGATTTTATTTTTAGTTTTTCATATTTCAAAGGTCTCTTGAACAGCTTAAAAAACATCAGCTCTTTTCTAATTAATAGCAAGGCGAGAGCAATTTCCACAAGTCTTTTTAATTGTTAAAAGTCTTTCACACAAGACATAATCAAACTTACCACCTTCTTCTTCAGAGTCCGACATGAAGGTTTCCAGCATGGTCTCTGGAGCCACGACCTTGTACTTCTCCTGGGAGGCCTGGGCCGTGGAGGGCTCGGACACCTCCTTGAGGGTCTCCATGACTGTCACGTAGCCTAGCTTGGACGCTATGTCTAGAGGCGTCTGGCCGTTCTGTAGACAAATAATATTGTTTAGATATTACACTTTGTTAAACGTAAAGTTTAACAAATGATGGACTTAATGTTAAAGGCATTCTCTACCAATCAACCAATGGTCTAGAATTAATTGCCTTTAAAGTTTTGTGGTAAGACTACTTGTCTAAGAACCAAAGATCCTAAGAAAACATTGTTGCTGTAACAAGTTCTTTGTTGACAGACAAGTGACATGTTCATAAAATTACTAATTAAAGACCACTTCCACTTTCCCATGGATGTGGCAAAAGACGACCAAGACCCAGTATAGGGAATGTTGACCAAAACCCTCTACTTGGCCGGTAAATTAGAGAGACCTTGAAATGACCTGATGATGTAGGAAACTTACCGTAGTCGTAGCATTTGCGTCCGCCTTATGCTCGAGCAGAATGTTGACAATGTTGATGTGCCCCTGCTGGGCAGCGTGATGCAGCGCGGTATACCTGATGTCAGAAATTATAAACTTTAGTGGAAGAGGATAATTTTACTGGTCGGTCAAAAATTTTAAAGTTACTTAGGTAATTTAGGAAAAATATTTTTTTTCTTCTATTATTATACCCACTCGGCCACTCTTGGTAAAAACTTACCCATGTGTAGTCTGGGCCTTGACTGAAGCACCATTTTCTAGTAAGAACCGCACCATGTTAGCCTGCCCGTAGTGGCTGGCGATATGCAACGGTGTGTAGCCACCCTTGGTGCAGATGTCCACCTAAATAAAAATAGTAAAATTATTGCATGCATCCTTCATTCCTGGTATCCGTAGAAGAATCAAAGTAACCGACATAGTCCGCGGAATTATCAAGATTAAGTGGCAGTGGATAGGGCACAAAGTCTTAGAACTGATCTCGTTGAGGCAGAAAAGTTCTCGAGTGGCGAACATGGATCGGAAAACATAGGGTAAGCAGGCCTCTCATAACGAATTAGGGCAGCGCAAGATCTGTCGTTGAGGAAATCCGAGGAAAGGCCTTTGTCCAGTAGTGGAAGCATTTGTAAAAGAACAGCCGAAGATCATTATGTTGTATAATACGTTGTACCAGCTGGAATCGGAATCTTTATCCACTAGTGAGCTAGTCACACTTGGTTGGCCAAAGACATAGAAAGTTATGACTAAGAAGAAGAAAGAAAAGTCGAAAAAGAACCTTACCTCTGCTCCATTCTTGACCATCAGCTGAGCGACCGGCACCCTGTCTTCCTGAGCAGCTAAATGCAGAGCTGCAAGTCCGTTCTTGGCCTGCTGGTCTACCTGTGCTTCATGCTCTAGCAGTAGCGAGCACATTTCTGTGTGGCCCTGTTGAAGAAGATACATTTCTAAGAAGGCGAATCGAGCTTAAAACGAATTGGAGAAGATAATGTAGAGACGATAGCATATTATTATCAAAGTAAATTGTAGTGTCAATTTTCAATATTACATTATATTGTCAGCTTCCAAACAAAATTACAACTGTGCCTGGTAGCTTTTTAATTAGATTTGAATTTGTGGCAATTATTTGTTAATTTTTATCATATTTTTAAATCACAATTATTGTAAATTGTGTTTTACTCGTATACAGGGTGTTAGGTAAATAGGTATAAAGTCAGAAAATTGATATCTTCATTTTAATATTGATATCTTCAAATAATGATATCAAATTTCTGACTTCACCATACCATTTATATGTCCATGTTAACATGGGCTAGTGTCGGCTCATATACCCGTTTACCTAACACCCTGTAGTGTTTTATTAAAAGAGGATTTTCATATCCAAAACATAGAACTGTCTTCTTTCTAGGTCTGGAAAAGATATTTTATTCAAATTCTTTACTAATTTCGATCGAGACTACATTCTGTCTTCTCTCCCGCTCTGGAAAAGAGTTCATTCAATTTCTGGCCATTATGGAAGAAGTCAAATCCAAACCTGTTGGGCTGCTAAATGAAGAGGCGTGAACCCAGCCTTGGACTCCGCGTTGGTCAGAGCTCCATACTCCAGCAAGGTGGCTGCCGTCTCCATCTGGTTCTTGCGAGCAGCGATGTGGAGGGGCGTGTGGCCATTCTTGGCTACGGCCTGGAGACACAAAAGTGTCGTTGGAACTATTAACTGTATTAAGTAACTAAGTTATTAACTCTTAACCAGGCTCAAAAAAGTCATTGGTTTTCAACCGTATCTTCATAGCATAAAGTTCAAATTGATGTGGGCTCTGTGGATACCAGAGCGTGGTTAAGGGTTAATAGAAAAAAATACCATTATTTTGGCACATACAAAACTTTATGAACAAAAATGTTTAAAAGTGTGCCAAGAAGGTCGTCTAACCAGCATTAGTTGAAACTTATGTACCAAGACCCTGGTTTTCAGCAGGCGATCTTTGGAGTACTGGCTAAAGAAGTAATTACTGCCAAAATGGACTGTCATTAAAACTTCATTATGATGATGAGTCAGAAAACCCTGTAATAACCATTCATATCTAGACACTTTTCTCAGCAAAGTCCTACTTTTGGAGCAACCTAATGACATGCTTCCTTTGTCTCCTCTATACAATGGTGTAGCAGTTACTCAGCATAATAATCGTCCCTGGTTTGAATCCTATCAGAAGCAGTAAAACTACTATGTTTCCCCTTACCTTAGCATCAGCACCCTTCTCCAACAGAGTGGTGGCGACAGCCTGCTGGTCGTACTGAGCAGCCACGTGCAGTGGAGTCATGCCGTTCTTCCCCGCTTGATCGGGGGAAGCCCCGTGAGCCAGCAGGAGGTTTGCTACCTGCGTTTTGAAATTACATTCATAAACACCCCAAACAAATCTTATGCATAGTCATAAATCTTTATTGCATCATGTGTTACGTAATGTAGGTAAGTAACGTAATGTGTAAAATGTAAGTAACGTTTTTTAAGTTATTGGGTACTTCGCTTCGTAATGCGATTTCGAAATAGATTCTATTTGCTAAGGTAAGCGTAAGTCGCACATACCTTCAAGTTCCCATACTTCGCAGCAAGATGAAGAGCTGTGAATCCTTTCTTGGTAGTTGCAGTCAAAGGAGCATTGTGCTCGATCAGTGCTGCAGCGACCTGTTGGGAAATTAACTAATTTTATTTAAAGCTCTTATAATTTGCAAATAAGTAGTTATTAAAACTGTATTAGATGCTATAAAGTAAGCAGGATAGCTTTCCACCTCATGGCCCTATATCCAACTCTCATTCCACCGCTGCCACTTCTGTGCAGCCATGATCTTCAGCTTGCGACTATAAAAACACGACCAGTGAAGGTCAATTTTGTCCCAGGGGAAAGCTAAATTTTTACTGAAAATAGGAAGAGATCGAAATCCTTCACAAAGCGGATCACAAACGACAAAAGTTCTTATCATTTTCAAAGGGGTGGTAAGTACTGCAAACTTCATACTATAGGTACACCATGGACAGCAGAATCCACAGAATATTCTCATAATCTTTATTAAGCTACTTACGTCATGATTATGTTGTTTAGCAGCGATGTGCAGAGCGTTGTAGTGATCAGCCGTCATTGCCCTCACGTCGGCGCCATGTTGCAGCAATAGCACAGCAATGTCGACGTTGCCGAGTCGTGACGCGATGTGCAACAATCGATAGAATATGCTCATAATGACACAATTAGCATTAAGGTACTTACATCATGATTATGTTGTTTAGCAGCGATGTGCAACGCGTTGTAGTGATCCGCCGTCATTGCCCTCACGTCGGCGCCATGTTGGAGCAATAACACGGCGATGTCGACGTTGCCGAGTCGTGACGCGATGTGCAACGGCGTCTGACGCTCGCGGGCTTTGGCTTCCACTGCTGCGCCGTTGCGGAGAAGGATGCGGATTATGTCCGTCTGAGGAGGAAGATAGAAGAAGAAGTAGAAGAAGAGTCCACCAAAAAGACAAACCGATTTGAAGCATTTCCTCGCTTATATTCTTGGGTTAAATAAGTTACTGGACTATTCCCACTTCGTTCCCACCGCTGCAACTCCTGTGTAGCCAGGATTTACAGCTTGACCACCATAAAAACCCAACTAATGAAGGTCAAGTTTGTCCCAGGGCTGCAGGGGATAGTTAAAACTGTCACTGGACCCGCAACGATCAATCAGAAGTACAGAGTTAAATAAGTTGCGAGGCTTTTTGGATAATCCAAAAGCTAGAAACATGAAATGTGTATTTACCATTAGGTAATTCCATCTTTTGTTCGCCCGTGAAAGACTTTTCACAAGCTTGTCCCCCCCCCCTAATAATAGTAATAATAACTTGCTTCAATCCTGGCAACTTTTTCTCACCTGATTAGCCCTGGCCGCCAGATGCAGAGGTGTCTCCCCCCTGACGGTGGGCACGTCAGGGTTGGCCTCATGCTGCAGCAGGTAGATCACGATGTTCATGCAGCCCATGAACGCTGCCACGTGGAGCGGGGTCAGCCCTGACTCGGTTGTTGCTTGGATACCTTTAAACATTGACTAGAATTAGACCCAGAATACCAGTCAGTCACCATTTTGAGTCATAAATAGTCATTTATTTGTTTACCGTTAGACTTTTAAAAAGCGCATCTTGAAAAATGTTCAGAACAATATTGTAAGCTGGTGCTAAGAAGAAGCAGTGTAAGTACTCATAGGTCAGTCACTAAGAGATTTTTTTCACATGTTTTCCCAATTCATCTTTTAGGAAAGTCAGGAGCCACCAGATTAATATTGAACCTCCTCCTTTTGTTGAATTCGGTTAAACAAAGGATTTACTTACTGGCACCATACTTCAGTAGCAACTCTACGACTTTAATTCGATTCTTCTTGCAAGCGATGTGTAGAGGAGTAAATCCGTTCAAAGCGCGTGCGTTTGCATCAGCATTCCTGTAACAAAAACCCTGGTTAATATCTTCAACCACATTACGAAAATCTCACGTAAGATTCACAATTTACTAAACCTATTTAAGTGTTTGTTTAGCAGAAAATTGTATCAGTTTTTTGCACGTAGATCCTGCCCTGCTGGCAGGGAAAACCCTAAGGACGTAATACATTTATCAACCTGGAAAGGGATCGTAACCATATTATCAACTCAAGGCGGTCAGTATTCTTTGTATGAAACTCCATACTACAACGCACACTTATCCGCACCGTAACGTAAACGCCTCGCCTCGCGATTGACAGCTCGTGAAAGGCGATATGGTGTTGATCCCTTGCTAAGTTGATAAGTCTGCTATGACCTTAAAAAAGATTCTTATCCCTTCCAATATCAGAGACGTCTTACCGATCTAAAAGTAGCTTGGCGACTTTAGCATGCCCGCAGTGGGCTGCCACATGGAGCGCCGTCAGGTAATCCACAGTGACGTCATCGACTGGAGCTCGCCGGGACAGAAGCACTCGGGCTGCTTCAGCGTGGTCGCCTTGGGCTGCCATGTGGAGGGGAGCTAGACCATTCTGTATAAAAAAATAACCTTAGGAAGTGTTCCACAACAACAGCCAAGCTGTTTATAAAGTTTTTAGTTTGTGATGCAAAAGAGATGAAAATTCTTCCGCAAAGCAGAACGATGTGAAGATACACATTTCTTTTACTTGAATAATATCTGGTGCCTCGTATTTAAGGAATTGAATGAATCAATATTAAAATGTAACATTGTATTCCAGCTCGGTTCAAAAGAACCAAGAAAACTCTCTAATCTTGAGACTTTTAAGACAAGTGCTTACCATGAGTTTATGTTAGGTGTGCTCGCTAGCGACTGCGTAAAAAATGACAGTAAATGTATGACAGTTTGTACAGCCCCCCTAGCTACTTTCAAGAAATAAAATCTTCATGTAATTGATTGGCTTTCGCTAGCGAGCACACCTAACGTAAACTCATGGTAAGCACACAGAAAGTAACCGCAATCTCGTATGTCCTCTTTGACATTATTATTTGAACCACAAACCTTGCTCTTGCTAGTGATAGGTGCTCCCCTGTCCAGCAAAGCCTCCACCACTCTCTCGTGGCCTGACCTGGCCGCACAATGCAGGGGGGTCAGTCCATCCCTGGTGCGCGCTTCGACGTTAGCGCCGTTGTCGCCGAGAAGGGCCACCATGTTGTCTTTGCCTGGATTTGGAAGATAACAATATTTTAAGATTATAGTAACATTGTAAGATTTTAAGGTTGTGAAGAAGAAGTAGATGAGGCTCATAGTCTAGCAGTGGACTGTAAAGGACTGTTGATGATGATGATTTTAAGATTATGGAGCGTAAGACGTACAATTTGTTTTACAAGATGGAATATGATAGGTATAGCCGCGTAGTTTTTTTAGATTAGACGCCATTCTTCCTGTGGATCTCCTAAGAGGCACTTAGGTATAGAAACATCAAGCTTTCCCATCCCCATAGAGAGTGTAGGCCAAATCCTCTATTTGCTTTGGTAAATTAGAGGCTCTTCGTCCTGCAGTGGAGTCAAAAACACGTGACATTCATGATGATGATTTACCAGATTGTACATATGAAACTTACGCCACTTGGTAGTGACATAGTATACAGTGTGTCCGGGCATGTAGTGNTTCATATTATCACAGTAAACTTATGAAAAACACGCAATTTAGCAGCTAAAAGACACGCCGACAATAATGTTTCTAGATGATTTGGTAGCTTAGTAACTAAAATTGAAGATACATTACAAAACGCCATTTCAAGACCTACGACATGCAGAAGACGTTAACTCGTTCGAAAATTTAAAGTAAATTATACCTTGTAAAGTTAATTATAACAACTATTTTGGTATACTCGTAGTTTCGAAGGAGACAGAACTAAAAATTTAAAACAAAACTTTTAAAAGTAAACCTTAAATAACGGAGATTAATATGAAATTAACTTACTTCTTCCATTGCAGCTTTTTCCTGATAGTCCATGTTCAGATAGCGTGAATGTTAAGGAGTTTCATTAGACATTTAATTAATCTGAAATAAATGATGAAAGAGAAGGATTTCATTGCAAAATATCATTGGAGATGAATAATATTCTTTGAAACTAACAAACTATTCAACTTCGTTAACAAAAATAATAATCATAGAATTTCCAAGACAAAACTTCTGTAAGACCTAGCTTCATTATTATAACCGGTGCTTTTTGTATTGAGTTTGACAGATTTTTGACGTTTGTTAAAGTTAAAGTAAAATGGTGCAACTCTCGTAAGTTTGTCAATTGTTTCGTTCTAAATTGTAGCTCTGAATTTTATTACTATAAAGTTTTATCTGTTCAAAGTATTTTTGAGTGAAAGAGTAACAAACATCCATCCATTCTCACAAACTCTCACATTTTTATCATATTAGCAGGATAGTAGAGTCAGGGAAGCATAGGATAGGACTATTCTATTCTATTCTAAGCACTGACTTGGGCTGCGTTGGATCCACGTTGTAGCAGTAGCCTTCGGGCGCCTGCGCAGTGCTGTACCGGCTGATGCTCTTCACCACCACCTCCTGCTGCGGCTGGTACGGCATCCCGTTCACGGACCCTGGAGAAAGGACTCTATCAGTTGGTGTTAGAGCTTAATTTCATTTGGAAAGAGATTCCTTTGACCCTGGAGAAAAAAGTAACTCGATACGTAAACTTACCAATTTTTTTGAGAAATTAGAAAATGCAATGAAACAGACGATAGTTAACTGCTCTATTGGTTTTGACATCATCAGAATAATTCAGACCCCCGTATTCACAAACATTGCTATGAGGTCTCACAGTGCGCGTGAACGCACAGGGTGATCAAACACAGAGATCACTATTCAACGTTGTGCGTTCCATTTGCTGCTTCACTTAAGCAAGCATCGTTCGTGAATACAGGCGAGAATCTTTATAATTCCTACGACACAAATAATGAAAGCTCGTGACGCGCCTTTTCACGATAAACAACATTCATCGTCTCATCTAAGTAGTTAGTAATTTCTAAATTTTGAACGCTTGTTCTTTTTAATTTCAGTCCAAGACCAATACTTACAGGTCCTTGGCCTTTAATATTTAATTTCTTTAACCTTACCTTGAGACATCTCCATGATGTTCTTATGGCTCATGGCCGATTCAGTTCTCTCGTCCTTAGTGACGTCGATGGGCAGAGAGTCGTCTCCCAAAGACTTCATGTCGTCCGCAGTTAGGTAGCGGTATGGCTGGTCGTTGAGGATGGTGTCTTCTCCTAGGAGAAAATAAATTCTTTTATTGAGGACAAATTCACCAGAAAATAAACCTTACGTTTTTTGTTTGTAACTGCTAGATCATAATATGATCTAGCAGTTACAAACAAAAAACGTAATAGAAGGGTGTTATAAATTTAACGTCTCCTAGGCTGAGTTGGACCACCTAACTTTGACGATAATGGTGTTTTGTTGTATGGAGTTTGACAGAGTTTTGACGTTGTTAAAGTTAAAGTGAGATGGTGTAATCCAGCCCTAGTGTCTGTCTGTGACGTTCCTCCTAAACCAATGGCCCGATTTTGATGCGGTTATCGTTGTTGAGAGCAGACTTGATCAAGAGATTTGTAAATCTATAATTTATAAAGATCTGTTCAACGGTTTGAAAGTCATCAGCTCTTTTCGAATTGATAGGAGAACGACAGCAATTAGGTACATATATCGGAAGTTTTATATTGATTTAATTTTTAGTTTTTCACATTTCAAAGGTCTCTTGAAGAGCTTGAAGATCATCAGCTCTTTTCTAATTAATAGCAAACGAGACCAGTTTCCACAAGTCTTTTAAATTGTTAAAGTTTTTCAAACAAGAAATAATCAAACTTACCACCTTCTTCTTCAGAGTCCGACATGAAGGTTTCCAGCATGGTCTCCGGGGCCACCACCTTGTACTTCTCCTGGGAGGCCTGGGCTGTGGAGGGTTCGGACACCTCCTTGAGGGTCTCCATGACTGTCACGTAGCCTAGCTTGGACGCTATGTCTAGAGGCGTCTGGCCGTTCTGTAGACAATAATATTATTATTATGCTTTGTTAAACCCAAAGTTTAACAAATGACGGACTTAATGTTAAAGGAATTCTCTACCAATCAACCAATGGCCTAGAATTAATTGCCTTTGAAGTCTTGTGATAAGACCACTTGTCTCAGCACCAAAGATCTTAAGAAAACATTGTTGCTGTAACAAGATCTTTGTTGACAAGCAAGTGACTTGTTCATAAAATTACCAATTAAAGACCACTTCCACTTTCCCATGGATGTGGGAAAAGACGACCAAGGTACCCAGTATAGGGAATGTTGATCAAAATCCTCCACTTGGCAGGTAAATTAGAGAGGGGTGCTCCTGCAATGGTAACTAAATGACCTGATGATGTAGGAAACTTACCGTAGTCGTAGCATTTGCGTCTGCCTTATGCTCGAGCAGAATGTTGACAATGTTGATGTGACCCTGCTGGGCAGCGTGATGCAGCGCAGTGTACCTGACATAAGACATTATATTTTTTAGTGGAAGAGGATCATTTTATTGGTCGGTCAAATATTTAAGAGTTACCTAGGTAATTTAAAAAAAAATATTTTTTCTTCTATTATTATCGGTCGGCCGTTTGGTGTAGTGGTTCAGAACGGACTATTATGCCGAGAGGTCCCGGGTTCGATTCCCGGCCGGACAGAAATTGAAATGATGAATTTTAATTTCTGTGACGGGTCTGGGTGTGACTATGTATAATATTTATGTATTTATAAAAAAAAGTATATAAGTAGTATATCCGTTAAGCTAGCACCCATAACACAAGCATTAAGTTGCTTACTTTGGGGCTAGCTGGCGCTGTGTGAAATTGTCCAAAGATTTATTTATTTATTTATTTATTATACTCTTGGTAAAAACTTACCCATGTGTAGTCTGAGCCTTGACTGAAGCACCATTTTCTAGTAAGAACCGCACCATGTTAGCCTGCCCGTAGTGGCTGGCAATATGCAACGGTGTGTAGCCCCCCTTGGTGCAGATGTCCACCTAAATAACAATAGGAAAATTATTGCATGCATCCTTCATTCCTGGTATCCGTAGAAGAATCAAAGTAACCGACATAGTCCGCGGAATTATCAAGATTAAGTGGCAGTGGATAGGGCACAAAGTCTTAGAACTGATCTCGTTGAGGCAGAAAAGTTCTCGAGTGGCGGATCGGAAAACATAGGGTAAGCAGGCCTCTCATAACGAATTAGGGCAGCGCAAGATCTGTCGTTGAGGAAATCCGAGGAAAGGCCTTTGTCCAGTAGTGGAAGCATTTGTAAAAGAACAGCCGAAGATCATTATGTTGTATAATACGTTGTACCAGCTGGAATCGGAATCTTTATCCACTAGTGAGCTAGTCACACTTGGTTGGCCAAAGACATAGAAAGTTATGACTAAGAAGAAGAAAGAAAAGTCGAAAAAAAACCTTACCTCTGCTCCATTCTTGACCATCAGCTGAGCGACCGGCACCCTGTCTTCCTGAGCAGCTAAGTGCAGAGCGGCAAGCCCGTTCTTAGCCTGCTGGTCTACCTGTGCTTCATGCTCTAGCAGTAGCGAGCACATTTCTGTGTGGCCCTGTTAAAGAAGATACATTTCTAAGAAGGAAAGTCGAGTATAAAAAATTGGAGAAGATAATGTGGAGACGATAGCACATAAAAGAAAACTGTAGAGTCAATTTTTAATATTACATAATATTGTCAGCTTCGAAACAAAATTACAAATGTGTCTGATAGTTTTTGAATTAGATTTGAATTTGTGGCAACTACATACATATTTGTGATGGGAGTTTTCATCATAATTTTAAATCATTAGTTTGTGTTTTATAGTGCTTTATTAAAAGTGGATTTTCATATTCAAAACTTGGAACTGTCTTTTTTCTAGGTCTGGAAAAGATGTTTTACTAATTTTTTTTACTAATTTAAAAGTGATTGCTGATCGTGACTTTACATTCTGTCTTTTCCCCAGCTCTGGAAAAGATTTCATTCAAATTCTGGTGATTATAAAAGGAGTCAAAAACAAACCTGTTGGGCTGCTAAATGAAGAGGCGTGAACCCAGCCTTGGACTCCGCGTTGGTCAGAGCACCATACTCCAGCAAGGTGGCTGCCGTCTCCATCTGGTTCTTACGAGCGGCGATGTGGAGGGGCGTGTGGCCATTCTTGGCTACGGCCTGGAGGAATAGAGATGTTGAGTTTCATGCATGCTTTGTAGGAAGTAGGAAGACCACTGATTAAATGACCTTTTGAAGGACTAATTTTATTTTATTTAGCGAAGTTAAAAATAGAAAAAATATTTGGCAAAGTAAAAGCATTAATAAAACAAACATTTACATATTATTGTAAAGTGTGCCAAAAAGGCCCCAAACAAACTTATAAGTCGTAACATATACGACTCTGGTTTTCAAAGGATGACCCAAAGGGCACTGGTTGGTTAAATAAGTCGGTATTGCCTTACATAAACAGTCAAAAATTAGGTACTCAATTATGATGGTCAGTCAAATCACCCTGTAATTCGTATGTAGCCACTTTCAGTCACTTCTACTTTTGGAGTAACTGAGTGTTGCTACAACTCAGTGGTAGATAGAAACAGTTGTCCAGGATGCTTAACGCCATAAATTCGAGATAAATCAGATGCAGTGAAATTACCCTGTTACTTCTTTCTTACCTTAGCGTCAGCACCCTTCTCCAACAGAGTGGTGGCGACAGCCTGCTGGTCGTACTGAGCAGCCACGTGCAGTGGAGTCATGCCGTTCTTCCCCGCTTGATCGGGGGAAGCCCCGTGCGCCAGCAGGAGATTTGCTACCTGTGTTTTGAAATTACATTCATAAGTATCCAAAAAAGTAACGTCTTTTTATGTAGTTACTTCGTTTCGTGAAGCGAATTTTTGACACGGATTTCTGACATACCTTCAAATTCCCGTATTTAGCAGCAAGATGTAGAGCTGTGAATCCTTTCTTGGTAGTTGCAGTCAGAGGAGCATTGTGCTCGATCAGTGCTGCAGCGACCTGTTGGGAAATTAGCTAATTTTATTTAAAGCTCTTATAATTTGCAAATAAGTACTTATTAAAACTGTATTAGATGCTATAAAGTAGACGGGATAGCTTTCCATCTCATGGCTCTATAAAATCAATCTCTCATTCCACCGCTGCCACTCCTGTGCAACCATGATCTTCAGCTTGCGACTATAAAAACACGACCAGAAGGTCAATGTTGTCCCAGGGGAAAGCTAAACTTATATTAGACATCATCAACAGCCGTTTACAGTCCACTGCTGGACTATGAGCCTCCTCCACTATAGTGGAGGGTTTTGCCATAATCTCCACGCTTGGCAGGCGGGTTGGAGATCGCAGTTTAGAAGATTGATGAAGAAGAAGATTGATGTTTTTCAGAGAGCGCTGCTGCCCATTCTCTGTTTGATGTGTAGTCCCTAAGTCGCCTCTTACGACACCCGCGGGAAGAGTAGGGGTTGGTGACAAATGTATTCTACTCTGCCGTCACCACACGGCTTATATATTAGACATATTGATGAAAAAAGGAAGAGATCGAATTCCCTCACAAAGCGGATGACAAACGACAAAAGTTCTTATCATTCTCAAAGGGGTGGTAAGTACTACAAACTTCATACTATAGGTACACCATGGTCAGCACAATCCACAGAATATTCTCATAATCTTTATTAACCCACTTGTTACTAGCGTTCTTTTAAAAGAACGCTAGTTTTTACATAAATATTGTTACTAATGTGGGTAGTGTAAACAATTTATATATGCAACATTTGAAAGATGAGGTGTGTCGCAGTACTGTCCAAGTCTTATAAGTACACTGTCGTAAATAACTATAAAGTTTTGGAGCGATTGTTTTGAGATAAATTTATCATGACTGATTTAAAGTAAGTGATAGAAAAAGTGAATTCCGTAACAAGTGGGTTAAGCTACTTACGTCATGATTATGTTGTTTAGCAGCGATGTGCAGCGCGTTGTAATGATCCGCCGTCATTGCCCTCACGTCGGCGCCATGTTGGAGCAATAACACGGCAATATCGACGTTGCCGAGTCGTGACGCGATGTGCAACGGTGTCTGACGCTCGCGAGCTTTGGCTTCAACTGCTGCCCCGTTGCGGAGAAGGATGCGGATTATGTCCGTCTGAGGAGGAAGATAGAAGAAGAAGTAGAAGAAGAGTCCACCAAAAAGACAAACCGATTTGAAGCATTTCCTCGCTTATATTCTTGGGTTAAATAAGTTACTGGACTATTCCCACTTCGTTCCCACCGCTGCAACTCCTGTGTAGCCAGGATCTACAGCTTGACCACCATAAAAACCCAACTAATGAAGGTCAAGTTTGTCCCAGGGCTGCAGGGGATAAAACTGTCACTGGACCCACAACGAAATCAATCAGAAGTACAGAGTTAAATAAGTTGCGAGGCTTTTTGGATAATCCAAAAGCTAGAAACATGAAATGTGTATTTACCATTAGGTAATTCCATCTTTTGTTCGCCCGTGAAAGACTTTTCACAAGCTTGTCCCCCCCCCTAATAATAGTAATAATAACTTTCTTCAATCCTGGCAACTTTTTCTCACCTGATTAGCCCTGGCCGCCAGATGCAGAGGTGTCTCCCCCCTGACGGTGGGCACGTCAGGGTTGGCCTCATGCTGCAGCAGGTAGATCACGATGTTCATGCAGCCCATGAACGCTGCCACGTGGAGAGGGGTCAGCCCTGACTCGGTTGTTGCTTGGATACCTACAGGAAAGCCCGTAGGGCTAGAATTAGTCCCAGAATATCCAGTCAGTTTTAGTATATGACCATTTTGAGTCAAAAAAGTTGTTTATTTTTTCCGTCGAGCTTTTAAAAGCTCTTTTTGAACATGACATGTGTCCCATTTACAGCCTACCACTGCTTCAAGATATTATTGTAAGCCAGTGCTGAAAAGCACTATTGCCTGAGTGAGAAAATAGTTCAATTTTTTCCTTATGGCTTCCAATTTCACCTTTTATGCCAGGAGCCACCGAGCTATAAAAAGGATTTACTTACTGGCTCCATACTTCAGTAGTAGTTCCACGACTTTGATTCGATTCTTCTTGCAAGCGATGTGTAGAGGAGTAAATCCGTTCAAAGCGCGTGCGTTTGCATCAGCATTGCTGTAACAAATTACTTGAATAAACCACCACGTATATTAACCACGTAAGAAGCACACTTTACTCGTTGCAGCTAAATGACGTTCATTGCTGGACAAAGGCCTCTCCCAAGGATTTCCAAAACCCACACTACGTCTTTGGGCCCGTGGACGCCACTCGAGAACTTTTCTGCCCTAGCGGCCATCCGCTCTGCAAGCTATGTGCCCCGCTTGCCCATTACTAAACCACTTTTATTAGCCTAGCGGCGAATAAAGTAAGAGTGTAATAGCTTTAGTTTTTCGCAAGTAGCTCCTGCCTTTCTGGTAGGGAGAACTCCATTATGACCCACTAGCTGAACACTACCCCCTTAGTTGCTTAAAAAAGGGAGTCTTATCCGTTCCATATCCTACAGTAGGTATACCTATTAGAGGCTTACCGATCTAAAAGTAGCTTGGCGACTTTAGCATGCCCGCAGTGGGCTGCCACATGGAGCGCCGTCAGGTAATCCACAGTGACGTCATCGACGGGTGCTCGCCGGGACAGAAGCACCCTGGCTGCTTCGGCGTGATCGCCCTGGGCTGCCATGTGGAGGGGAGCTAGACCATTCTGTATAAAATAAAACACAAAATGAGCCAAAAGATCCAAGGTACTTTACTATATTTTCACCATAGGCAATGTTCTCCAAGAACTATCATTCGGGTTATAAAGTTTTTTGATAAAAAAGCGAAGAAAACTCTCCCGGAAACCCCGGAAGTTTCCTGGAGGTGAAACACATTTCTTTTACTAGAATAATGTCTGGTACCTACCTCGCATAAAGAGTTAATGCCAGTAGCGTTGTACGCTCTATTGTATTTAACCCTCAAAAGGTCCAACAGAATTCTCTAATCTTGGGACTTTTAAGACCAGAACGTAACCAAAATCTCTTATGTCCTCTTTGACATTATTATTTGAACCACAAACCTTGCTCTTGCTAGTGATAGGTGCTCCCCTGTCCAGCAAAGCCTCCACCACTCTCTCGTGGCCTGACCTGGCTGCGCAGTGCAGGGGGGTCAGTCCATCCCTGGTGCGCGCTTCGACGTTAGCGCCGTTGTCGCCGAGAAGGGCCACCATGTTGTCTTTGCCTGGATTTGGAAGATAAAATTTTAAGATTGTAGTAATATTGTAAGATTTTAAGGTTGTGAAGAAGAAGTAGAGGAGGCTCATAGTCCAACAGTGGACTGTAAAGGGCTGTTGATGATGATGATTTTAAGATTATGGAGCGTAAGACGTACTTATTTGTTTTACAAGATGGAATATGATAGGTATAGCCGCGTAGTTTTTTTTAGAGTAGACGCCATTCTTCCTGTGGATGTCCTAAGAGGCGACTAAGGGAGAGGTACACAAACATCAAGCCTTCCCATCTCCAGCGTAGAGAGTGTAGACCAAATCCTCTATTTGCTTTTGTCAAATTAGAGGCTCTTCATCCTGCAGTGGAGACAAAATGACGACGTTCATGATGATGATGGACCAGCTTATACATCTTACTTACTCCACTTGGGAATGAAATGGTGAGAGCAGAAGGTGTGCTTAGTGCCGCAGTTGACGTCACTGACTCACTGCTATGAATATGGAAGAAAGATGACGTCATTGATCTGGAACTTACCCCACTNTAAATAAAACATACCTTGACGACCTGGTTTTTCTTGTGTTGGAAAATAACTGAAAAAGAAGTGAAAAAACTAATGTATTTTTCTAATTAAATCCATTCTTACTCCCATAAAATGTATGAAACTTGTGTCTGCTTTCTTCTTCTACTAATAGATAATTTTATTGGCTATCGCATGATATAAAATATTTGCCTATTAATGTTAAGTTACCCACGCTTTCACTTGTTTTTTAAAGAAGAGGTGTAAACTAAAAATTAAAAACTTAAATCGATGTAATTTTTCGAGAAATGGGTCAGGCCCCAAATTTGAAGTATTTTTATCGATAAAATTGTCCATAGATTACGCCCTTAAAGTTTGATCACTACATGCCCGGACACACTGTATAGTACTCAATATCTCTGTTTTGCTCAAGGTCAGCTGGTAGAGAATGACTAATTATCATTAGCATTAAGCTCGCCTTTTTGTACGGAACATTCTTATGTGTGTGCAATGAAGTCTTTAAATAAATAAATAAATAGAGAGGGTAGATGGAGTGCTTAGTGCGCCAGTTGACGTCACTGACTCTCTGCTATGAATATGGAAGAAGGATGACGTCATTTATTTGGAACTTACCCCACTTGGCAGCAACATGGAGAGGGCATATGTTGTGCTTGGCTGCGCAGTTAACATCAGCACCCTTGGCTAGCAACAGCCGAGCCACGGACTCGTTGCCGTAGTGCGCCGCGATGTGCAGAGGGGTGAACCCCGACTTTGAGGTCACGTCTGGGTTGTGTTCGTTCTGGGAAAAAAACAAAATTTTATATGACTAATGGTGCCTTGGTACATTCCTTCACAAATTATAAAGCAATGTTCGGCAATCTGTAGGGATTTGGTAGTAAGAGTCGTGCTCGACAAAGCCATAAGTAGCTCCGAAGCTGACTATGACCCTCAGACATGAGGTACTAAGACCTAAGAGAGGATGAACGAACGAAACCTGGGGCCAGATTTCATGGACTCCACTGTAACTCATGAGTCACCCTTCTTGAAAATGTAGCTCCTGCTTAGAAAGTAACCTTGTTTCTTTCATTCAACATACCTCTAGAAGAAGGTTAGCCGCCTTGACGTCATCTTTCTTGGCAGCGATATGCAGCGCGGGCAGACGCACGCGCCCTCGCGTGTCTGCTTCTAGCAGCACCGCCACCACCTTCTCATGGCCTTGTTGCATCGCCACCGCGAGTGGAGTGAAGCCATCCTGTAGGCAAAAAATAAGATGATAAAAATTTGAGGAGTACTTATAATAGTATAGGTAAGTAGATTTTTACATGGATGCTATCAGAAGTTTGGACTTCAATGTCAACCCTTATTAATATGCCTGAGCTATCCAGCCTATAGTCTCAGTATCATTCACCCATTGGGTACGGAACCCTAAAAGTAATATTAATAGTGTCCAATATAACTGGAAGGCGCTGGATGCAGGTCGTTACCAGCCGGCCAATCTGGAAATCATTGGGGGATGTTCAGCAATGGAAGTCCTGTGGCTGAAATGATGATGATGATGCTTGCTAGAGACTAACCTCAGTGGCGAGGCTCCGGTTGGCCTTATTAGCGAGTCTTATTTGTAAATCATTAGGGGAGACCCATGTTCAGCAGTAGACGTCCGGTTGAAATGATGATGATGATGATGTTGAAGATGATAAGGTTGATGATGATGAATGGATGCTTATGTTCAGCAGTGAACGTCTGTAGCTAAAATGATGATGTTGATGTAGTTGAAGATGATTAGTATTGCTGTAGACTAACCTCAGTGGCGAGGCTCTGGTTGGCTCCGTTGGCGAGCAGGAACTTGACCACGGCATCGTGGTTCTCCTGCGCAGCCATGTACAGAGGCGTGAATCCATTCTGGGACTGGATGTTGACCTGCAGGAAAAGGAATATTGTTATTTCATAAACTTCTCCAACTATCCTGTGGATTGTAACAACTAAGGTGATAACCATTGTCTCATTTTATGATCAGCTATGCTTCAGTACTAGGCTAATAATAAAAGTACGGAATCATAATATGTATATGTATTTCCAGAAGGTCAACAAAGTTTATTCAAACCTGTTACCTTCAAATCGGGTAAAATAACACGAATTGATTTCCAATTTGTGTCCATGTCCCTCAAAACTCTCTACGCATTAGTAAGTTATTGAGGTGGGGTATAAATAAATGATAATAATATCATCATTATTCGGACGTAAACAATGTGCTTGACCAGTCATTATTATACTAGACTCAAAACTAATCAATAGGTACTTTATTCCAAACCACCTATGACGTTTTCGCACCATCTGTGAAAACATTTGGGTAAAAGTTTCCGTTTGAACGTAAACAAACTATCGTCTAGTCTACGAAGTGCTCGCTCATCGGAAGCTAGTGATTTGTTATGATCACTGTCAATCCAGTGCTGAAATTCATTATCCCATGGCTGTTCATTGTTTGCTTTCCCGAACATGCCTATGGCTTTCTAAGGGATTGATAATAAAAATACATCGCTAAGTTTCTTGAAGTAGATTCTGAAAAAGTTGTATTTATACTTACTTACTAATATTATTGCTGAAGAGTTTGTTTGGTTGAATGCGCTAATCCCAGAAAATACTGGTCCAATTAAAAAAGAAACGTTTGGTATTGGATGGCCCAAGGCATTACATCATCATGATAAGACTAATAGGAGCAGGGCATCAATGTAAAATATTACAAAAACTGGAAAAATAAGCTGAAAAATTCATGTATACGTACGTAGTTAAAGATATGATAAACCGTTTACATAGGAAAATTAATTAGGTATGTTCCTATATCAACATTGCTCATACCTAGTAAAGCAAGTGCTCTACTGGGACATATTTATTGATACAAGTAATCACAATTCTCAATCATCAAGGTGTAAAGTATTTATGGATCCCATAAACGCTTTCTTCTATTGCCCATTAATCTTCAAATGCCCATTTACCCGTATCTTGCATAGCAACGTTTTATTAATGATAATGAACTTTAAATAGTCAGTTTTCTTTTGATTTATTGGTCCAATTTGTTAGTTATTTATCGGGTATATCATTAATCCTACTTAGGAAGAGTATAAGCGTTATATTATGACGAATAGTCTCGATAAAATTTATTTACTTCCTGTAAATGGGTAATAATTTGTCTATTTCAGTGTTTACTTACTGTTTCTTTTGAAAATAAAAGCAGTTGTAATGTATTAGAAGAACCATTATTGTTAATTTTCCTGAATTTCTTTATTCCTGGTTAATTAATTTATTATTCAAATCATTAGATGTAGAAGATTAAGTCTCAACACTTTAACCTGTAGGTATCATCAGCATCTTCACCTTATAATGTACTTAGTGCATGTCTTCCTACCACTTCATCTCGTGTATAGCCAGAATCATATACTGATTGATTTATTTTTGTTCTCTTACCTACCTGAGCGCCATTCTGCACGAGCAGTTTGACAACGGCCTCCTGTCCAGTTAACGACGCGATGTGTAGGGCAGTGTTGCCCTTCTTAACTTACTGCTTAATCTCTTTCTTTATTGTTTCTTACCTGAGCGCCATTCTGCACGAGCAGTTTGACAACGGCCTCCTGTCCAGCTAACGAGGCAATGTGGAGGGCAGTGTTGCCCTTCTTGGTGGCGGCATCAATGGCTGCCCCTCGGTCCAGGAGCTCCCGGACCACTTCCACGTGGCCATCTTTCGAGGCCAGGTGTATTGCGTTTAAACCATTCTGAAAAAGAGTCTGTTTAGTACTATTGTAAGATGTTGATAATAAAGCAAGAGGAGTTAGTTTTGTTGTTCTTATCAAATAAAGGAGTAAAATAATCATCAGATTAGATCAGCCAGGCAGTTTGGGCTACTGGAAGAGCATAATACAGTCAATAACCCAGGGATCCCAAAAATTTTTTTACTGCCCTTGGGACTATGTAAATTTTTTGCGACCTCCATCTCACCCGCGTTGAGACGCACAGCCATAGCAATAGCCTATAGTCTACTATTACTATAAGTTAAATAGTATGATTGCAGAATTAATTTAATAAAGGAAAACGTATTTTTCTTCACAAAGACTTTCACCAATCCAAATCAAAATGTCAACCAAAAAAATATTTGGAAAACGATGAGAAATTGCCTTGACCTAGCCTTCGTCGTAAATTTTTCGCTGGCACATATTAAATAAACTCAAAAACACACTGTTCCTGCCAACGGCCAAGTGTTGCCAAGCCTTCCACAAAGGTTAAAGGAGCAGGCCAAGTGGTTAATGGTTTGAAAATCCATGCCCCTTGGCTGGAGGCCAAGTGTTTCAATATTTGCTTGGATCTCGTATTTCAGGGTAAATGTTAGTTGAACGCTGCAGATGTGTAACGGAATATGTCTTGTACAGCTGACCTTTTAGGTTGTGACAGGGGAAGGTCAGGTCATAATTTAGCTGTACAATGTGACGTGAGTTCCAATGTCCTTGAGTTTGTATGCGTTAAGACCGCGTACACTTGTATAGCGATTGTGTATCAGTTTGGACGTTTTTCTGTATTCATCATCAAAACCTCAGGTCTCAGACTTGTAATAAGTTTTACAATTCAATTCTGTACTTTAAGATCCTTAAAGTTACAAAAGACAATAATATTTTATATCGAACACTATTTAATATGACTTGAACAGTCATTATGTTACTTATTTAAAAAGGCATCGATAACATGAAAAAACTACACTCCAAAAATGCACGTTTTGTAGAAACAATCCAGAAACAAACAAACTCATAAATCGACAAACGTAATGTAAAAAGCTGAAATAATCAAGTAATTCGAATGTCAACAGAACATTAAAATATAAGTATGTATGTTTGTTCTACCTTATACTTCCACCCCTCAGGCTTATTACATTATTCGTGACTCCGAAATGGCGTGGTTTGCTCTATATCCGGCACGAAGGACCGAAAACTGCGCGCGGAAAATTCAACTTTATGATTAAGTCACAGATCCCAATTTGGCGTGACACGCCTGACGTTGGCGGGTAGGAAGGAATTTTTGCAAATTAACGTGGATTGTGTTATAAAGGTTTTTATTATGTTAATTATTTTTACGTTGACCAAGTCGGTGAAGGCAGAATGTTGGGTCAGGACTGAAGGGTTATTTTGTAATTATGGAAATGGTTAGAATATTTTGAAGGACCTTTATGCAAATTAAAACCATCGTAATTTTATTATGACAGGGATCGGAAGGGAGATGGACGAAGTCGATAAAACGTTTAAAACCCATTAAAATTAATGTTTAGTCGACAACACATGAGTCTATCTATAATAAGGTACCAAATCATATTTTTTACTACTACAGAGTACAGACATGACCTACTCTGTACTTTGATTTATGTTTCCATGAGTATTTTGGTGATTTAAGACCCTTACTTTTGATATTTCTTTTATAATGTGAATTATGTGTTGTGTGTTCCTATAAAATAGGTATTAAGAGTTAGATCGTCAGTCACTTTAAGCTCTAAAATCGTGAGTGATAGGTTAAAAAAACGCTAAGGCTGGATTGCACCATCTTACGTTTTAACGACTTACGATTAAGCAAACGTCAAAAATCTGTATAACTCCATACAAAAGGCACCGATAAAGTTTGGTGGTACAACTCAGCCTAAGTATACCTACGAGTAGTTCTTCTAACAAATAGTTATATTATTAATTTGGGCATAGGCAAAGTTAAATAAAGAATAAAAAATACTTACAGCATTGCTAACGTTGATGTCGACTCCTTGTTCGAGGAGACTAATGATCTTCTCAATTTGGCCTGCGCGCGCGGCGCGTAGAAACGCCGTGCTGGCATCCGCCTGTGAACAAACGAAATTCAACCTTGAAACTATGAGATTAAGGTCTTAAATTGCTAGACTATTTGGCTGATAATAAGAATCAAAATTTTCCGCCTGTAGACAAACGAAATTCAACTTTAAAACAATCAGGTTATGGTCTTAAATCGCTAGACTCCTTGGCTGTTTATGAGGATCAAAATTTTCCGCCTGTAGACAAACGAAATTCAACCTTAAAACAATGAGGTTATTGCCTTAAATCGCTTTACTCCATGGCTGTTTATATCAAAATTTTGACATGAAAATTACGCCCGTACCTATTCACAAACATTACTATGAGGTCTCACAGTGCGCGTGGACGCACAGGGTGACACACGAATCAATCACAGAGTTCTATTCAACGCTGTGCGTTCGATTTGCTGCTTCACTTAAGCAAGCATCGTTTGTGAATCCTGCAATCTTCATCTTCTAAATATTATACAGGGTGGAAACGATAAGTGATCTCACTCGATTATTTCTAAACTATACAAGATATCGAAAAACTGGTTACTGATCCTGAAAGTGCTTCACGAGCTCTTTCAACCGGTACCAACAATAGGTTACAGAATAAACTGGAACTATCAGAAAATTCAATGTTTACAGCTTCCATACATTTGGTAAAGTTGCATAATATNATCAGTATCGATCACTAATCACCCCCTGATAGTTATTTTGAAAATATATTTCATGTACAGAATTGGCCTCTCTACAGATTTATTATAAGTATAGATTTGGGCATTGGCAAAGTTAAATAAAGAATAAAAAATACTTACAGCATTGCTAACGTTGATGTCGACTCCTTGTTCGAGGAGACTGATGATCTTCTCGATTTGGCCTGCGCGCGCGGCGCGTAGAAACGCCGTGCTGGCATCCGCCTGTGGACAAACGAAATTCAACCTTGAAACTATGAGTTTATGGTCTTAAATTGCTAGACTATTTGGTTGATAATGAGGATCAAAAATTTCCGCCTGTAGACAAACGAAATTCAACCTTAAAACTATGAAGTTAAGGTCTTAAATCGCTAAACTCTGGCTGATAATAAGGTCACTGATTGACTGACTCACTCATCACGAAATCTCAGAAACTACATTAAGTGCTACGAGTCTCAAATTTTGCATTGGGGTTCCTTTTAGAAAGTAAATGCTCACTAAGATGGGATTTTGCAAAAATTAACTCCTAAGGGGGTAAAATGGGATCCACGCGTACGAAATCGCGGGCGGCCGCTAGTATTAATATGATATTTTATGATTATACATAAAAGTAAGGAAGCATACATACAGGACATAATATTCCGTAAGCACCTGGATTTTATCTGGACTATTTGTGGTTATTACAGGTGTTATAAGGCAAAAGGTTTTTAAGGGAGAGTTAGGGCTGTCAAACTGTGTAGCAGAAAAAAAATTACATAAAAAATAAGGGCTTCATAATTCTACAGGTTAGCTTACCTACTGAGTTTTATATCATGCCTATTACTTACAAATAAAAATTCTATTATCACGATAAGACCGCCTAAAGGCCTATTCAAACCTGAGCGATATTCGCTGCCGCTGTGGGTAGAGGTACAAAGGTAGACGGTAGCGAATACCGCTTAGGTCTGAACAGTATTATTACCGCATACCCACTGGGTTTTCTCTGCCGCAGACGGTAGCAAATACCGCTTAGGTCTGAACAGTATTATTACCGCATACCCACTGGGTTTTCTCTGCCGCAGATGGTAGCGAATACCGCTTAGGTCTGAACAGTATTATTACCGCATACCCACTGGGTTTTCTCTGCCGCAGACGGTAGCGAATACCACTTAGGTCTGAATAGGCCTTAAATTGTGTATCCTACCCTGTGTATTTTTTTTTGTTCTTGTTCTGTGTGTGGTGTACTATCGCCAACAGTGTTAACTGCCCATTGAAAGTCATGTCATCTCGTTCTATCGCAAAGAATCGCCATTTGATTAGAGCGAGAGCAAAAACGGAAATGGATAGTTAACAGTGTGGGCGTGTGTACAAGAAAGTGTTTTTATATTATTATTATCTCTTGGTAATTATATATCTGAATGTGACAACCCTAGCAGACACTCGTAATATGATCCCCATGAGACAGGATAGGGTCGTGCAAACGGTCCTTTGTAATGCATTACTTTCAGTAATGTCATTTTTACGATAAGAAGTTGTAACTAGAGCATATTCACTCCAAAACACAAGATGAAATTTTGATTCGATTTCTACCTTAGGTAATGCGATTTTTTCAAGTTATTTAAAATTTTTAGAGTAAATGCAGGAATAATTACTTCCTAATCAAGTACCTATACTTGTATCTGACTTTTTAATAGTTTGAGAATTTCTAAATGTTTATAAACGAAATATTTCTAAACAAAATTTTTCGATGCTTCTTAGGGCATCGTCATCTGCCTATAGCAATCCAATGATTGATTTTAATGATAATTTACATTATTATAAGACACATAAGAAGCTTTATTTTAAGTTTATTGTAAATCTTTTTTTTTAATTTAAGAGCTACCTCTTGAAGTATTTACCCTCGACTAACACCCTGTATTTACTTGGCTATGTCGTACCTACTAAACAAAGGCTACCAATTAGACCCACAGGGGTAGTCGGCAATGAACTGAATGTTTTTAATGAACCTATCCAAGTGGTTTACAGTCTAGCTCACATAAGCCCTTTCCCCTTTAGGACTTCCACTCTGTTGAATCCACAAAACGAAATCTCAGGCACAGTCAGAGTCAAATAGTCCGTGACACTCAAAGTGGAAGGTAGTTGAGGCTGAAAAGTTCGCTAGTGGCGACCACGGGCCGGAAGACAGGCCTCCAAGTGGACCGACGATCTGGTGAAGGTCGCGGATTTTAACCGCCTCTGTGGTCTAGTGGTAAGACCACCTGCTCCAGACGCAGAGGACCCGGGTTCGATTCCCAGTGGGGGCAGATTTTTCTGTTCGGTTTGGTTGGTAGTAGGGCTTGTTCTAAGTCCGCCTGGCTAGCTACCACCATCTTACCTAAGTCTGTCGCCATAACAACAATGTTAACAGCATTGTTGTCTTCCGGCAGTTACGGGTAAGATAGCCAGTTCCTCCGTGGTTGAGGATTCCGGGTGAAGCTCGCTTCTACCTTCGGCCTGATCATCACTTACCATCAGGTGAGATACAGGCCTATTGTGATTGTGGATAAAAAAAAATAGAGCCTGGATGCGGGCAGCGCAGGACCAGTCGCTATAGAAATCCTTGGGGGAGGCCTTTGTCCAGCTGTGGACGTCATTTGGCTGACACGAACGAACGGACTCAGTGGCCAAAAAGTTGACAAACCAGTATTTTATTTCAATGTAAAAAAGACGTGTTGCGAACTTTTTGACTACTTTGGGTGTCACCAACTATTTAATGCTGACTGTACTACAATTTTGTGCTTTCACAATAAGTTATGCGTAACCACAAAGATATTATTTTATAAATGCGGTTTTATAGAAATGAGCTTTCTAAAAGAAACCTTAAAGAGCTATTTATAAAGATTTCTAAACCTTAAAGTGGTATTAACATAATATGTTTATTACGACGAACCACGGGACCCTAAAAATGAGCTATTTATAGAGCCTTTCTAAAGATAGAACGATGACGAATGTGGTAAATTACCGTTACCTTTTTTGTTATAGTACCTACATAAATGTGTTTTTTGTTGGTTTTTTTTCTGTTTCGTTTTTTTTTATTGTGTCAATAAACCATAAAAAATTGCTTTGGTCTTTTTAAATGGCATGACGCTTGTATGAAACCACGTATAGGTAATGTTTACCTAAACTCTATTATTTTCCGACGTGATAGAGTGACACGGTAGAGCACATGGAAAACAAGGTAAATCAACAAAGTAAAGAAATATCGACGTTATACGGAATTTGTCATAATCACATTGGATTTAACTACAAACACCTTATGTAAAAGTAAATGTTTAAATAATTGTTTATATTGTATTTGGATATTTTGTTTCTGTCTATTACGAGACGACGCTTATAGTACATTTTCATTATTATTTTCCTGCTTTTTAGGCCACTAAAAACAGGCCAAGTTGCGGGCAAAAGTCACACCTACACAAATTCCTAAATATCAATTTCCAAAGTCTCAAAAAAAGAGGTGCAAATCCAAAACATAAATCTCAAAGCGCACCCTAATTTGGTGCTATAAAATATTTGTCCTCGCTATTATTGCCCTAGTTATACTAACGCCACGTGCCCAATGGAACCCCTGTCTATAATGCACCCTCGCTATAGAAGTTGGACAAGTACGAGCAGAAGTTACGCTTTGAGGGTTCCGTGTGAAATTAACTATGGAGGCACAAAGTTGCGCTTGTAACTCTACATTGGTTGTACAAAGACCGGTAATGTGAGAGATACGTATAATTCCAACTATCCCAATCCCAACTAATATTATAAATTCGAAAGTAACTCTGTCTGTCTGCCTGTCTGTCTGTCTGTCTGTCTGTCTGTTACGCTTTCCCGCTTAAACCTCGCAACCGATTTTGATGAAATTTGGCATAGAGATAGTTTGAGTCCCGGGAAAGAACATAGGATAGTTTTTATCCCGGTTTTTGAAACAGGGACGCGCGCGATAAAGTTTTTCTGTGACAGACAAAATTCCACGCGGGCGAAGCCGCGGGCGGAAAGCTAGTTGCATTATATGTGCAGTAGGTAGGTCTGGGAATAGGACGTGAGTAATATTTTTCATACATCAAGGTGCTAAAGGTAAAGGGTTTTCACGAATATGAAGTTGAGTAGTTAGTGCTCGTTCGTTCGTTCGTTTCAGCCAAATGACGTCCACAGCTGGACAAAGGCCTCCCCCAAGGTTTTCCACAATGAACGGTCCTGCGCTGCCCGCATCCAGGCTCTTCCCGCGACCTTTACCAGATCGTCGGTCCACCTAGTAGGAGGCCTGCCCACGCTACGTCTTCCAGCCCGTGGTCGCCACTCGAGAACTTTCAAGAACGAGTTAGTGCTCAATGACGAATAATTAATAATCATAATCATTTCATTTCAATTACTTAGTTGTTTTAAAAATTGTAGATAAACCTGGAAATATCTTGTAATGTTTTGGTAAAACGGTTTGGGAATCAGAAATGTAATTTTATTGTGCTGATTTATCCTCCCATAGTTACTCCAGAATAAAAAGGTTAAATACCAGCCCATATTACATGGCCATCAAGTTATTTAATAAACTACCACAAGAAATAAAAAATGAACAAAAGTACACAACATTCAATAAAAAGTTGAAACAATACTTAATAAATAAATGTTACTATAAATTAGATGAATATTTAAATAATAAATAAAATAATAATACAGGACTAATTTTGTGATACAACTAATTAATACACTAACGTAAACTGAATAACTTTTAATGGCGCTCTGGACTGTAAATAAATACTTAAAATATAATATTATACTTACCTACAAAATAAATAATTATTATAGCATGCATGCAGCCCTCCAAAAAATTTGCAATACCTAAACTAGGTTACTAAGTTTTAAGCACTGTATTTAGTTATAAGACCTTATGTACCTACACTTAGTGAGCAAATAAATGAATATGAATATGAAATTTAATTACTACTACTAGAGTTTATAATTATTATAATCATTTTATACATTTATATTATGAACTTGTGAAAAGGGTTTTGCTTGGCAAATATACTTACAGACAAACGTTCTATCTTTTATGGGTTCAGTTTTTACCAATGGCGGTACGGAACCCTAAAAATGGACCCTTGCACCCTCGCAATAAAATGCACCATAAAATAGGAAAATGTCGCAAACTAATACTATTCAGGGTGGACATGTCTCTATTATACCCTAAATAAAAGAAATAGGCTGAAAATATTGAGAAAT